TTTCTCGTCATATATTATAAATAAAATATTAATATTTTAAAATTTAAATATATTATATTAATTTAAATAAATATTTATTTTCTATCATATATTATAATATATTTTTGTATTATATTTTATCAATATATTATGAATTAATTTTATTATTAACTATAAAATCATAAAATAATAAATCAAAATTATATCATTCAAGTTATCAAAATTCTTTTTGCAATCGCGAGCTGCCAGAAGCTGCGCCAGGAAATCTCTTTGTTCCTCTGCGGTAGTCCTGAAGGATCAATTGTTTCTAACAGGGCCCCAAAAGCTTGGAGGCGTTCTATCAATGGATGAGTGTTCATAATTACTTCATACTCGTCTCAGCATTGTGAAGCACAACTAACTAGATTGCCAGACCAAGGCGCAGGACTACCAAAGAGGCTGATTTTTGGGCTTAAAGAGAGCAGTTAAACAGATAGATATAGAACATAGGCATAGAACTGCTAAACAAGCCAGGACGCAAACGGGACTGCAGCCGAGCTGTTGCCCACTGGACGGGAAGCAACTTGTCAAGCGGCTAGTGAGAAATGGAATGAAAGTAATATTCATTTTCGCTCAGATATACAACCAACAAATATGATATATGAATATATATGATAATAGCCAAATGATTCTCACTTGTAGAGGCTGGGAAAATCTGGAAAGTCAAGGACGTGAAATTACATGATGTCGGTATGCTGGTCCCGGCAAGCTCCCACAAGCGTAGCAGCAAAGGCAGCCTGGGTGTAGAGTCGGCAAATGCGTCTTTAAGGGGACAGCAGGGTAAGAAAGGAGCCTGTTCCAGGACTCTCAAGACACATAAGGTTTTGATGCTTTGTGTTTCAAGTTCGCTGGACGCAGCTTTGATACCTCTATTTTTCCCTCACTATCGTGGAAAAATAATCTTCCTTGTTCACATCCAACCTGCATCAACATGCGTCATTCTGTAATTTCTATCATTCTACAGCTCCGATTTGACACTAACCCTGTCAAATGACAACCCCATCTGGGTTGCCCTGCGCATGTTGCACAGCCCGGCGCCAGGAGCCAGCCACTAGGACCAGCGGAAAAGCAGCTGGTTGAGTTCGCAGGGCTCGGCCCAGCTCCGCCATGGCCTGGAGTCGGCCGATGTGTGATGCTTTCCTGAAGTGGGTCATAGTAGGTCACGACCACAGTAATAGTTGGCAGTATGGTTCTGACATGTTTTGACTCATAAATCACTATACAGACTATATCCTCACTAGATCTCACTATGATGTTCCCTGATGCATCTTCGGTAATTATTCACCTATACTTCCAACAATTCACCAGCAACAACAACCTCTAGGATACCATTTGGATCCATTTGGGAGGGTTGCACGAAGATTCATGATACGAGTACGCTTTAGCATCCTCGCATGTGCACACTCATGTCATCATCAAAGGTTCAGTTCTTGAAGATGCCCGCCAAGCAATACTATCAAGATGTATATGGATGATGTGGATTTACCTAAAAATGGTGCCTAACCCAGTTTTTCATGGCAGTTTGAGTTTTGGACATTCATTAGTGTGATGGGTGTTATTTACACGCATCTTCTGCACATGTATGTTCTACCCAAAAATTGGTTGAAAGGCAGCGAACTGCACAAAGTTCTTTTTTTTGCCTGATTCTTTTCAAACATCAGTTCTGTTTCTCAGCTCTCTCGAGAAGCATCCAGGAACCAAATACCGGGATTGTTTGAAAGGGAATGAACGAAGTAATTCTTACTGTAAAGACACAGTATAGTATAGATGGCTGCGCCCCCGAGTTGCTTGTTTATCTTTTTGACCGCGAATGAAACCTATTTTCAAAGGGACCCAACTTGTACAAAAGATTATGCCTCCGAAACCCGAAGACCAGAAAAGGAAGTGAGACCAGAAGTGAGAAGAGAAGTGGGAAAGAGATAGAAGAGACGTGAGGAAAGAAAGGAACAGAAAAGAGAAGAAAAAAAAAGGAGGGGAGAAGAAATAGAAAGGATTCGGATGAACATGACCTAAAACCCTTTCTGAGAGCCAGCATCCATTTTTCCCGCATAGAGCTGAGATCAATTTTAAAGACTTCCCGATGGCGGCCATCGGGCACCTCGGCCTCAGGCACCAGCTTGGCCACGTGTCGCAGCACCTCAGCCTCGGCCTCTGCCAGGTGCCGCTGCTCCCGCTTGGCGGCGGCCGTGAGGAAGCCCTGCCGTTGCTGCCAGAGACCTTGGAGATGTGCCATGAACACATCACCAATAATTATACAATGATATAATGATAGAAGAATAAAAACAATAGTAGTAATAATGATAATATTAATTAAAAATGACCTAACCAAATATATTTGTATAATTTTGTATATATATATATACATATACTAATCAATATGAATCAATGTGCATAGTTGATTTAATCTCGTCTTCCTGAATACTTTGTGGGGGAGGTTCTGTGGGTTCAAAAACTCGTGCGGGCTGGAATGCGAATACCTTGATTGTCTCAGAGGAGAGACGTTTCTTGGCAGCGGCCACAGCTTCGAACTTCGGACCCAACTCCTCCTGAGCAGTTGAAACATCTGGGTTGGGTCTTGATGCAGTTGTAACCAAACCATCTTCCAACATGAAGAACACAAACTGATGACGCTTCGAGACAGGAAACTTAAAACTTAAAATCAACATAGGTTTTTCAAAGGACACCCAACTGCTTTCAAGAATGCAAACGAATACTTTCCGGCTTTCCAATGAACGAATTGGTGTTAAACATGGGGCCCACCAGGCATGCAAAAGGAGGTGCAGCGGTGCGACAGTTGCACGACCCATGATTCTTTTAGCACTTTTAATCCCCAAAACATTCCAAGACTATGTGACTATATCATTCCATTCATCTACCTGCCTATCTATATATCCGCAAATATTCTGCACGCATATTATATGCATGCATCGATAACATGCTAATATATACTAATCTATTGCAGCAAGAATAGTATGGTACTGCATTATATAGCACTATAGTATCAACGTATATCAAAGTGCCCTGTACAAGTGTTAGGTAAGAAAGGTACAGCACAGCTTGAGTGTTGCATAAGAATTCACAGCATAAGAATTTGAGGGGCTCGAATCCAAGGCGGGCTACATATTTTCAGCTATACCAAGCACATAGTACTTTAAGAATTTGAGGGACCCTAGGCCCTGGAATAGGATTGCCAAATTCTAAAATTACTGCTTATACGTGAGGTTTGCAGTTCCCCTTTGCTTTTTTTTTGTGGAGTGACCCCTTATGGTCTTATGGGACGAAACCGGGCTTTGCAGGAAAACAATTTTCAAACTCGGAAAAAATGTTGTTTTTTCGCACATGCTTGGACTGCTTCCAATCCACGCAAAATCTATATGTGGATAGACTTGGGGACCTGAAACATTGTTTCCCCCAATAACGTGAACAAAACTTAGGCTTTGCCCAAAAACAATTTTTCAAGCTAAGAGAGAACATGTTTTTTCGCACGTGCTTGGGCTGCTTCCAATCCACGCAAAATCCATATGTGGATAGACTCGGGGACCTTAAATATTGTTTTCCCAAAAACTTGATGAAAACAGCCCTGCCCAGAATCGAACCCGCGACTCCACCCACCGTACCCACCCCACCTTTTACGGCAGCAACTGTATTTTGCCTCAAAGGACCTGCTCCCTGGAGTTGCTGCTGGTTTGCTGCCCGCTCCCCGGTCTGCAGCAAAAAACATATTTTTTTTCTGCGGTGCTCTGATGAAACACAGACAAGCCCGGCTTTGCAAAAAAAAAAACAGGCTCTAAAAAATTGTTTCTTCGTATGTCTCTTGTCAAATCTGCCAACTCCACCTCGTTACCTCGCTTTAGCTCGCTCCAAATTGCGCAGATGCATACAATACATAACTAAGAATGATCTAAGAATTTGAGGGACCCTGGGCCTCAAGCTTTCGGATTCTTAACCAACTCTCGGGTTGTATCAGCTGAGTCCTGGAAGTCTTTGGCACTCTTGGCCAAGCCAGTGACCACCTCCTTCATCCACGGTTCATCACCTTTGGACTTCTGAAGGATTTGCTCTTGGATCTCCAGGGCAGCTTTGGCGTCCTGCAACGGATCGCGTGCTTCAAATTTCACAGGATACCTCCGCGACTCTCTTTTCGAGGTGCACGCTGTTGGTAGAATCTCTGAAAGCGTAAACAGGATCAGTCCAACCCGCATTCTGGTCGCCACGAATCCAAATCTCTAGTAAATAAGCTTGCATTCACTTCCTGCACAGCTGCACAAATTCATCGAAATTCAATCCCATGCTGAAAGGCTACGGTGCATTTTGAAAAACAAAAAATATATTATATGCCCACCTTTAATCAGGTACAAAACGCAGAGATGTCAGTCCTGGAGTTGCTCCGTGCGTTCCTGGGCGAGGATCTCTGGCCATGGTTTCAGACCCCAATTTCCAGCTGCCAACGACGTCAACATAGTTTTCAGCTCGCTGCGAAGCTGTGATAACTCTGAGGTCACTCCTAAGCGATGTGACTGGGACTTACTTGCGAGGCAGTTTACGTTGTTATATAAGAGTTTTTACCCATATTATGCTGAAACCAGCACAATATATGTCATATGAAATTGAGAAGTGGTCTGCCCAAAAGCGAGCAAACAAGTTCCTCACACAAGGAGTTCAAGAAGAGGGCAGTTTGTGTACCATACGTATCTTTGCAAGAAATGCATCCGACACTGGGCATCTGGGGTCTGAACGCGCGCGCATGAGTAATAAAGTGTATAATAATAGATAGTAGTAATAATATATAAGAATGATAAATGGCAGCAACAGTGCGGGTAACACAACGGCAATCACACGTCATGCCGCAGGAATTTACACTGGTGTTGAATAGAAGTGTTGTTAAGACTTGGCTTCCAAAGACTCGTCGTCTCCCATCTGAGATAGAAACCCCAATGCAACATCTGCAATACAGAATCCCTCCCTTTTCAACCCTACATTGGGGATACAACAGCCCACTGTTTGAACCACACATAAAATAACATAAATACATAGATTATGATTATGTTTTCCAACGCCGCATCTACAGTACGCAACGTGCAATATTCAATATCTTGCAATACAAACTCCATCGGCTAGGTAAAACCAACATAAACCAACCAAACGTTTCTCGCGCAACACTTTCAATAAAGAGTCCCGGATTTCAAAAACGGCTTTATCATGTTCTGTTTTAGATGTTTCAACTCATCTTCTATCACTGTCACCATCTATCATTTTATTGAGTCACAAGAACCGGGCGGATTTTGACATAAGTCTATGAAAGGAATTGAAAGGATGGACCAGGATGGATCAGGATGGACCGCCAGCACAAGCGAAGGAGGCGACGGCAAAGGCCCTTTTTTGATAGCTATATAAAACCGACAGATTGTGTAAAACAAACCTCTGAAGTAACTGTTTGATCAAGGAACGCAGTCCGTCTACTCCTCAGGTTGCCGATACGAATGCCCAGCTTTTGATCTTTTGATTCATGAAACATCTACACGAACATAAACAATCAAGGTATCTCCTATCTCGATCTACATATCTCCGTGAAAGCTTTCAACCTGCTTGGTTTTTTTGGTCGAGCTTCGGCTACGTTCTCTCGCCACCTCAAGCTGGACCTGCGCGTCACTTTTTTCATCATCGCTCCTGTGGGTGGAGCTCACGTGGAGAAAATGTCGTGAGCGCAGAATATGACTTGGTCCAAAAATGGAATACTCACACTTGATATCATTTGATTTGTCATTGGTTTTCCATGGTTTTCCCATTGAATCACATTGAGTCAACTGCGAATTGGCCATTTTGGGGTATGCCGTATACCTTGTGTTTCGACATACTCATTGTATCTCATTGTCATGTATCATATCCTATGAACACACACTTGCAGGGCTAATTGACCTACCCAAATTGGTAAGTAGCCGCAGTATGCAATTCCTCTCTCAAGCACCGGCCAAGCTGCCTGGCTTGAGGACTGCGGTCTCCTGCCAAGGCATGACAAGGTTCTGGGAGCAAAATATCTGTCACACCCCGCGATCTTTCCCCACAGATATCAATTTAAATTTCGCAAGAGCCTCAAACACCCAATGTTGATCAATACGAGCCAGCCCGAAAACAGGCGGTGCATTAAGGCGGCCATTCTGAAGGGACATGTGGTGATAAACTATTATATAGTAATATAGTATATACTTCAATTAATTTGGGGGTGCCCAATTTTCAGACAGGATCATATCATCCAACAATTCCAGATTATATATATATATATACATACAGTATATGATAAAATTCATGTGTTGTAGTTCATTGCCAGCCTTGTGCCACTGGATGCCCCTACCTTTGTTGCAACATGTTGCAACAGCTCCTGCTGCCAGAGCCGTGTCTGCAGACACTCGGCGCACACTGTGCCTCTTGAGCTGTTCCAAACGACGTTGCAACTCCTCCTTGTCATGGCAGGGCTGGCAGGGGACAAATTTCTGGTTTTCCCATGGTTTTGCTACCGGCTATAGACCTTGACTACCTTGAAACTCAATATAACAATACATCTCAATATACTGAGATGGGGATGGATGGGGTAAGTGCATGATATTCTCCACAAAGATGGAAAAACACGTCGGCATTTGCTACGTAGTTTTTGTCAGTGGATTTCCCGTGATCTTCGCACCTCCAAGGCTGATGCTAGAGGTGCTTCTTGCTCAGCCAGGGCTTCTTGCAGCACAGAACGCCTTGGAGACCAGCGACTAGCCGTGCAGGACATAAAACACCTTAGCGAATTAATATGAATTAATCCCCAGGAGCTTTTGGTTTGCATTGAGTCATGCACAATGTACATTGAGTCCTTGACCATGAAGAAATCGAGACCGAATCAAGCAGCAACAACCTCTTGCACATTTTCATATTCATAAGATTTCACAAGATTCCATAATCCCTAAGAGTCGACAAAATCCACATCGAGGGGCTTCAGCAACAGCTTTGCTGCACGCCGGTCCAACTCAAAGAGGACATCGTTCAGCTGAGCCTCTTGCAGTGCCGTGCCGCAGGGTAAACCCTTTGAGGACTGGAGGAGGAGACAACACGAACCATTAGATTCTCAGCGACTCACGCTTTCCTCCCTTTCACTCAGGACCAAAGCAGGACCGAAGCAGGACCAAAGCAGGACATGGATGTCTTCTCAGTTTTCCTTCGCACCTGCAAGGCTTTCACCGCTTCGCCCTTGGCTGCTTCGGCACGTTGCTGCGAGGCCAGCCGTGCCTCATTCAGCATCAAGCGACGTTCCGCCTGGGGCTGTTTGGTAGCGAGCCAAGGACGAGATCAATGCAGAACTGCCACAAACAGCCAAGCGCCCTTGGTTTCCAGTCATGTCAAACATACACACCAATTAAATCCAAAGAACAGCTAGAGCTAGCGAACAGTATGGCATCGCATAAACACACGCAGACTGAAACATAGTTGAAACATGGTTACCAGCCATACGCTTGGCCACTTGCTGCCTTCTTGTCTCTCTTTCGTTGTTCTTCACGATCGGGGGCCAGCATCTCCATGCTTCGTTGCGTCAAGGTTTCCTGTTGTAATGCTAAGACAGGTAAGACCGGTGAGAGGCTCTGAATCAATAATATAATCTATATAATTAAATATAACTAACTATATATATATATATATAATATGGTAAAATTATATATATATATAGCATACAGCAACTTGTAAAAAACATGCGGTCTTTTCAGACTGTGGGGATATCAGAAACACGAAACGAAAGTACATTGTTGGAATTCACCAAATTCTTTGAATGAGAGGCACAAAATGGCACAAACATCAGGGCGATACTTCTGTCGGGCCTGCATTTGTTTAGTGGCCTGTGCCAACTGCTGTCGCTGTCGTTGCAGCATGTCGTCCACAATCTGGCGCCGAGCAAAGAGCCTTGGTCCGCTATGTTTGGTCTTCACATGGTCTTTTATCAATAGTTTGATCATCCGAATTTCCATTGGATCACCAAAGGAGAAGGGCTTTGTTCCTTTAACGATTCTCCCCTAAAAAAGAGTCCGGTAGGCATCGTGCCGAGATTCTTCCCTTCCAGGGCCTGGAAGCAGCTGAGATCTAACCGATGCAGCTCAGTGAGCAAAGGCCGAAGCATCTCCTCCCGATGTGCAGATAGAAAGGCCCAAGAATCTTCAAACATGTTCAAACATGCTCGAGCTACAAATGCCCTGAGCAGCGTGGCACATTCTGAGTCCCAAAGTTCTCCACAGGTGGCGCCTTCCACATCGTTAGCAACTTCTCTTCTTGTCGAGAGCTCCAGTCTTCCACCCGTTGCATTGCAATTCGCAGGGCCTTCTCCACATCCGATGGCTTCACAAGGTCTGCACCGTGCACCTTCACAGTGGCAAACTTTCAAAATCAATTATGGTGCGCTGTGCTCATCAGTAGTGTTGAAAGCGGCATTGTGATCCCTGGGGCTGCGTTTCTTCTCCATCTTTCAGCAGAATATTCAAGAAACCATGATGAGACACATACGTGAGATATCATGAGAATCTAAAGCGGAGATGCAGACTTGCCGTTGTCTGGCCTCTGCACGCCATTCCTCAATTGCTTTCCGCAGCATCTCCTCAAGGTTCCGAATATCACAGAACAAGTGATGTGGAATGAGGTTCGTCCGATGGGCATTGGACTTTGTGAACAGTTTGGGTATGTAATTTGATGTATATGTATTTTTATATATATATATATATCCATATGTCCATACATCCAGATGTGTACATAACACACATTGCGCGCACACACACACACATATATATATTCATTCATGTAACTTTGTGAAAATTTTGGCTGTTTATGTACAATACATATACGTAATTTGGATATATATCATGTATATGTAAAGGAAGTTCTGAAGAGATCACCCCCAACCAGGACTGTGTTTTACAAGTGCACCACCTGCAGTGAAGGATGAGAAGGATGTCACAAAGTCATGACAAATGTGACAGGAAAACAACAGGAAGGCGAAAACAACTACACACGTGCATCACAGGTCACAAGACAAAGCAGCATACCAACTCCACCAATCCTTTGATCTTGTATTATTGCATCCCTACATAAATGGTTTGTTGGCTTGTCTGCTGAGTGTTTGGAATATTCACCCGCTGGTTCATGGCGTGCTGGGCGATAACACCTCCTCGAGATTTGTTCTTAACCTTCCACACCCCAACACGTTGCTTGCCTTTTCTATTGTCAACACACTTGTAGCATTTCGCATTATCTTGCGGGGTATTTCGATTTGTCGTCTTCCTTGCTCCTGCAAGCACTGTGTGCGATTCGTTCAGGATCACATGCCCTGCCTCAAGTTCCTTCGCTGCAAAGCCGGACGTTTTCATTTTACCCAAGTCGGCTAGCTCAGCTTCCTTGGTGACCAGAATCCGGCCCAAACGAGAAACAGACAGCAAAAAACAAACTGAGATGCAACATGACAAAACTGCGTTTATCAGATGTCAAGAAGAAACTGGACCTAGCGCCAAGTGTCTGCTGTTTTGGCGAAAGCTCGGGAAGCCTGCTCGTCTTGATCAGCAAGAAAAGCATCGATCTCCAGCCGCTTCTGCTGCAAGAGTTGTCGTTTCTGCACCTCGGCCATTGCATGTAACGGCGTAAGCTAATGAGGTCTTCAGACCACAAAAGCTCCGGTGTGCACTGGTGCAGGCGCCGGGTCAGGTTCAACGAGGTTCCGGAGAAGGTTCCGGAGAAGGTTCGAAGAAGCCTTGATGCAAAGCCAAGTCAGGTTCAACAGAATTTCGGAGAAGGTTCCGGAGAACCGGAGAAGGTTCCGGAGAAGGTCTGGGAGGCTTTGGTGCAGAGCCAGGTCAAGTTCAACAGGGTTCCGGAGAAGGTTCCGGAGAAGGTTCCGGAGAAGGTCGGGGAGGCTTTGGTGCAGAGCCAGGTCAGGTTCAACAGGGTTCCGGAGGTTCCGGGAGGCTTTGGTGCAGAGCCAGGTCAAGTTCAACAGGGTTCCGGAAAAGGTTCCGGGAGGCTTTGGTACAGAGCCAGGTCAAGTTCCGGAGAAAGTTCCGGGAGGCTTTGGTGCAGAGCCGGGTCAAGTTCAACAGGGTTCTGCAGAAGGTTCCGGAGAAAGTCTGGGAGGCTTTGGTGCAAAGCCAGGTCAGGTTCAACAGGGTTTCGGAGAAGGTTCCGGAGAAGGTCTGGGAGGCTTTGGTTGAGAGCCACGTCAGTTTCAACCGGGTTCCGGAGAAGGTCTGGGAGGATTTGGTGCAGAGCCAGGTCAGGTTCAACAGGGTTCCGGAGAAGGTTCCGGAGAAGGTGTGGGAGGCTTTGGTGCAGAGCCGGAGAAGGTTCCTGAGACGGTTCCGGAGAAGGTCTGAGAGGCTTTGGTGCAGAGCCAGATCAGGTTCAACAGGATTTGTGATCATTTTATTCACGAAAACCCAGCTGAGGTGTTTCCAGCGCTTGGCTTCGCAGCTCGCTGTAATAGATAAAACGTTGCGGCTGTTGGGGATACCACCGAAGCTTATTGAACCATATTTTCGGCTTGCTTGCAGAGGCAAGTGCTTTCTTTTTTGGCAGATTGGGTCTCCTTTTAGCATCTTTTGGCTACTGCAGTCATAACGGTCCCATCTTGATCATCTTTTCAATCTCTACACATCGTAGGCTTTGACAAAGTCCAAAAGGCACCTCCCATTTCGTCCTGAACTCATTGAAAAGAGTCGCGATCCTTAGGTGCAAAAAGGCTCAAATCCATCCAGCTTTTGGCTAACTTGTGCACCGCTAGGAAAACACGTGGAAAAACTCACGGGATAACGAGAGTTGCATGATTTTGTGCTGACGAGAGCAAAGAATACTGCACCACCTGACAGGTGTTCACGCGTGAATGTCGTTGGACGGGAGAAATTTGTGTAAAAATATTATAAAGAAGGGGGCATATAATATAATATAATATAATACAATATAATATAATATAATATCTCTCGAAACCAGGGGTGCAGTGTAAAGGGAAGTCTATCCAAGATCTTTGGGCAAAGCGAGGGAACAGAAAGCACCTTTGAGGGAACCATGACTACAAAGCTACTGTAGAAGTGCGGAAATTGATCCTTGCAGCTCTCGCATGCTCTCACTGCTTTCAGCTTGGAGGCGGCTGCAAATCAGCAGACAGTTTCTTCACCTGACATTCCCCAAATACACCGCACAGGAGCTCAGAGTGCACATTGTGCAAACCTAATCAAATCTATACAAATCTCACTTCCGTTCTCTCGCTGCAACATCAAAACTTCACAAAAACAAGCGACGTATGAGTTGGTTTGTGTCCACGAGTGTTGGCCTCTGTGGTTCCGATCAAGGTGCATCTTTTGGGCATGAGATCCCATTCATGTTCTCTTCGTTTTGCGAAAACGAATTCATACAATGCGTTGGGATCTCCCTTCTCAATCTCAACGCCTCCTGAAGCATCTGCTGGACCTGTTCTGGCCGCTGCGATCGCTCCAAACGTCGCTTCAAAGAGCTACAGCTGGCGATGATGTAATCCTTAGCTGGAGCGGCAGCTCGCAACTGGCATGCATCAGCAAACCATCAGCCATTGGATGCGATTGGCTTCCTTTATGCAACATGTCTGCATCCTTTCAACCCCAAATAGAGCACGTTGCAGTCGTTAGTTAGGAGCACTTGAGCCTTTCAACCCCAAATAGAAATGCTTAGTCGCACTTTAGCTACTGCTGCTCCCAATGACTCCTCTTCGAGTTTCCAATTTTCCCTGGCTCGTTGGCTCACCAGCATCTGCCCGCGCCGGTCCCGCCATGGTATAGCAGAGCAGAGTGGCTACTAAACCCAGATTCTGCGAAGGAATGTATAGAGGTGTGTTTGTCATGCCAAGACGGTCCAAACTGATAAATTGAACATGATGTTGGTACATCAGTTCCAAATTTCAAATCTTCGTACTTGCATCAAACAGGTTTCACCTTAAAGGATTTGACAGGATCTCGCCTTCTGAAAGGTAAGTCCCTCATTCAGAGATTCACCATGACTCACCATGACACACCAATGCAGACTGGGAGGGAAGCTTCGTCCCAGCTTTGAGCCTGATGCAACACGTGAGTTGATCGTACAGCTGGGGGAGTAGCGGATAGCAGACAGGAAGCCATGAAGCACCCATGACCCAACTGAAAAGGACACACTTAGACAATGTTAGACATGACATGTAGCAATATGTGTTTATTATATATATATAGCTTAAACAGATTTAAAAAGGTCAAGCATCTTGGCATATTGAAGAATCTCAAAAACCCGCATGAAGAAAAATCAATCAAAATGTATATGCAAAATATACAATATATACAATTGAACCAACACATACGATGCGGCATGCCGACCATTTTGCAAGTACGCGTTTTTTCAATGGTGTGGAAAATGGTGTGGAATTCTAGCCATCCTGTATCTGTATCTAGTCTGTGTCTGTGTGGCGTGCTGCTTTCAACATCTTTCAGCTAATGCCGCTATGCTCCCCTCCCTTCACTGTGGGCCAGCCATCCACCAACCACTGCTCAAACAGCTTCAAAGGGAGACACTCTGCAACATTGCACCTTACAAGCATGCGCTAAATTCTTGTGGCACCTGTTTAGGTATTTCAATGATGTTGCCTGGCACTCCATTTTGCCGCGTTTTCAGTCCAGACTTTCCAAATACGTCGGGCTGCTTTTATTGAAGCAAATTTGCTCCACCTCCGAGGCACAAGGTCATGAACTGCTGAGAATTTCATGACGCCAAAATGTTCGCGCGACTGTTTAATCATCTCTTGACTTTGTCGTGGCTTCACAGCTGCAGAATCGTGCCTTTGCCGCGGAATAGCCACCTGCACAGCCAGGCTTTGTAAAATGTGAAGCGCCCGCAATGGAAAAGATTGCGTCTTGCGAACACATGTGGTGGGATACTTCAGATTGCTTGAGATCGTTCACATTTGGTCATCGGTTCGAGTTTGTGGCTTGGCTCATTGCATCGTATGGCTTTCTTCCTTGATTTTCTTTTCTCGGCGCCGCATGAGCAAACCGTATCTAAGCGATCAAAGCCCTGTAGGCCCTGACTCTAAAACAATCAAATGGTATGGGTTGGATGTATCCGGACTTCGTCGTAAGCATCAATCACAACACATGAGATCTCGTCTTCCCCATCAGGCATCTCCTGGCGACTGTAGGAAATGGAGGAGAAGGGCTCTGACAGCTATGATCTGTTACTGCTTACGAGTTCCTCAAGAGTTCTTGATCAGCCTGCTGACCCCCCAAAGTACATACAATTACTGTAGGATTTGCATGGATTGCTACGAATACACCTACATCTCCCATCATCTCCCATCAGCCCATCATCTCCCATCACCACCCCCTTTTATTCAAAATACACCAGAACCCACCCCTTTCTTTTGGTCAATGAATGTTTTCACCTTCATCTCATATCACAGCATGTTCGTCTGGATATTTTTTGCTCTCCTGCCAGCCCACCCACCGTCAGTCCAGCCCAAGCTTTGTGGTAAAGCGAAGTGTGGCACATTGATACATGCAGGACTGGGGGTCGCAACCTGGTTTAGCTGAGTCTAGCAGCTGAAGATCAACACTCGCGACAAATCCAACACAAATCAATGGCCACTGCGATCCACTTGAAACCAATACCGAACATTGACGGTCACATCGTGACATAGAGTGATACTTAACAATCATGGTAACCTCCCAAACATCAATAAGTCAATAAGTATATTCAATGCTGCTCCGATGCTTTTTGGACCGTCTTCCATGGGCGTCGCAGTGGTGGACCTGAGATGTGTGGTGGGCTGCATGCTGCAGGGGACGCTGTGAGTGATGGTCCTGGGTGTCTGTACAAATGGCATTTGTCTGGATAATTCTAGATACGAACGTGTGAAGGACAGCCAAGGCACTGATAAAAGTTGAATCCTTCTTTCAAACATCCCAGCGTCAACTTCAATGCTTCACCAAGAGGGCCGGCATTTGTACCTCGGTTTACGGCCAGCTGTAACACTACCGGCACCAGAGACACCATCTAAGCCCGTCAAAAAACCAGGGGACTTTTTGCCACGTGGGTGAGGGATGCTGAACGTCAGCGCTGCCGGGATGCAGGAAATGTTGTAGTTCACATGCTGCTTTAAACCAGCGCCACCGACCATAAACTGCCCTGGGCCATTGATTGCCAAAGCTCAGCACAGAAGAAGGATGGTCGGCTGGAGACAGTGAAGCATCAGCCACGTGTGGTTCCTAAAATCCAATTTTCACCCATTTTCTCTCCCAGTGGGCACACCACGAGCAAATCTCAAACAGTTGAATATGGCACTGCACACGCAGAGACAGTTCGACCCGGATGATCTGATGCTGAACATTGCTGAGGTGTCCCGATACGAGGACATTGTAATTGGATGTAATCAAATGTAACTGTATCGTGGAACATCGTGGAACATCTTGGAACCCCAGGACCAAACCTCACCGTGAAAACCAACTGTGCTGAGTGCCCAGGCCCACTCGTGAGCATCGGTCAAGGTTGGCTAAGCCACATTGCCTAAGATTTGACCAACTTCTGTAGCCAGAACGGAGATCATCATCCATGATCATCCATGATCATCCATGATCATCCATGATCTACTTGGGATATCTTGGGATATCTTGGAATTGGATGGGATTTGGGTGAGTCTAGCGAAGCTCTCCCCAAACATCTTCGGATGACCGGGGATGACCTCCGAGAGCTGTCGAGCTTCGACATCTGTGTGGTCACGGCCTGGATCAAATAGTCGCTGCCCTTCTCGGACAGCTGACGTCGCTTACCTTGGCGCGGATCACAGAGGATCTGGTGATTATTTTTTATCTGGTTAGAGGGTGTTAGAGGATGTTGGAGGGTTCTTGCCATGATCAGGTGTCTGCTGAAACATGAAAACCAGTGAGACACCGGGCCAACAGAATCTACTTGGTATTGCCTGCGCACACATGGACATGCAGGGTTGCTTTCGTCAAGGGCCGATGGGGCCCACGTCATTCCCAGATGCAAAAAGCAAGGAGGAACTCTTCCAACGCAGTGACCTGCAGCCAACATCGCAGAATGATGACATTGACGCAGAAAACCAATTCTGTTGCATGCACTCCTTGATATATAGATGGAAACAACTTCCCAGCCGTCCGCCCGTTTGGGGAGGACAAATTGACTTGACCCCAGATTTGCTTGGTGTGGAGAACTTAAAAAATTGGAAAAAGAACCCGAACTCCTTGCACCATCCTTCCAGCCCAATGGCTAACATTTTCTCCAAGCGGCTAGGCTAGCACCGAAGTCAACGATCAATTGCTTTCGCTCCTTCATAAATCACCAAGAACATCGCGGGGATCAGGGTCAGCCATCTCTGGGCAGCAGGTTTAGACCCATGACGCCAAGGGGTTCCTGGTCTTAATTCGAAGACCAGTTTCCTGTGACTAACTTTGCATATCACATACATTATATATATATGTATGTATGTATGTATGTATGTCTGTATGTCGTGTATTGCTGCAACCTGGCAATGGTGACGCCTAGATGGACGTGAGATCAAATCAGGCAGCGTGCGACCGTCATGTAAAAAAGGCTTGGAATCAGACCAAGAAAGATTAAACTTTTATTTAATTCTACTGTAGCCGGACCATTCAAGAAGTTAGTTCATGGTTAAACAATTGAATTATTTTTTTTTATCACTTATGAACTTTAGCCTTGTTCACACACACACACACGCACATGCACACACACACACGCACGCACTTGCTCAGAACTGTCATTGCGAATTCTGTTGTGGAATGCATCTTACGCGCAAAAACACTCCAATTACACCTGACAGGAATGGGTCAGTGAAGCGACCCGAAAAGGAATCAAAGAGCTGCCATCGTCATAGCCAGTGTTGTTGCCAAATTGAAACTGTTTGAGAAAATCCAAATAATCGACATGCCGGTTCTTGGCTTAGCCGGTCGCCACTCCCGAAGATTGGAAACACATTGACAGTGAAATGGCTGAAAAACGAGTGCAGGTACATCCAGGTGATCAGCCTGGATATCCTAAGGACACCATAAAGAGGTTCGTTGGGCACAGCTGTATGTGCTTTCTGCGCCCCCCTGCAAATGAATCCCAAATTAGAAGTTTTACATCTCTTCAGATGGTTCACACACACACATATATATACATATATATATATATACACACGTATATATATTATACATGTATATACATGTATATTTAGAAAGTGCAAATGTATCCGATGTCTTCCAATCTGATGTGCGGATGGTCAGTGTCATGACAATGTCATCCACCTGATACAGCCTGAGCCATGTGGCCAACTTGCCTCACATGAACCCCCTAGAAGTGCAAGAATATCATGGAACACCTTTCCGGCCAGTCCCATCCCACCCATTCAGATCATTGCTGACCCGTGCTGTTTTGGTCCTCATCATTCTGTGCCTTTGGCACCACGAAGCCGTCTCCTTCGATGGCCCATTCCGCACGGTGTGCATCTGTCACCAGCTGAGCATTGACAGAGCTGGTCAAGATACCTGGAGATTTGCCCAGCAACTGACCCGACCCCTATGACTCTGGCACGTTTGATAAACATTGGGGCTGCAGGTTACAGCAATGGCTGTCAAGCCAATACTGTATCTGAAGATACCCGGTTTTTATTGCTTTTCCCAAGAGTTTGCTTCTTTTTTTCGTTGTTGAAAAAATCTGAATTTACCACTGAAGGGCCACTTTCATTTAACATCATTTAACCTTCTCATTATTATTGGCAGTGCCTTAAAATGGCTTGCTCTCCATATTCCCTTCCATTTTCCCTGATGATCCGATGATTGTCCTGATTCAACTCTCTCGGTCTCTTGGTGCCTTCAAAGACATCATCATGCATACGCTTTTCGGGCGGCCGGCGAAAATCCATCGTATCTTGGGACGCAAAATGTTGCACCAGGACAGCGAAGCGTAGCTGCTCCTGTGGCTATGGCTTGAAGTTGATGAAAACACCATTGGGTTATACGAGAATCCTGCGTGATTTTTGAACATTTTGAAATAGTAGCTTTGCAAGGGATGTCCCTGCCCAAGGGATTAAAACTCACATGGCATTTATGTTTTGGGGAAACACCCAGGCTTGGATCCATCCTTGGACAGGTTCTGTCTGCTGCGGAAGTCATCGAAACTCTGCAAAAAAAGCCTGGACCTGGAAGTATGGCCTGCAGTGCTGCGCGACTCCAAACATGCTGTAAAGTCAGTTCCAAGAATCATCAAACATCTGATCTCTATACACGAAAAAACCGCTTGCGGAAGCTGACAATTTTTGTGGCTCTGCAGACTGCAATCCGCAAATGCTAAATTTTGGCCCAACATGCGAGCCAAGACTCTGTCCACATTCTCTGGTCCAATGTGTGCATCCCAAAAATTCAACTTTTGAGGTGAAGGAGTCTGGCCTGCTTCAGCCTCGGCTGTCAACTCGCCCTGTGTTGCTGGGTGTTCAATATGTTCAATTTGTACCCTTCAGAGCAGGACTGCGCGGAACCTGCACATGAAGCCTCGAGAGTCTCTGCTCATCTCTGCAAATCAAAGCTACACATCCAAAGTTGCAATGCCTTGTGCAACAGGCAACTGTGTGGGTGACCTTCCAAATCCCTTTGCACATCCATCACTTTCATCCGTGTTCAAGCGTGCAAGGGCATGTATAGATGGAGGAACAACCAGTTGCCAAGCTACGTATTGCTCTTTCTCCTCTTGACAGCGCAGCTGCAGCTCTTCAAACCAAGCTCTGACGCAGGGCTCCACTGCATCCAAACGCTCAGGCAGTGGGTCATGACCTGAGAGTGGTGGAACCTGGCCCCAAACCTGACCCCGAAACAAACACAGGAGGATTCCTTTCCAGCCGCGTCACGGATTCTTGACGCCAAAGGCCCCATGGCAGCGCAGCATCTGGAGGATTGGCATTAGCATCCAGTGGTTTAGCATCCAGTGGTTGCGTGTCCAGTAGTTGGCGCAGCTTGACTTTGTTTCTCATGTTTCGGGCTGGGCTTCTAAGGTCAAAGAAATTTAAGCCTCCAATCAATGTTCCAAGATGTTCCAAGTATGTGCACCCTTCTTAACCTCACGTACCCTTGACTTTGGGGGCCCAGTCGGCTGACTTGCTGATTGGGGCAATTTGGGACACATTTTCAAACCAGTCGCTTGTTAATTTTTGCAGCAAAGGCAGGGGCTGTTGGGCCGTTGGGGATGTCGATTCTCTATGTGCTTCGGACTCCGGCATTTTGGGACCGTATGCTTGAACCAGCTTGACGGTTCAAAGCTCAAAGCCTACTATAAGCCTATTATAGGAATGTTGTTTTAGTTTTGGCTGGGAGGCCGCCAAGCATCAGTGCAAGTGAAAGGACCAGAAAGAGCTCGGGTGTCAGCAATGCAAACAACACGCACAGCTGAGAATTGGGGCCAAAGATGCCAAAGCACCTTTTCGCTTTGCTGCTTGCACCAGGTTTCACAGTGACCAACATGCTTAACATTTGCCCACGGCCTGGCAATTCTATGTACAAAATATATCAACACATAGACAGACTCCCCGGTCTTCGGGGAGGTCTTTGCATCTCCTCCAACGGCTCTAGCGTTGGAGTAGCTGAGCTAAAAGCTCTTCAGGAATGGATTGGCCAGGCTTCATGTTCCTGAACCTCGACGACTTGCTGGCACTCTTGAGCCTCCAGCGTGTCTCTGCCTACTGTGATCTCCCCCATGGCAACAGGAACTAGGCAACGCTGCAATATATACATCCAGATGCATCTAGATACATCTAGTAGGTTGGAATCGTGGATCATTCAACAACTGGCTTTTGGTTCCATGTGGTTGAGCACATGGAATGGCGACCAAGCATCCAAATGCGTATGGGAGTCAGCAGTCATTGTTGCACGAGCCGCTTGAAAACTCCATGAATTAACCGGATTTCATTTGATATCAATCATATTCATTCATAATCCTTATCCACATCATTCCACATCCACATCTACAATCATCAATGTACAACATCACTGTCCCACTTCCAGCACCGTTCCAGTGGCCAGTTCCAGTACCTGGGTCCACTGGGTCCCACTGGGCACCTCTTTGGCCGGGAGGTTACGGTCAGTGCGGTCCCCTGTCGTCGGAACTGCAAGTTTCGACGCTGCGGCTCCAGCTTACGCAAGGCGCCCAGGAAACTCGCCTCCCACGGCGGTTCCGGCCTTGGCCATCCATGGGGATGGGATATGACATGAGACATGATAGACACACACACACATACATACATACATACATACATACATACATACATACATACATACACACAGATATATATATATATATACACATAACAAAACACAATATAACACAACATAACATGACATGACATGACATAACATTACATTACATTAAATTACATACATACATACATACATACATACAAACATACATACATGCATGACATGACATGCCATGCCATGACATGACATGACATGACATAACATTACATTAAATTACATACATACATACATACATGCATGCATGACATGACATGACATGACATGACATGACATAATATTAACATTACATTACATTACATTGAATTACATACATACATACATGCATGACATGACATGACATGACATGACATGACATGACATGACATTACATTACATTACATTAAATTACATACATACATGCATGCATGACATGACATGACATGACATGCCATAACATGACATGACATGACATGACATGACATGACATAATGTTACATTAAATTACATACATACATACATGCATGACATGACATGACATGACATGACATAACATTACATAACATTACATTACATTAAATTACATACATACATACATACATGCATGACATGACATGACATGACATGACATGACATAACATAACATTACATTACATTAAATTACATACATACATACATGCATGACATGACATGACATGACATTACATGAAATAACATTACATTACATAACATTACATAACATTACATTAAATTACATACATACATACATACATGCATGACATGACATGACATGACATGACATGACATGACATGACATAACATTACATTAAATTACATACATACATACATGCATGACATGACATGACATGCCATAACATGACATGACATGACATGACATGACATAACGTTACATTAAATTACATACATACATACATACATACATACATGCATGACATGACATGACATGACATAACATTACATTACATAACATTACATTACATTAAATTACATACATACATACATGCATGACATGACATGACATGACATGACATGACATAACATTACATTGCATTAAATTACATACACACATACATACATACATGCATGACATGACATGACATGACATGACATGACATGACATGACATTACATTACATTACATTAAATTACATACATACATACATACATGCATGACATGACATGACATGACATAACATTAAATTACATACATACATACATACATGCATACATGCATGACATGCCATAACATGACATGACATGACATGACATAACATTACATTAAATTACATACATACATACATGCATGACATGACATAACATTACATTACATAACATAACATTACATTAAATTACATACATACATACATGCATGACATGACATGACATGACATGACATGACATAACATTACATTGCATTAAATTACATACATACATACATGCATGACATGACATGACATGACATGACATGACATGACATTAAATTACATACATACATGCATGACATGACATGACATGACATGACATAACATTACATTAAATTACATACATACATACATACATGCATGACATGACATGACATGACATAACATTACATTACACTACATTAAATTACATACATACGTACATACATGCATGACATGACATGACATGACATGACATGACATGACATGACATTAAATTACATACATACATGCATGACATGACATGACATGACATAACATTACATTAAATTACATACATACATACATGCATGGCATGACATGACATGACATGACATGACATGACATAACATTACATTAAATTACATTAAATTACATACATACGTACATACATGCATGACATGACATGACATGACATAACATAACATTACATTACATTAATTCAGGCACACATCAGCAAGCTGCGTTTGCCAGGGAGCAATATCAGCCCTTCCCAGGGGTTGGGCGGTTCGGGAATGCCATTGGCCTGCAAACCGACGCCAGCATTTTCGGCCATCTGCAGCGCATGTGTCCCCAGCAGCAACGAGCTGGCCATCTCCCTTTGCACGTCGACGATTTTGTTCTCCAGCCTCACAATCTTGCCATGACAGGGACCACGCTAAACACGCAGGATTCGTTGATCAAAGGAGTGCTACACGTGAGGCCTAAGTCTATCCATGGCACCTGTGAACTGGAGGATTGGATGTGAAATGATGTGAAGTGGTGAGTTTCTCACAACACATGCTGACCCCACACGTGAAAACAAGTCATTACATTATATTACATTCCCTTATCACTGTGGTGGGCAGCCACTTCCCATTGGTATAAAGTAAGTAGAATTAAGTGGACTCATTATGGACCCTATGGCCTCTGCGAGCTGGGTATTCTGAAACAAATCACTTTCCCGCACTCTCCATTCACCCCAGCGCCGACTTGATGCAGTGATGCCGAAGTTGATTCATTCGGGAAATCTGAAATCAATAGATGTACGCAACCTAGCACACAATTTAGAACATATACCTCATGCTGACATCGTGCTCATACATTGCATGAAAGCAGGTTGCACAAATTTCGCTATCTATAGCATTCCCTAAAATTCACTTTGCAAACTCCCCAGCTTGAGCACTGGCACCTGCATGTCTCAACAGTGCCTTGATCTCCGATGGTCGCCTCCCTCAATTCCAGCTCCACATGCTGCCGTAAGTCTACGAAGCGACTGAAGAGCGACTGCGATGCTTGGTGTAGACGAGTCACCATTGATTCACCTCGGACAAATTGATCAATCTGTTGGAGAATATCTATCACATGCTACAATATGCCATTCACATCAATCGCGCATGTCATACACATGATTTGGGATGATTTGGGTATACATGGTATACGTATGTATATATGGATCACATGGGTATAGTCAGGTAACTCATGCACTTTGGACAAGCAAGTCACAGCTCTGACGATTCTCGCTGATGAGATGAGGCCACTTGTCCAGGTCTTCCATCATGTTCTCCAAGTCATGTCTTAAGTTTGTTACCTGTAACAGCAACCAGCTGGGAAGAAAAGGGCAGAAACACAGACTGCAAATATCTGCCATCCCTCTGATGTACTGATGTTGGTTATCATATTGCTTTATTGAGAATTAGGGGGAGAACCATGAAAAAAAACAATTGTCAATCCATTTCCCACCATTTTCACCAGCAATCTCAGCATTTTGGGGGATCCCCCACATCTATTTATAATATGTTATAATATTTTATAATATCTATATAGCTATGGTCCATACGGATCTCGCGCCTTGGATTGCATGGCCACACAGGTGAGCAGCTTCGTGCTGGCCACCAGGCCTTCCTGACGCTTCCCCTTGATGTGGGACAAGATGAGCTGTGCCACTTTCCGGAAACGCTCCAAAGCCTTGAATCAAGGCTAGATATGGCATGATATGGCTCCCATTGAACCAATGCCCGGAATGTGGGATGATGTCGGATGCAAATCTGTTCCAATGTTTGGAAATGTGTTGAAACTGCTTGGACGCTTCTGTCAAACATGCCTTCTTTGCTGTTCAAAACATTGGCTGACGACCAGCCTTCATCTGGCATATCTAATCTAGCATTCAACATCCCTTTCCTGACAAGTTTTGCTGAGGCACACTCGGCTTCGCTTCATTCTTCATCCGCACAGCTGAAGACGTGGATTCCAAGATCACAGAGCTGGAGCTCCGGGGGGGGGCATCTGAAGCTGCCGAACTAGCTGAGACAGCTGACACAGCTGAGACTACTGAGACTCCTTGTGGCAAAGTTGGCCAAAAGCTTGCTCAAATACCCAAAAATACTATAAAATACAGGTCTCTGGGAGATTGTGGGAGACCAGCTTTAAAGTTGTGAAATTAGCATCAGCCACAAGGCGTGCACTACTGAGTTGGGCTCACGCAATTGCCCACTAGGGGGTGCAGTAAGGCATCGCTGACAACAAACGAATTTCAGAAACCATTTAACATTATTTGAACATTGACATTGACCAGAACAAGCGCGTGGTGTGTGGGACAACTGCCAACATTGCCAAGATTCCCATCATCAGCTTCTTCCTGATTGCCGGTTTAAAATCATGGTAGGGAAGGGGATCTAAGTCGTCTTCCCTTGGCATTTCATCTAGTCAATCTAGTCTATTTGGGTGCAAACCTTCAAACAAACATCTTCCAAGGTTGAAGGACCCAGCGTCATGTTGAAGGTCCCCTTCTTCTTATGCGAAGCAGGCTTTATAGAGATCTCACGCGTCACTGTCGAATATCCCATGACTTGATCAGCCAGATCTTCGCACTTGTTGAGGAGTTTTTGCAGTCGCGTGTCTGCTCGTTCTAGGGAGTCCAATCGCCACATGACCCACTTCCAAATGGTGCAGGGCGGTATATCTTCTTCAGGTGCATCGGGGAAGACTGGCACATGTGAAGGGACTGGTGTCTTTTCCAGAGACTCAGCAAAACCCGTGCCGTGCGCCTGCACCTCAGGGGTGTCGTCGTGACACCCCGTGACATGCCATGACATGCCGTGACTCGCAAGATCTTACAAGTCACCCAGAAGGACATGTCCCATCCTGTCCCAAGAGGCCCCAAGGCTCAAGATAATCAATGTAGATGGGGCACATCGAGATGTATTAATGGGATTTACTGGGGGCATGGCAATGGGTACATGGCCTAAATGGGCCCCCACTCTTGACCATCATCCCCCCCCTTCTCGGGGCAGCAGTGCCTGCAAGACCAACTCCCTGAGTTCGGTCAAGTTTCCCAAGACGGCAACCTTCAAGACCTCATCCACCAAGGATAACATCCCCCAACTGTGCAAGCGACTGCTGAGCCAATCTTGCCAGTCCATGCTTGGACCCTCTGATAGATCTGATACCATTCCATCCTCAAATGCAAATGCGGCGAGTTGGAAGACAAATTGACAAACATCTTCAAGTTCCTCATGCCAATGAATGTAGGACGAAGTACTCATTGGAAACGAGCTTGGAAGTTCGGATGGTGTGACTCCCACCATGTTAAGTGTTGAGTGGAAATCCCCATCTGAGCCCAGCTGGCAAACAATAGTCGTTTTAGAAAGAACATGGGGGGTTGGTTCTTGTAACCCCCAAAAAAATCAAAACTGATGCAAAGTCTGCCAACGTCGTCTGCAACGTCTTTCGTGGCAGTTGGCGTGCCATCTTCTTCAAAGCCTTCCGATAGATCCGACTTGGTCTTGCCGAAGGAGGTCACAGATTCTTTCGAACGCATCCTCAGGCAGTTGTCCTTCCCGACCTCGGCATTCGTCCCGGTTCCGTCAAAGTGAAGATGCTTGAAGAGTCGGGAAGAATTAAGAGACAAAGCTGGACCTTTCTTGTGATATTCCTCAGGATGAAGAGTGTGGAACAGTATATTATAAAGAACTTCATGGATGGACCTGTTGACATTCTACTATTTCAAAACCACCAGGACTACAATCACCCACTGTCTGGGATGGACAGAGGCAATGAGAGGCCGGAGCCAAGAAACACTGACACTTCAAACACTTCTACTTTCCCCATCTTTCCCCTCAAACTGTCAATCTAAAAAAAAATGCAGCTCATAGGAACGTTTGTCTTCGCCTCCAGTGCCATTCTTCGCTGCCAGTGGCCGTACGGTGTCGCTATCTTCGGTTCATCTTTCAGTAGCTTCACACATGCAATGTCCAGGTATGGCCATCTGGTGTCACGTTCATAGACCATCTGTCGCGGCTTGATCTTGGCCTTTGGCCGCGATCCTGGTGCAGTTGGAATGGAGGACTCCGCAGCTTCCGCGGACTTCATGAAGCATTGCACTTCCCGCAGAATCCGACGCTGGTGCAATGGGTGTGCGATTCCCATCTCCGCCAACGTCTCGGTGGTGAGCGGAGCTGACGTGACGTCGGGAGAGGCTTTCTCCTAGCCGAGATTCGTTGATATGCTGCGAGAGCCTAAAGGATCAAAGGGTGCAGCATGATATAGCATGATTACAGCGTAATGACGAAGGCGAAGATGAATAAGGATGGGCTATGCAAGGTTGATGCAGGCAACCTGGGTACCTGCGATGATGAAGCCCACAATCTAAATGAATGTTCGATATGTTCGCGAGTGTGTGTTTCATTTTTGTCTGATATTTTCTGCATGAATTTTAAAATTTCACATGTGAACGACTATTGTATATGCATACAAAACTGTATGTGGCACTGCAGCGTTTGGAGCTCAGAGCTATGGTATGCGGATCTCCTCCAAGTTTGTCCGCAGCTGCGCCACCATCCAATCTGGCAAGTTCCGCCTGGGCGTTTGACCGACTTAATGCCCCAAGGCACAAACCCAAACAATCGTTATCAATCGATATCGATCGTTCTGAGAGAACACATCATTGGCTTCAACTTCTTCAATTTCTGGAAGAAGAACACCATCATCGCAAACTTGCACAAGCCTTTGCAGTGAGATCATGTGTTCTTTCCTACCCACGCTGGAAGACGTGCATCAAGCTCTTTCACTGAGGAAATGACGTGGCCAGGAAGCTGCAGAACTCATCGACCTTCAATGCCATCAGGGCAAAGGAGACAGCTGGACTCCACAACCTGCAGCTTGGCAATTTCATCCGTTCATGTGAAGCGTATCCCAAAAATGTGTCAGAGACAGAGGTTATCAGCAACACATTTTTTAAACATGCCAATATATGCCAATGATATGTCAGTGTTGATCAATGTTGATCAATGTTGATCAATGTTGACTGATGCCGCTACATATTGTGACAATGTGCACCCCCCACGCTTGCCTTGAAGGGCTGCTGAGGTGCTTCGCTGGCGAGCCCGCGACCAAACGCGTAGCTGCTCATCAAAATGTTTGCAATAGCTTTGGGTCTTGTCTTAATGACTTATACAAACGCTTCTGATGTTCTCGATCTATCTTAATGCAGGTTCCTAGCTGAAGTTTGAGATGAGCTTGCCACTAGCATGAATGTTAGTCTTGACAGGTTCAAACACACGAAACATAAGAACCAGCATTGGCCACCAGAATTATTTACAAGAGAGGTATATATATATCATACCCATTACTTCTGGTTGGCCACTGGGTGCATAACATGTCTTTGCTTTGGGGTGAAACCTTTTGAGCCTAGATGCTTCACACCCAACGGCATCCTAGCCTACTCCTAGCCTACTCCTAGCCAGTACAGATTCCGCTCTGCTTTGGAACTGCAAATTGAACGCACGCTGACCCACAAATCTTGGTCTTGCACTGAGTTTCAAGATGTTTCAAGGTTTGACACGGATCCCTTGTCCCTTTGCCTTGCTCTCGGCTCTGTCTCGAGAAGGCTTGAGCTTCCAAGCTGGCCTGCTGCAAGGAGATTCGGGGCTAAATGGCAGGACCTTCCCAACGCTGCATGTCAAAAAGCACTCCTCTTGAGTTCTTGGCATCAAAACAAGAAAGCAAAAAGCACATTTCAATGCATTTCATTCATCCCTCAACGAAAACTCTTGGCATCCCCCAGGCTACAACTGAACCGCAAACTCAGTCGGGTGAACAGCAACGCGTCTACCCGGAAGCCTGGGAATGGATCTGTCTCAGCTCCTCTGCTGCAACTGGACCTAGGCCGCCCTTAACAAAAAAACACAAGTCATCCTGGCGTGCTCGTGACACAACAAGGTCAAAATGGCATCTACTTGCTCAACCAGTGTCAGGACCTTATTTCATCTTATTTCTCCCCACTTTTGGATATCTTCTAGTATCATCCACCTCATGAACCTTTTTGTGTCCATCGAAAACGTGCATTTGTATGCAATCAAAACATATCAAAACCATGTATATTGCAGATCATTGTAGATCTGTGGTAGCTGCTTTTTGGGTAGCTGCAAACCCGCGTTTCACAAACCAACTCCCAATCTGTCCGACACTGCCGAGCCCTGGGCGATCTTCCCACACGTGCCGCGAAGCACCTATAGAGCTCCAGCGGTTTGAGAATTCTGCGGAATGAAATGTGTGGACTTTTTTTTTTTTGTGAACCCACAAAAAATATGATAGATTCAATTCTGATCACACAAATCCCAATTGGGTATATATAATTACACTGTTTACAGTTTACAGGCAATTTCCAAATGAGCAAATTGGGTGATGCATGGTGGGTTTAAGGCACTGACAATCATCGATAATCATTGAATGCGATTGATTGAATCATTGTTACATATCCAATCATCGCAATCATATCCACCCGCGTCCGGTGTTCCTGCAGGAGGCATCCAGTCTTACAATGGTCTTTTCAATGCTATATTCCGGCAACTTCGGCGTCGGCGGCTGTCTCATTGTCGCTGCCAGAGGGGTGCCTAAACTCACCTGGAGTTGACCATATTTTAGCGATGATATGGGCTGGTCAGCAGAGGAATCCAGAGGAGATCCACTGTTTGAACTTGTCACAAGAATGGTCAGGGCACCATATCCATGCATCCAGGGCCGGCGAAATCAACAACCCTGGCACCATCGAACTACACGAGCTCAGCTGGTCCAAGTCTCCTGGAGTATGCCCTACTGCTATCTACTGCGATCATCTGCGATCTACTTCTACTGATACTTCTTGCATCTTCTTGATACACCGATACACCATTTGCCGCTTCTGCCCTCACTTGCTTTCAGCTTTGGCGAAGTCTTGCGCCACCATCTTCGATGTAATCCTGGGTTCACATTCTTGACGTCAGACGAAATATGTTGACATATTAAATTAATATAAATTAACATATCCGATTGCAAGCGGAGGCTAAAGATCTCTAAATTGCTCCCTAATGCGATGCCATTTGTTCGAGCATGTTCGATGACTTTTCATCTGAAGAGCCTCTGGGGGTCACCACCTGCGCCTCACCAAGGACCAAAGGCCCAAAGGTCCAGGCTGTACACTATACAGGCTATACATCACTGTACATGTCTTGGGCAGGATGGTCTCTTTCACGCGTGCTTTCCTTCAGAACCTATAGGCGATTTACGGCATGGGACTGTGTGTCAGTGTGGGATGGCATGGGTCAAAATCTTGTGGTTTGACTATTGTCTACGACAGACATAGGCTGTAGGGTTTGGTGACACAATTTCTGACCCAGGCATGCAGAGGCTAGCATTCCTCGGATGAGTGCCCCAGACTCAGCTTGCTAAGCTGGGCCTTAACATGCCGCATCGCACTTCGATTATACTTCTGATTCCTCTTGGATTTAAGAGGCCTGAGTCTCGGCCATTCGTCAGAGCAGTCACATGGGTAAGGCTCAAGCTGATCAGACTTTTCTTTTGGCACCTGTTTCCAAGATCGCTTTGAATTTCTGCCCAAATCCCGGTGCAGAAGGCGGGGGCATAAATCCTGCAGAAACACTAAATCACGGAGGACGTTTGGAGGGTCGTCAGGAGGGCAGCAGTACATGCAGTCGCAGCCTATATCCCACCATTCTTCATGGAAATTAGCTTTCTCATCAAATTCCAGCAAGAGCTGCCCTTGCTGGTGGGATCCTTCCAGTGCCTTCTGCAAGTCTGCTCTCAAACCGGGGATCTTCTCGTTCTCCAATTTTCGCCAAAGAGCGTGCTTCTTGAAATCCTCGTGCCCGACTGTTTCTTCCATGTCTCCCAAGCGAACTAGCTTTGGAAGCCGAAAGACTAGCCACTTCTCTTGCTGCAATGGCAAAGTTCCCTTCAATTGCTCGATTGTTCTGTCGATCTCTCTGAAACTAGTGCCTGCGACACACAGCTGCCTTCGTTTCCGGGTCAGCTCAGTCTTCAAATCTACCCATTTCGCAACTTGCTTCTTACAGGCTTGCAAGTCCTCCTTGAAGATACGCAAGTGCCTTGAGAGCTCCATTCTGTCTCGGTCCACCACTCCGAAAAGGGGGCCAGGTTCAGAGATTTGGAAGGCTGCCAAGGCATCAGCCAGGCTCGCTGTTCCACAGAGAACCTGCCCTGCACAGCTGATCCTTACTGCCTCGGCGGAAGCTCCCAGGGCCTTGGCCACTTTGGTCTTCACTTGATGCAAACTTTCCATGGGCTGCACCAAAACGGATTTGCCGTTGAGGCAAACCACCTCCATCTGTAAGAACTGGGAGCAAGCCAGGTAGGGGAGTTGATTGAGCCAAACTGCAACTTGTTTGACTTTAAAGTGGAGAGGGGAACATGGCAGAACAACGAAATCAATGAGCGTGTATACAGGTACTGCGTCATATTCACGAGGAAAATGACGCGCACCTTGAAAAATATGGCATTGGCCCATTGGCATCGCCGCATCGCTATCAAGTAGCCAAATGTAGTCAACACATGTCAACAATAGTCCATGAAATTTCCATAAGATCCATAAGTCCATATCCATCCATATCCCAGATGAAAATCGGACGAGGCTCGGGTGATAAGTTCCTCTGGCCTTCTCGAAGGCAGCCTTTGCCCTCGCCATTCGAGCAGGCTCCTTCATCCTCAGCCGACCAATATCGACATCTGCTATGCTGATTGTGAAAAGGTTTAATAGGGTTTAATTATAAGATTTTGTAAGACAACAAGGAAAGCCAAGACAAGTCCTTCCATCATCAGGGCGCCTCTGTGGGTGCTTGGAAATTTTCAAAGGGCGTAGCTACAAAGACAGAAGGGTGCTGCGTGCTGTGCTGACACGCCACAGCTCCCGATAGAGTGGGCGAGTGAACTTCATCCTGCCCACCTGAGAGTCTGAGAGGAGCCCAACTTAGGAATACACAGGAAACAAATGGAAACAATATGAAACACAATTGTTACTCACAATTGTTCCTACATATCAAGCATCTTCACCGACAGTGAAACAATCATCAGCACACAATATACACAATACTCAATGGATTGGTTTAAGGGAAAATTTACAGGAAAGCCCCATGTTTAATGGGAAAATCTATGGTTTCCTGTAAATTTTCCCTTAAACCAATCCATTGAAATACACTACGAAGATTCCCCTTGGGATGGCCTCCAGTGCCATGGCGATGGCGGCATCCACTCGTGATGGGTCATGGCATGCCATGGCCAAAATCAACCAACGGAACCGGATCTCTGCATTGCTGGTGGCATCCTCAGTCGCTGAGACATGTTGGCTGATTAGCTGATTAGCCAAAAGGGGCTAAAGGGGCTAAAGGGGCTAGTAGTTTGCTGGTTTCTTGGGGGTTCATTATACTTGGGTCATGCTTCAGTCCTATGGCCACTTTGCTTCGCTTTGCATTCGCTTTGCCTTATCCTGTTCTGCTTCGGACTTTGCTCATTGCTCCAAGTTTCCAAGCCATACGCCTCGCTCCACGTGCTGAGACGTTGTCGCACCTAGGTGAGACATAATTACTGCGTGGTGAAAAGCCCGCTGAGTTTCATATGGTCTGAGTTCTCATCTATACTTATGCTTGATATATCAGTTGCAACCCAAGTTATTGCGACAAAGATCCAAATCATGCCTTGTGTGAAACGTTTTATTATCATTACATTAGTATGCATTGATCACAGTTGCACACATGCATTCATAAACTAGTAGATACATGTAGATACAGTTACACAAATGCGTTTAGACTTAGACTTGTAGCATCATGCATCAACATATCAACGTATTATTAGATCTTACTAGTGTCGGGGTGATTTCTGTGGAAGCTACTGCGTTTCTCAGACACCTTGCCTCATCCGCTTTGCCAGCAGCAGCTTGCTCGCGAGCGTAGTCCACCAGCCGGTCCAAGAGCAGCCTCAATGACAAAGGTGGACGGCACAGTGTTGTGACCAGCACCTGTAACATCCTGCAACAGCTCTCCAAGGACCATTTCGGGGTCATATTGAGTGGAAAATGACCAAAACATCTACACATGAGATCACATGAGAAGGCATTTCTTTCAAGCACCAAATGACTGCTGGAAGTCTCTGCACGCCGGTGGCTTCGTGTCACGTGTGCTTGCTGGCTATGTACAGGTCTGCAAGCAATGTAATCAATATATTTACTGTTGGATTGTCTATCTACCTTCCCCATCTGAGCATTCCATACCAGGATTGTCTGTCAAGCATGTTATTTTTGGTGTCGCCGTCATTTTGGGGATTGCACGGGTAGAAGGTAAAGCAACATAAAGCAATATATATATATATATGCATAGTAAAACATGGTGGTTAGTAACCTAACCGTGGAACCGCAGGAACCTGAACCGTAGGAACCGAACCGAGTGGAACCTAACCGTTGTGAACCTAACCGAAAAGATTCGCCATGGAACCGTCAGAACCGATCGAACCGAACCGACCGAACCGAAAGCAGATATACCGAACCGATCGAACCGAAAGCATCGGGGTTCCATTTCATTATGTGAAGCTGTGCAGGAGTTTTAGAGCGGTCTAACTTTTGTGCATAGGGCCTCAGGCTTTAAAATGCACAAAAACAATGAAAACTGGTTCTGCAACAAAATGCCTTGCCAGCAAATTCATGCCCGAATTTGCATCCAACTTCATCCAATTTCGAAGACCCTCAGAAACGCCTCTTTAAAAAGGGGTCAGGAAATTCTTTTTAGATAGGGGTATTTTAGAGTGAAGGTGCCCGAATATTAAGTGTTTTTTTTTTTTAATAGCATTTTATAGCAACAAAATACGGTGGCATTCTTTCGTGGCAATTCCTTAAAATTCCTGAAAAATCCTTTAAATTCCCTAAACTCCTAAAATTAGTAATTAGTAAAAGTAATAGTAATAGTAAGAATAATAGTAATAATAAGATATAATAAATATATAATCATACTGTAATATACTATAATATCATCAGTGCTTGGATTCCTAGGGTCGCAATTCTTCCGCCTGATGTCTCCATTTCTCCAAGGGGCATAGTCTGCGCAGGAAACCATCCCTCTGTGTCCTCTTTACTGCCCTCGTAGCCACCCTTCAGGGAGGAGAAGAGCAACTCCACCTGTGAAACACTGTGAAACAGCCCAGCAATCTGAAGGAACCAGGATCTCTGTATCTTTTACAACCAGCTTCCTCCTACATCACTTTGCCTTCCTAAAATCTTTGACTGAATGTCATGTCATTCCCACTCAGAGCGAGAAATGGAGAAAACTCTTGCACCTTCTCGGCAAGTACGCAGTTCATGGTCGGTAATTCAGGCAAACCTGATCCATAAAACCATTTCTGCCAATCCACGTTCTGCACAGCTGGCCTTTGTAGCGATTTCAATTCTGCGCCCAAAATTGAAGGTCAATGCTGAAATATGCTGAACATCATCAATCTCAAAGTCTAACCGAGTCTAACCGAATCCAATTATCCAATTGAACAGAATCAAATCTACCCTATAGGTCACAGGTCTATCCAAAATCTATCCAAAGAATATACTCATGCAATATTCCCCACCCTGCGCGCAAATCCCCTGCAGCACTGGGAGACCAAAGCAACCAATGCATCTGGCTTGAACTTGAAGGAAACAGGAAAGACGGGTCAGTCTCAAGCGTCTGAAGCACATCTTGCAGCCAGAGCTACTCTGAAGAGAAGTGCTCCAGAAAGAAGTTCTTGAAGTCCTCTTCCGTCAAGAAGCCGCCAGCGAAACGTTTCACGTGCGCCCGAAGGTAGGCTTCAAATCTCTCCTCTGCAAGTCAGACAGCCCGTCTGCTTTGCTGCCATGTCAATTTCGTTGTTGTGAGTGGCAATTCACTCCTGGCCCACCAACTTCTCCAAATGAAGCAGCAAGAGCTCACCCTTCCTTGGTACATCAATTCAATCGATCCTTGCCTGTCATGCCGATGGAATGCCTTCCTTTGCCTGCTATTGCCCACTAAATCCACGTCTGAGGAGCACATAAGGAACAACGCTGAAGGCATCGTCAGGATCGATTCCCTTCAGTTGCGGGCCTCAGTTGCCAATTGGATTTTGCAAGGCTGCAAGTTAAGCAGTCGCACGGAGAACTTTGCAATGTCATAGTTCTTGGTTGGTGTATGTATTACTGTCCTGGATGGCGTATTACTGGTTTCACGCTTTGCTTGACCCACTGCCAGCCCCCCATTTTTGATGCGAAGAAGTGGAGACATGTGGGGACAAGGCGCAGAGCTTTGTAAACTCGTGGCCAGCACCAAAGAGCTCGACGGATTGCACCAGGTCAAGGCAGTCGTTCCGCACCAGCAGCTGTTCATAGTCCTTGCAGCTCTGGTTGCTGGGGTGAGTACGGTGAATGATTAGCTAGTGTATGCTAGTGTGGACCAGGCAATTGTTGGGCCCTTTTGCAGTGTTACTTCTGCAAGTGAGGCTCCGGTCCGTGGATGTTGTTCATAATCCTGCGCTCTCCAAACTTTGTGAAGCCCTCGTTCAACCAGAAACATTCCTAAATCAGATAGCTTCACAGCATCGCATGGCATGTTTCAGGCACATCCAAACATAGCTATGCACTTGCCACCTCCGTGCAACCTGCAACCTATGCAGTCGAAGCGGCCCAGCTCCGGTTAGTGCATAAATTTCCAAACCAGCTGTGTGTTATTTCATGGGCCACCACGTCTGCCAACGACCGATCGCCCGCCAAGAGAGTTGGAGTTACAAAAGTTAAGCCTCAGTCAGCAGCAGCAAGGGGGGGACAATTTTGATCAATTTTGTGCCTCTGTACTTGCTTGGCTGATCATGTCTGATCGACCCAAAAAAGGCCAAACTCCACACTGCTGAGTACTGAAAGCAAGCTACTGGCATGCTAGCGGCATTTATACACGATCATTTACGCATCTGTCATTTCCATTTTCTGTGGCGTACAGTGCCACTTGCAAATAAAACCCCGGGCATCTCTTGGCGCTCCTCTCTCCCTCAGGGAGGTTGCAACGTGAAAGACTTCAAGTGTTGGTCTGGAAGAAGTTGGCTAGGCAACTCTGGGCAGAGATGCCAAGGAAATGTGACTGAAATGGTGTTCGAAGCTGCGCCAACTGTCTCCCTTAAGGCAAGCGACACGGGTTTTCCATGCCGCCATAAGGAAAAGATGGAGGCAAAACGAGCAGATCGTAGATGCCCCAAACATATTCACCAAAGAGCTTCTCTCCAATGGCCAGAAACTTCTCGGTGTCCGAAAATTCCTGGTGGCATTCAGATTCATTCAAGACAATTCCTCGTCATGCGACTATCCTATCTATCCTGGCCACCCATCAAAGCTCTGGCAACTCCGCAAAGAACAGCACCGAAAGCTATCAGCTATCAAGGGTCATAAAATATCATAAAATGCTATATCATACATGCAGGCATATTGTATGTCTTTATATATATATCCTTCCTTTCAGCAACCTTCTCTTTCAGGTTCAGTCAACAACATCACTCGTTGCCCATAATTAAAAATAATCCACCGAGAGCCACTCACAGTTGCTACAATCTGTCCAGATCTTCCATCAGGTCTGGTCCGAGCTGCAAATGCACAGGCCTCCACAGCCTCTGGTTCACTCCACACATGACTACGTGGGCCCACGCGGCGTGAGGCCAAATTTCCACAGGCCAGGGCCAGCAAATACGATGGAATCGGCACCTTCCTGACATTAATTCTGACTCATATCACTCAGAAGTATGAATGTTCGATGAACTCTGTTGGATGCATCATATGCAACATGATTCTACAGCGATGTACGCCCGGGCAGGCTGCAAAGAGATTGTAGATCTCCAAAGCTTCAGGAATATAAAACTTTGCTCTTCAACCTTTGAATGTACCCCTCACTCTCTCTGTTCTCTCTCTCTCTCTCTGAAATTGAAAAAACGTAAGGCCACAAGGCCTTCTTTGAATCGTCTACAGTATGGTTCGTCTTATTCCCAGTGTTTCTCAGAACTTGTTTTTGCCAAGCGACTGCGTGAAGGAAAAGCATCGCTTGCCACCCTCCACTTCCTTGGGCTCGCCGTCCGGCACTGCAGACATGAGCACTGTGAGGGGTGAAGGAGCAGTGATCTTGGCAGTGTACTTGCTCTTGACGCCTGCCACGGGGCCAGGTGGAAGCTACCCTGAGGGTAGCCTGACATATTTCCAAAACGTAAAACAACCATGTAAACAGCGGCCATTTATAACTCGTGTGCACTTTGGTTAGTGGGCAGCTTGCTTCACTAAACCCTGATATGCACCAAGCCAGTGCTTTCTGGTAAATGAAACCTGGCTACCACTTCTGCATAGCGCTATCCTGGTATGTTGACGATTGTGCACTATGGCTCGACCATAGCCTTACTCGACCTTCCTCGATGTGTTCTTAGTATTTCTTAGTGGGGTGGACGAGTGTTGTCAGTTGGCATTGGGGAATGGCCAAAGAGGGAAAACTTGCCTGGTGTGTCTTGGCAGGGCATGAGGCACCGAGCATGAATAGCTTGGCACTGCGTAAAGAGATACGGGTGCTTCTTCCCTTGTGTCTGCTCCTCAGTTAAGTCAACACCAATGGAGAAGAGATTTGGATAGATTTGGGAAACTCAATCACACTGAAAGCATCCAAAATGCATCCACGGGTCCGGAGAGAGCATCTGTATGGCAATGGCGTCCTTATGAAAGCACATGAGTTGATCTGTGGCAAGTTCCATCAGCTAAGAAGAGTGCTAAGAACCATGTTGGGTTTGGGAGTTTGGTATATATGAACTTGGTTGAAAGCCGCTGAAATCCAGCGGCCTAGAAGGACTTTGAACAGTTGGACCCACAGTGCAAAACTAAAACTAAACTGTTCAACTCTAACTCTCCCAAGGAAAACTTCCGAATGAAATGGAATGAACCACCTAGGCATCACAATTTTCAGGCCAGGCATCTGGCGCTGTAGCATACTCTATTCGCACCACTGCCTTTGCCCCTGGGGAGAGCTTCCTTTGGCGGAGAAACTGCCCAAGAACATTGCAGGCCCAAGCATGACCAAGGGTTGCATCTTTCACAGTGCGGGAGAAACTTGATTTCAACTGGACTTAGACAATCTTGGACAGATACAGGCACATGAAACAAAAACTGATCCAACGCAAACAGAGATTCTTGAGAAGTGGTACCTCCAACGCTTCTCCCAGTGCTTCGGATTTGCGGCCTCATCGGGCTGCTGACTGTGAGGAAGCGTGATGCTTATGACTTCTGAGAATTGCTTAGCCCATCTTAGCCCCATAAAAAAAGTTACAAACAAAAGGTTTTCAACAGCAAAACACGCAAGCCTGACTATGTTCCCTGCCGAGAAACCCTTGGTGCCCAGCTGATATTCTCCAGGCGCCCCATCCACCGTGATGCTTTTGATATCTAGGCTGCGCGTGTCCAGGACCATGCGCTCTGTCTCTTGAACACATAGCAGGTGTAGCTCGATGGCGCCCTGCAAGATACCCTTCTCAAAGCTGATCCTCAAATTGGAGGGTAATTGCCGTTTAATGCCATGTAATGCCATGTGGGTATTGCTTTCAAACCACCACAATGGATGGTAATAAAACATGATCAGCCTTCTGAGGGCCGATTGGAACCCAAGTTTTGCTGATATCTCTTTTTTTGCAATCGTTGGTGGGAGGTGAATATGCACAAAAACCGGGGTTGCATAGTCGGACGTCCCAATTTCGAGACTTAGCCGGATGGCAAGTCCAAGCATCTCCTGTTCCAACGCATAGCTCTCCACGAGCACTTCGTCGAAATTGCCTTGCTTTCTCGGAAAAGGCTGCGTCCGTCTTGTGATTTTCCCCACTTTCAAATGAGACTTTGGGGTTTGATATGGTTTGATTGTGGTTCCCTCTTTCAGCCCCAAAAGGAAACTACGTGGTGGCACTCAAGCTTCATCCATGCCAAAGTGATTCCTGATATTTGGTACTCACACATCCTTGTGGATCCCTTTGAACATCTTTGAACACACACACACATATATATATATACACACAATTCCGGATGTACACTGTGTACTTCTCCACCGTCGCTCTAAATTGTGTCATGGTGCTATAGCTGCTGGCATCTGGATAAGGCCAATCGGTCGTCAGGGTCACAGCTAATCTGGCAGCAGATTGCCCACCCACCGCAGGATATCCAGTTTCCACCTTGGTGATCTTGGCCAAGCCCTGCTTCTCAATGGCATGTGCGGTCTCTGCCACGGTTGTGGTGGCTGGGCCCGTGCCTGGACAGCGTGGAACATGGAACTTGGCGTTTGAAAATAGTGCCCTTGGCATCCTAGAAGCAGCTCTGGTGGCAATCATCACCAGCATTCATAAACTCATATTATACACTATTATAATTTATGAGTACTAACTAGACGACGGATGGCCTGAGAGCGTAGAGGAGCAGAGTCTTCTGTTGTTAGTATGGAGACACGCTTTTTACACACAGGCTCTTTTACACACAGACGCTTTTACACACAGACGCTTTACACACAGACGCTTTTTACACGCAGGCGCTTTTACACACAGAAGCTTTTACACACAGACGCTTTTACACACAGACCCTTTTACACACAGACGCTTTTACACACAGACGCTTTTTACCCTTTTACACACAGACGCTTTTTACACAAACACTTTCACGCGCAGACGCTTTTACACACAGACGCTTTTTACACACAGGCTCTTTTACACACAGGGACTTTTACACACAGAGGCTTTTACCCGCAGAGACTTTTACACACAGACGCTTTTACACACAGAGACTTTTACACACACAGACGCTTTTACACACAGACGCTTTTACACACAGACGCTTTTACACACAGAGACTTTTACACACACAGACGCTTTTACACACAGAGACTTTTACACACAGAAGCTTTTACACACAAACACTTTTACACACAAACACTTTTACACACAGACGCTTTTACACACAAACGCTTTTACACACAGAGACTTTTACACACACAGACGCTTTTCCACACAGACGCTTTTACACACAAACGCTTTTACACACAAACACTTTTACACAAACAGTTTTACACACAGACGCTTTTACACACACACGCTTTTACACACAGAGGCTTTTTACACACAGACGCTTTTACACACAAACACTTTTACACAAACAGTTTTACACACAGACGCTTTTAAACACACACGCTTTTACACACAGACTCTTTTTGCACACAGACGCTTTTTACACACAGACACATTTGACACACAAACACATTTACACACAGAGGCTTTTACACACAAACACTTTTACACAAACACTTTTACACACAAACACTTTTACACACAGACGCTTTTACACACAGACGCTTTGACACACAGACGCTTTTACAGACAGACGCTTTTACACACAGAGACTTTTACACACAGAGACGCTTTTACACACAGAGACTTTTACACACAGACGCTTTTACACACAGACACTTTTACACACAGACGCTTTTACACACAGACGCTTTTACACACAAACGCTTTCTACACACAGGGGCTTTTACACGCAGAGACTTTTACACACAGACGCTTTTACACACAGAGACTTTTACACACAGACGCTTTTACACACAGACACTTTTACACACAGACGCTTTTACACACAGACGCTTTTACACACAGACGCTTTTTACACACAGGGGCTTTTACACACAGAAGCTTTTACACACAGACGCTTTTTACACACAGACCCTTTTACACACAGACGCTTTTACACACAGACGCTTTCTACACACAGGGGCTTTTACACACAGACGCTTTTACACACAGACACTTTTACACACAGACGCTTTTACACACAGACGCTTTTACACACAGACACACAGACGCTTTTTACACACAGGCGCTTTTACACACAGACAAGTCCGGCACAAGTAAAATCGCAATTTTACCTCAGTTTTTGACGATCGACCCTCATTTCGTGCGAAAGGGTTGCTCCGGCACAAGTAAAATCGCAATTTTTCGTCAGTTTTTGACGATCGACCCTCATTTCGTGCGAAAGGGTTGCTCGGGGGCAAGTAAAGTCGCAATTTTTCCTCAGTTTTTGACGATCGACCCTCATTTCGTGCGAAAGGGTTGCTCGGGGGCAAGTAAAGTCGCAATTTTTCCTCAGTTTTTGCCGATCGACCTTCATTTCGTGCGAAAGGGTTGCTCCAGGACACGAAAAATCGCAATTTTACTTCAGTTTTTGCCGATCGACCCTCATTTCGTGCGAAAGGGTTGCTCGGGGGCAAGTAAAGTCACAATTTTTCCTCAATTTTTGACGATCGACCTTCATTTCGTGCGAAAAGGTTGCTCCAGCACAAGAAAAATCGCAATTTTTCCTCAGTTTTTGCCGATCGACCCTCATTTCGTGCGAAAGGGTTGCTCCAGCACAAGAAAAATCGCAATTTTTCCTCAGTTTTTGCCGATCGACCCTCATTTCGTGCGAAAGGGTTGCTCCAGGACAAGAAAAGTCGCAATTTTTCCTCAGTTTTTGCCGATCGACATTCATTTCGTGCGAAAGGGTTGCTCCAGCACAAGTAAAGTCGCAATTTTTCCTCAGTTTTTGATGATCGACCCTCATTTCGTGCGAAAGGGTTGCTCGGGGGCAAGTAAAGTCGCACTTTTTCCTCAGTTTTTGCCGATCGACCCTCATTTCGTGCGAAAGGGTTGCTCCAGGACAAGTAAAATCGCAATTTTACATCAGTTTTTGCCGATCGACCCTCATTTCGTGCGAAAGGGTTGACGTTTCGTGACTCACCGCCGGTACCACCCTGGGCCTAAAGAGAGAAAGATAAAGAAGGCGAGAGAGAGAGAAAAAGGAGAGAGAAAGGAGAGAAGATGTGAAGGTGAGAAGATGTGAGAGAAGGTGTGAAGATGAGCAGATGTGAAGATGAGCAGATGTGAGAGAAGATGTGAAGATGAGCAGATGTGAGAGAAGATGTGAGAGAATATGTGAGAGAAGATGTGAAGATGAGCAGATGTGAGAGAAGATGTTAGAGAAGATGAGAGAAGATATGAAGAAAGATGAGCAGATGAGAGAAGATGTGAGAGAAGATGTGAGAGAAGATATGAAGAAAGATGAGCAGATGTGAAGATGAGCAGATGTGAGAGAAGATGTGAAGATGAGCAGATGTGAAGATGAGCAGATGTGAAGATGAGAAGGTGTGAAGATGAGAAGGTGAGATACAGACCCCCACTATTGGAAGAACCCTGCGCTCAGACGCTCTCGGGAAAAAACTACAACAATATGTATGTATGTATGTATGTATGTAATGTAATGTAATGTAATGTAATGTAATGCCATGCCATGCCATGCCATGTCATGTCATGTCATGTCATGTCAATGTAATGTAATGTAATGTAATGTAAGGTAATGTAATGTAATGTAATGCATGTATGTCTCTCTCTCTCTATATATATATAAATGTATGTAATAATATACGAGGATGCATCCGTGGCAGCATTTTGTATTGACCCAGGTGCCACTCAGAATCACAGATGGCACTGGAGGCTTCTCCTCAGTGCCACGGAGGAAAGTGGCCGCTGCGCGGATGTAAAAGCCGGTGCCCTTCTTCGCAGTGATCTTCCTGGGCAAAGATGATAAGAATGGCTACACTGTGATGAAGAAAAATGTATTATGATAAATCATGCAACACATAGGACAAAGGTCAACAATGGTAAACAAAGGGCTCATGAGAGATTTGAACCAAGCCATTACACTTGACATCCGTTGGCTCCTACTGTACTGGTACTTTGGTGGGCTCTCAATCCCAGGGTCAGTTCGGTCATCACTGCGTGTTCGATGGCCCTGCCAGTACCGAGAGACAGGGCAAGTCTGGCTTGAGCAAATACTGCAGAGCGTTGAATAGACAAAACAACACACCTTCAAAAAATCCGTGGCATGATCAGGTTCATGAGCCAATCGTCAGTGACCTCTGTCTATCCGACTCCACCAGCCCATTGCAAATCACATGCCATGTCCAACAGGTCACCTCATATCACTTCGAATATACTGCAAATGTTTCCAACAGCAACTTTCTAGTGTCATCAATTAATGCACCTGAGCGTGCATCTTCACAGCATCGAAGAGCTTCAACCTGTAGGACCAGCTCCGCCCAAGAGCTCAGGCTGTGGTGCATGATTATGTAACAGGGACCAACTTGTGTCAAACTCGTCCAAGAAAAACAAAACGAAAGATGCTGACATATCTTTACCACCTAAATGTCAAAACATGTCCAAACCAAGCTTGGAACCATATTGCCATGGTAGAACTCCAGCTTGGCCAAACGCGCCAAACCTTGGCACCGTGTTTTGTCACAGGAGATCACAGTGTGATCACAGGCCCTGCCCGAGGCCCTTCCATCTTCTCAGCTTGGGCTGCGGCTCAGCGCAACCACAGGCCAACCAGGTGGGTAGATCTGAGTGGCTGTCGTGGGCTCACATGGATAGTATTGAGCTGTATTGAGTTTATTGACATGTATTGACAACATTGATAGGATTTGATAGGTGTTGGTAACATGGGACAGTTGGAGCGAACATATAGCTAACCACATCTAATCTCATTGGCGCTTAACTTGATGCAATGTGGGTGGAGCCTGGCGCTGACAGGAGCAAACCTCTCGCGCAAACACCTCAACACCAGAAACATGGTATGCCACTGACAGCGAAGTATTGCGCATTCAGAATCCCACATGAACACTGCAGGATAAACCTGCTTTCCAATTTTCATCAATTTCCTCTGATCTCATGGGGTGGCTTTTTGGGCAGCTTAACAATTCTTAACATCTTGTGTAAGTAATTATATAACATTACCAAAGAAACTGCACCATCATCTTCAGTGGTGAAACTCACCGAGAGGCCCTGCCAGTGCTTCTTGCCACCTTTCCTGCGCAAGGGCTTCATCCATGAGCTCCCCTAGGAGAAGCAGTGACCGCCCCGGAAGAGGACACATTGTTTCAAGGGGCTGCAGGAAGGATCCTCAAAAAGTCAAAAGTTATGTTCGGAACGAACCGAGATGAACCGAGGCTGCTGACGTGCCAAAGCCAGTCGCAGGGAATGACCTCCGGTGTTAGGGGGCCAATCACAGAGGGTGGCCGTTGACTCCACCAAAACTTTGGGCGGGGGGCGGGGGCCAAGCCTTGAACCACTACATCTCTGGGTTGAGTTTTGATGGCATGATTTGCAGGTTGTGTTTTAAGTATTTTTAAGTCTGGCAGCCTGGCAACTTTCCAGTTCGCCCTGCCTCCACCAAGTCTGAAGACGGAGCCTGCACGGTGCCGGTGAGCTGGCTGGGAGGCCATTAGATCCTGTTCCACCAGGCCTGATGTGGCTTCTCGCCAGGCGTCATGGAACTTGCCCTTGGGGTTGCCATAGCATCAAATTGTCACATATTGTCACCAGGTAGGCCCGGGCAACATATGTCAAAGCTTGCCCCTTGATGCTTCATTTTTATATATTTTTTTCAGCGCAGGTCCCGAACCTCAACGATGTGCAAAGAGCCGCTGTCCCTTTTCGATCTCAGCTGCTGCCAGTCACTGGCCATTGCTTGGCCAAGAAAACAAGAGCCACACCGTTGCTCCAGCCAAAGCCAACCTTTCGGAGCCAGTCTTGTCAGGTCTCAAGGGTTGGTATCAGTCCCTGATAGTCCCTGCCAACTTTACGCATCGGCAATATTCGGGAATTCAGTAATTAGCGGGAATATGTATCGATAGTATTCAATAGTTAAGCCATCTCCACCGATACTTCTCTGTCAAGACATGTCAAGACTTGACTCCTCACGCCTGCGGCTCGTATTCACCACCTCCACCGCCCTCTCCAGGCTTGGCCGCGTTGTACTTCTCATACATGAAGCCTTGTCTGGTAATATTAAGCAGGGATAAGCTGGGTGCGCTCCAAAAAGTCTGAATGCCTGAAGCGATCCATTTGACCTGATGCCCCTAAAGTCAGCAACAACCTTGAGCCAACATGATCCAGCCGAGCTGCCAGAACTCTCCCAAGACATCTGGCAACTAGAAAGCCATCGCTCAGCTAGATCTTTGGCCAATGCGATGCACCCTTGATGCTCCAAGCCTTTGCGGTAGCAGTATGCATCTAGGGAACAGTGCAAGCAACCGTTTCCATCTCTTTCAACTTGGTAGTTCAAACAGTGCGAAGACAAGGAAAGTGACACCAAAACTCGAGAGGAATCCTTCATCATCCTTCATCTACATTCTGCGACCACAAGCTTGGCAGGCAGCCTTCAATGAGCATGTGCTGCAACGGTGGCCATGCATTGGGAGCATCCCACCTTGGCGTTTCCAGCTGCGAGTAGTTCCCACTAAGGACTGCAGTTGACTACTATGAAGGGGAAATGCGTCACTGGACATCACTGGACTGTGATTGATTCTGAGGATACAAGTTCAACAAGCAAGAGTAGTATTGGATTGTGCTGCGTTGGCGCGTTTTCTTGCAGCTGGGTGTCTGTGTCAAACCATTGGTGTGAACTTTGGTGGACGCGCTGCCTCCCAATTGCAGCAGCCCACTGGCCTCAAGGCTTTGCAAGAATTTCGGCTTGTCCACTTCCTGGCAGCTGAACACTCACTGCACACTGAAGGTCTCAGAGAAATAAAGGCGAAGAAAGGTGAAGCATGCGTCCTGAGGGCCGTGAAGCCCTGCCCACAAGGGCGCAGCCCAGTTGGAGAGTGCCACCACCTGCAATGGATCTGTCATAGCTAGTTGTATAGGCAAGCAAGAGCTCAAACTGCCAATACTTTATGGGCTGGATGCCTTGGAAAATCGACCCTTGTCCATGCGATAGTCGCTGTAGCACTTCATTCCATCATTCCATAGTACCTGGTCCTTGGTGTTCACTAGGCGACAAGGTCCGGCAATCAAATGAATCAGGAACCAGCTTTTTAAGTTATGGATAGTTATGGCCTGAGAAATGGCCAAGGATCGATGGCTTTTCTTCTCAAAGTGGCAGCGTCATGGTATGGCTGAGCCCCACTGTCTTTCCTTAGGCACAACTTCCACGATGGATTTCCAAATTCGTCATACACTAGCACCGATTCCGCACCTCAATTTGGCATTTGCGCCCATCTGATGAGCAAGACGCATCCCCTTGGCTAACATATCATCCTTGATCCGTTTAACATTTATTCAGAATGAAAGTCTCCAAGCCCTCCATCCATTGGTCCATGCACTGAAATTTCACCCCTCAAAGGCTCCGCGGTTGCTTGGCAGGCGCAGAGCCCATGTCCATGTTGGCCACCAGCTCATGCGCCCTCGCCAGGCCTTTCTCAACCTAAGGGGACAAGTCACGACAAATCACCAAATATTGGTGGTTGATGGTGGTTGGGTGTTGGCCGGCCGATTTGAATCGGTATCCTGTGCAAGGGGACTGTTCATGATGACTGATCAATCCACTAAAGAAAGGGGGCATGCCAAGAAAGGTGCAACTCCATATCTCAACACACTATGGTGCGAGTGGTCTGAAAGAACCCCCCGTTCTTTTCCCAGGCCCCATCTCGGGGCCACACCCGCAGCAACAGGCAGTTCAAGTCAACAGGTATTATGCAGTGCCTTGCTGCATGCACAGCTGCGAAGCCAATCAAAAAATGAAGCTGGGAAGCATCATGATTCAGCAAATCGATCAATGAATCAGTCAATGTATCAAAGATAATCAAATATGATCAAAATATGTCAAGTCAAAATGTGATTTGCCAAACTTCACCCCTCATTATAGGTGCGTTGGAGACTATTACCCTGCATCCAGTCCCCAATCATCCGGAAGCACTCCGCATGTCACCGTATCACCGTCCAACTCTACACTTCACACCCCACTCTGACAAGCAAGTCACGTTTTAATCGTCTCCAGCCTGCCAAGCGCAGATGCAAAGCATTGCAGCTTTTGCAAAGCATTGCAACTTTTCTACTGGCCCCTTTATACTGTCTTCTATATACTGGCAACTTGAAACTCTTGATGGCTGGTAACTAAGGAGAACCATATAGATTAGAATCATTAGAATAATGACTTCTCATGACTTCTCACTTCTTGCCGCGTGACATGCTCACAAATCTCACAAGCGCCTGGCTTGGCCCAGGAGATCTTCGTCACCTTGCCATATGCTATGACATGAAAAGAGGATGGATCTCAGCATCCCTGAACGATTGGAGCATGTTTCATGGTGTTTCATGATGTTTCATGATGTTTCCTTATATTTCCATCATGTTGGCTGATTTTTCCAATGACCAGCCGTATAGAGTTATCCAGTTATCCATGCTGCCCCACCAGATCTGCGGCCATGTGGCTGTCATCCATCCATCGGGTGGTGAAATCCCAACCTGACTCCGCTCCGGAACACAAACCACGAAACCTCAGCGCATCAAACAGCTGAATGGGAAGGTTGTCTTCCGACTCAAATATGATAAATTATTCATAAACATTGTTGAACAATCAATATGATACCCAACCAATCCCAACCATATCCAACAATACCTAACATGCAATATGAATCAGTATGACAGTCCGCCATAGTCCGCCTTGGCTTGTCGAGTCCACAGCTGAATTAGAGCAAGGAGCACTTCGCGACTGTCAGGCTCCAAGCCAGATGTTCCTCGGGAGAACTTGGACCTTTGACCATTTTGGCCTACTAAGCCCAGGCCAGCCTTACTAGGCCTACTTGTCAGCTGAAGGTGGTGTTGCTGACCACATTTGGATACTGACATGGCACCTTTTGGCATCTTTTGGCTGGGGGTCTGCACTGACATGACAGTACCACAACCTTTCGACTGCATGCTGCATGTGGCCATTTCTGTAAAGGTGCCATGCCATGGAGGGGGGAAAAAAACATCAAGGGGGGAACTTGGCAAATTAAGATTCTGGCGGGCAGAGATTGCAGTCTCCAAGTCTTCAATGTATGACTCCTCAGATATTGGCACTTGCGTATACTTGCGTGGCGCAGTGCTGAATGCAAATGGAGACAATCTGAGGCGCATGAACATGCACAGCAAGAATGAAGATGAATGAAGACATGCCAAGAGTGTCAAAGTGCTGGCTATGCAACTCTTCGTGAAATTCATCCTGAAGTGGGCTCTCCATGTCCATATAGCCATGCAGCATGGTGCAGCCGAAGGTCGGGTCGCGGTCCTCGCCTCTGTGACTGGTAAATGTTGAAACTCAGCATGCCCGATGGTCTCTTCAAATGAACCTCAGCAGTCTGTAGCAGTTGAGATTGGAATTACAGCGGCGATACATTACATCTAATCAAAACCTAACACACCTATGACCTATGGGTGGGGAGGGCGGGTTTGCAAACCCCAAACGAATCCTAAAGGTCTACATGACAGTGATAGGCAATTTATATTCATGGTTTCATGTAGCATGATCGGCGTGTGTGGTAGAGGGTGGTGATGGGCGGTATAACCGGAAGCAGAACCACAAAAGGCAACATTTGGCTCCTGCTTTGAGGCAAGAGGCGACATGCCCAGAGTCTTCACACATCCAAAAGTTGTATTCCTTCACCAGCAGCGGTAAGACCTGGGCAAAATGTGATCTGCAACGGTCCACGTCTTGAAACACAAACAACTGGTGGCAAGTGGAAGCTGAGAATGGCCAAACGACTGCATATGTTTGACCATTGTTTGACCATAGACTCTTAACACAAACAACACACAACAAACGAGGATGCCAGTAAAAACAACTACAGTAAATCAAAGAGACCCTTACAACTTACACGTGTTGATTCATGCTGATTTCGTGTTGATGATTGGTGCAAATCTCAATCCAGCTGGGTTGCGTTGGACAACCATTCCTTGTCTCCAGTGGCATCAAAGATGGCCATGGCCATATCTGTCAGCAAAGGTGGCTGTGAACGGTCCAAGTAGTAGACTCGCGTGCCGTTCGGGACGAAACCAAAGTTTCTAACTAAATCCTTGGTGTGAAGGGGGGCGACATTGGAAAACGATCATGGATGATCATGGGAGAGTATCTGAAGTTGGGGCAACCAAACCCCTGGCCACCCATCAAGCCATTGCATGGTGGCCGTGTCTGCCATTCTGCTCGGATCCAGTGGCTCTAGGAACTTCTGGCCACAAGGCCTTTGGTTCATGTTTCATTCTATTTCATTCTAATAGGCTAATAGGTTTCGTTTTAGGTTTCATATCGTTTCATTAACCGCATGAACACGGTGAATGCGAAACCTTTCCTACACCCTCGACCAGTGGATCGACCACGAGGGTCCACTTTCAGCCATGTTGCAGCCAAAGGTCTAACAAATTTCCAACTACGCCTTTGGCAGTCTCAAGCATGTTGCACACTATAAGGCCTTGCACCACCCAGTAGGTGTCCCAGTAATAGGCCTCTAAAAACCGACCTCCTGGAACGATGGTCGGATTCGGCTGGGCGATGAAACTGGATCGTTGCTGCGCTCCATTGAGGCGGCTCTTCCGCCCCAATGTGGCCCAGAGCCGATTCCTAAGACGCCAATGAGCTGCACGTGCAAAATGATGTACCCTACACATCCTACAGTGTCCTACAGAACTCCATAAATGCCGAAAGCTAACCACTTTTTTCCCCACATCTTTGTGTGGGGTTCTTGTTTTTGATTCTGTATCCCGGGCTTCTCCTCCTCCTCCCGCCGCCTCCGTAACACAACACACACAAACTTAACATACAATAATTTCACACACACACACAAACTTAACACACACAAACTTAACAGACAATAACTTCACACACACAAACTTAACATGCAATAATTTCACACACACACAAACTTCACATACAATAATTTCACACACACAAACTTAACACACACAAACTTAACAGACAATAACTTCACACACACAAACTTAACACACACAAACTTAACACACACAAACTTAACAGACAATAACTTCACACACAATAACTTCACACACACAAACTTCACATACAATAATTTCACACACACAAACTTAACACACACAAACTTAACAGACAATAACTTCACACACACAAACTTAACACACACAAACTTAACACACACAAACTTAACAGACAATAACTTCACACACACAAACTTCACATACAATAATTTCACACACACAAACTTAACACACACAAACTTAACAGACAATAACTTCACACACACAAACTTAACAGACAATAACTTCACACACACAAACTTAACACACACAAACTTCACACACACAAACTTAACATACAATAATTTCACACACACAAACTTAACACACACAAACTTAACACACACAAACTTAACAGACAATAACTTCACACACACAAACTTAACATACAATAATTTCACACACACAAACTTAACATACACAAACTTAACACACACAAACTTAACACACACAAACTTAACAGACAATCACTTCACACACACACACCGTCGTTTTGCGTGGCAGGCGTGGCACTCATGGTACTGGGTGGCGCGCTTGGTCCGGATTTGTCGCCTGTGACGCCGCGGCACTTTGCGTGGCAGGCGTGGCACTTGGTGACATCCGCCTTCGTTTCACGTGGCAGGCGTGGCACAAAGTCGCATCCACCGTCGTTTTGCGTGGCAGGCGTGGCACTCATGATGGTACTGGGTGGCGCGCTTGGTCCGGATTTGTCGCCTGTGACGCCGCGGCACTTTGCGTGGCAGGCGTGGCACTTGGTGACATCCACCCTCGTTTCACGCGGCAGGCGTGGCACAAAACTCGCATCCACCGTCGTTTTGCGTGGCAGGCGTGGCACTCATGGTACTGGGTGGCGCGCTTGGTCCGGATTTGTTGCCTGTGACGCCGCGGCACTTTGCGTGGCAGGCGTGGCACTTGGTGACATCCACCCTCGTTTCACGTGGCAGGCGTGGCACAAAACTCGCATCCACCGTCGTTTTGCGTGGCAGGCGTGGCACTCATGGTACTGGGTGGCGCGCTTGGTCCGGGTTTGTCGCCTGTGACGCCGCGGCACTTTGCGTGGCAGGCGTGGCACTTGGTGACATCCACCTTCGTTTCACGTGGCAGGCGTGGCACAAAACTCGCATCCACCGTCGTTTTGCGTGGCAGGCGTGGCACTCATGGTACTGGGTGGCGCGCTTGGCCCGGATTTGTCGCCTGTGACGCCGCGGCACTTTGCGTGGCAGGCGTGGCACTTGGTGACATCCACCTTCGTTTCACGTGGCAGGCGTGGCACAAACTCGCATCCACCGTCGTTTTGCGTGGCAGGCGTGGCACTCATGGTACTGGGTGGCGCGCTTGGGCCGGATTTGTCGCCTGTGACGCCGCGGCACTTTGCGTGGCAGGCGTGGCACTTGGTGACATCCACCTTCGTTTCACGTGGCACGCGTGGCACAAACTCGCATCCACCGTCGTTTTGCGTGGCAGGCGTGGCACTCATGGTGCTGGGTGGCGCACTTGGTCCGGATTTGTCGCCTGTGACGCCGCGGCACTTTGCGTGGCAGGCGTGGCACTTGGTGACATCCACCCTCGTTTCACGTGGCACGCGTGGCACAAACCTCGCATCCACCGTCGTTTTGCGTGGCAGGCGTGGCACTCATGGTACTGGGTGGCGCGCTTGGTCCGGATTTGTCGCCTGTGACGCCGCGGCACTTTGCGTGGCAGGCGTGGCACTTGGTGACATCCACCTTCGTTTCACGTGGCAGGCGTGGCACAAACTCGCATCCACCGTCGTTTTGCGTGGCAGGCGTGGCACTCATGGTACTGGGTGGCGCGCTTGGTCCTGTCCCCGCTAAAACCATTGAAGCTCATTTTAGGAAGAAGTTGACTTGTGGGGTTATCCGGTCCTTTAATTGTTGAATCTGAATAGCCTCCCATTTCTTCCCTCAGTCCCATACAGCTGCAGAGTGCAACAAATGAAGGCAAAAACGGACATGGCATGACATGGCCAAAGTGTGGCCAAAGCATCAGTGAGTTTGCCCAGCTTTTCCGCTTCTCATCTGATATCAGTGTCAGAAATGGAGGCGACTCTTGAAAGTCAGAGGGTGCCCAAGGCTCCAGTTCACCTTGGCACAAACCCTGGTGCTTGACACAGCTGAGAGGCCCTAAAAAGCTATGAGAAGCTTACCTGTAAAATCAAAGATTGGGTCAGAATGTTGATTGCCAACAGACATGTTCTTGTTGATTGCTCATGGGTACCAACCTCTTGATGGATCTTGAATTGAGCGGCTCCCAACTTCAGCGAAATGCTTGGAGACAAAATCCATGAGAGTAGGTTTGTCTGTCTTGTCCTCCAGCTTTTCAAACTCTGCCAGTACCACCTCTGGATCATTCTTCAGTGGCATGTCCACGAATTGCTTTGAATCCTGCTGGGGAGGCGTGATGAGCGTGGTCATGTGCGAGATCTTATGAGCAACACTGTCCGTGCTGCAATCACACTGTAGGATCTGTAGGTGGGTTGCCAGGTGGGGTGAGGTGGGTTGTCACGCTTGAACATGAAGCGCATTGTCTGACACGCCCCATGTTGCTACTGAAAAGTTGTTGGTGTTGGACCTTTTGGACACTAACTGCAACTGTCCGGGAAGAGGCGAGCTCTCTGCACGGCCTGAGAAAAACACGATCCCGTTCTGGCTGGACACTGGACACCACAAAACAGAACCAGCAGCAAGTCAAATCACAAACAATGATATAATAGACAACAGGTATGAAGACATATGACAAACGTGTTGTATTGTACTGCTGTATCATGCTGTATCACCTGTATCATAATAGTACTCCCATCACTCATCCAATTGACAGATCTATTTGCAGCGACGGCACTGCCAGAAGCTTTCCTCCTCCGAAGACACGCGCACTCCGCGCCAAATCGCCAACCACGCGTTGGCCATTGGCCATCAGCAAACCCTCCTGTAGGGGAGTGTGGTTGGCAGCTGGTTGGCCACTCTGATGGGAATGCCGGGAATGAAGCACTTCCGAACCTCCTCCAGCGCTATTTCCACTTCGCTGCCCATGACTGTGGCGAGAGAAGCTTTCAAAATTTTGATGGCTCTGATCTGCAGTCAGATTTACCTTTCGTCGCCCTCTTGTAACATGTGGTACTGCGTGGTCAATGATGCTGCACCAGCTTGTAAAACAATGGATTGATGTTGCAACGTCCAGTTGTGGAACCATGTGGAACCCCTGTTTAGTCTAGCGAACATTGAACACTGGTGCGATCCAAATGATTTTTGGCTTTGAGGCAAAACTTTGCATCTGTTGTGTTGCGTCCGTCGAGCAGCTGCGTACGTGGTTTGCGGGCTCATCACCCCAGCGCTATGGCCAAAGCTCGCTGAGGTGATGGCCTGCGACCACAGCTTGTGGACCTGGGGCTGGACAGATTGGACAGAAAGCTTCTTGGCGAGCAGTGGAGGCTGCATACTAGAAACTGATAGAAACTGAAGAATGTCGAAAATATTGGCTCAAATCGATTTCCTTCGGTACTGTAGTTGAAGATGCTGAACAAAAAACTGAAAATCTGTTTCAATCGCATGTAAACAGAACTCACTACACCACACATCAATACTACCGATATTGCTTCAGTTGGAATCCACCACCTTTCTCCAAAGACTACGTCTCTAGGATTTGGGGTTCTTTGGTGGCTGGTCGGCTGGCTGGCTGACCGCAACAGTATTCACGCACACAAGAAAATCCCCCTGATCCTGCCACCAAAGTACCTTTCGAACGAAGCTCTCCGCATCGTCTTCTTCGCCCCTGTCTCCCTGGCTATCGACTACTCAAATGGCAACTGGCCATGAGTGGCCTGTGTTCTGCCAATCTGCTCCCCACCTCCACCAGGACACCCTCTGAGGCATCCCAACCTATACTCAAGCAAGGCATAGCGAAGCTGATAGTTTGCGTAGATGGATGGCATGAACCACCACACTGATGATAATCATAATGTGTGTGTTGAAAAGTTGGACTCTTGGATAATACTCTTGGGTTCTCTTGGAATACATGTGCGACTGGAACGTATGGGAATATGAACAATAGATCGCCACAATACAAAGCTCCAAGCACCTTTTCTTGGTCTGCAAGCCGGGTTTATGCGTACAACACCTTTCAGTGAGAGCACGTGAAAAATGCAAACTTAATTTATTGGTTGGAAATGGCTGCAGCAAAGCGCTGCGATCAGGAACTGGTAGCTGCCCCCAAAGCTGCCACCATCTCTTCCACTTCCTTCTTGCTGTTTGATGTCCAGGATGCCAGAATTGTCTTCTGGGGCTGTCGGTCCAAGTAGAAAGATCCCGCCTCATGTCTGTTAAGCCCAATTTGTGGCAAATCACATCGATCATCTAATTCCCTTCACACAAATCATTTTTTGCTTATCGGGGTTTCCTTGCGAGCCGCTGTGAAGTACGGGTAGGTCTGACTAGGCCTTCAGCAAGCCAAAACCGGGTTTTGAAGTAATTCTACAAGGAAGGCTCTCCAACGAATTGCAATCACAACCACCCAAAAGCCAAAGGCAGTCCAGAAAGGCAATGCACGAAACATTCAAAAATTGTTGAAGAAGTTATAACTACAGTTGGACAGTCAGTTCGCTAGTTCCGTGTTGAAGAGTGGTTGCCAACGCTCCCAGTATTCGCAATATTCGGAGTTGGATCACCCTGATAGTGCCTTGATCTGATCTGCGTCAGCCACACAGAGCCAACAAATGCCTTCAGCTCCTTCCCACAAGGTTCGCATGGGTTGCAGCCATTTCTTCCTCACAGCTTCACATGGCTTCGCAGCTTTCAAGCTGTCAAATACATCAAACACTAGCACGGATCAAATCCTGACTTTTGGGCGCTTTGAGTAAAGTTGGAGAGGCCGCCACAGCGCCTTTGAAGAAAAGGCAACTATTTTTAGTTTTCCACATTGATAGGCGAGCTTCATGGACCCGTAGGCAAACTCAACGCCAGGTGTATCTGTCCAGCCAGGGTGGCAGCTGACGAAGGTGATTTGTTCTCCGGGCTGATTGGCCAAATATTCACAAAGCAGAACCTGCACATTTGTGTGCTGTGGCTGGTGGCAGAGGGTCCGACCAAGAGCTAAGAAGGACCACACCAACAGATCACAACATATCAAGATAAACCATCAAACACAAATTTCTGTTCTCAAACCACGCCTGGCCCCTCTTGGCGTAGGCATATGAAAGCTGTTTGTCGTATGATCCCTTGGTGCCAGTGGCGTAGCCGTGGTCGTACTTCACGTTCAGCATGCCACCCGAGCTCACGGCTAAGACTCTGGCTCCACTTCTGCTGAGCAGAGGTCGCAACTCCTGTGAAAGCCTCATGAGGTAAGGACATTGGACATGACCCGGTAGAGAAATGTAAAACATAGTTCAGCAATGTTCAGCAGCTATATATAATGGGCACGAGAAAGAAGCTAGAAAGAAAGAAACATTGCCACAAAACGTTGCTGGAAGCAAACTGCAGCTGGCAAGTATGTGCCATGAAGGAAATGGGTGGCGAACGTTACCTCATGCCCTTCTGAAGTGAGGGTCCTACGCAGAACTTGATCTTTCAAGACTCATATCAGCGCGTCGTCAGATTTGCAACATTCACAGCTGTGCCAAAATGGCACCAGTGTCAAGAGTGGCAGCGGTTAAGACTGTTTCCAAACTAATATGAGTAAACTACAATTGACCAAAATATTGCAAAATATGTGTCTATGAAAAACAACATCATAGGATGCACATGTACCCCAAACCGATCCAAAATTGTCATTATAATTGGGACAGTGCGGAGCCCTATCTTCAATTGGATTCCGAATCCAAAAGTCCAAAAAATGCTAGTCCTCTTCGGAGTCATCGCACCTGCATTGCACACCAAACAGTCAATGCCAGCCACCTGCGCTGGGTTGGGGCAGCTGGGGTGCATGAAAAATCCAAAGGAACCAATGTTTTTTCCCATCGAAATTGACCCAGGGTTCTCAGGGTTCTGATTCTGGGAGACTTTGAATCACCAAATTTGGGACATTCCGATTCATTTCTTCCAAAAACATGAATGACATAAAAAATGATCAGATACAATGTCACATGATGCAGCAGCATGATCTGTCCCCGTCTTCCCCCCAATTGGCCACCAGCCACCCTGGACAGGGACATGATGGTCCAAAATGGTCCGAAGGATCCCTCAATATTCTTTTTTTAAACATAACGTACACACACACACATATATATATATAGAATATGTATGCATATAAATACATATAAATACCATATATATATATATAAAACCCAGGCAAGAGGCTTGAGGTTCTCCGCAACGCAATTCAAGTTCGTTGTTTGCAATTTTGAAAAATGACATGTTCATTGTATTTTACAATGTTTTGTGATCTTTCCATAACTTGACAACATATGGAATCAGTTCAACATGCGGACAACATACCTGGGATATGTTGTCCACCGTTTGAAGGTTTTTTTTTGTTTTAATGTTTGCCAAGTTCGTCATTTTATGATGTCTTCGTAGAAACCGGTGGAATTTCGTGTTGATTGAAGTTTTATTTTTTTTGGAGTAACATAAAAATGTAAAACATGTTATAATCCACCAGAGAACCATGGGCGAAATGCACATGATGTTTTTTACTCTTCACATCCACAATGCCGTTTTGAAAGCAGTTTCAACATTTTCAACGTAACAACATCTTCAACGTATCAAAACCATCAACGTAACAACATCTTCAACGTAAGAGCACCTTCAAGATAACAACAGCATGTTCAACGCAACAACAGTTCAACATCTTGAACGTATCAAAACTTTCAACGCGACAGCATCTTCAACGTAACAACAACTTCTGGTGACGCAATGCCATGAACGTTAACATCCCCCCACCCCCGGCACCCCCCCCTTCTGTATGCCACAACGAAAATCAACGTAACAACATCTTCTGGTGACGCAATGCAATGAACGTTAACATCCCCCCCTTCTGTATGCCACAACGAAGATCAACGTAACAACATCTTCTGGTGACGCAATATTCAAGGAACGTTCACATCCCCTGCTTATGTCTATCAGAGAGAGAGACTCAAGGTTCCTCCATGCTCCGGGGAACCTCAAGCCTCTCCCCTACAAATAACTACTCCAGTGCGGCCTCTTTCTCCTTCAACTCGTTGGCCACACGTCGCATGTCAGCAGCTAAGCCGCAGTCTGCCACCATGAGATGAACGTCTGCTCCTGGGTTGGTGTGGAAGATGCGTCATGACGGCCATGACGTCCTGTTGTGTTCTGCCGTGGGGTTAACCCCAGTCTCAAGCAACAAAATCATGCAACCTTTGGAATGCCACGCTTATGAGGGGAAACTTGAACTACAAATCTCAGCTTGAACGTGCTGATCTCCAAATCCAAACAGTATCAGTGCTGCACTGAACTACCACCAAATTTTGCGCAAGAACAATACAAAATCATTCAGGAGCACTGAGCCACAGCCAACACTTAAAGCTTCAATGTCTATCATGTCTATCTATGTCCATCTCCTCTCACGACCAGTTGAACAGAACTAGCAATCGTCTGACCACCAAAAGGAAAAGGAAGGCGCACGCCAAGACAAGCTTAACAGCGGACTGCTTCACTAGCTATTGACGAGTTGCCATCTCCAATCTTTTCAGCGATCTCATCTCGGGCTTGCTTTCCTCGGTCAGCATTGCGGCACACCATGTAGACCCGACTACCTCGACCCACCAAGTATTCGCACACCTCAGGTGCAAAGTCAGCTCCAAGGGCTGCCAAGGACAAGGATCGGCATGGAAAACTATCGTTTTGTCTTGAAGACTTCAACAGTAAGCATCTCAGAACCCAAGAGTACCCAACATCATCAACATCCTACATTTCCCACAAGTGCTTCTATGTATGAGTATAGATTAACGCACCGTTCTCAGGGTGTTTAGGAGGGGGTAACTTTCTACGTTATGTTTCAAGAGACGGGTCATCAGCTGGAAAGAAGATGCTAACAATCTTGCCCGAACTGATCTTGCATCTTTTCCCAGGTCATTTGCACCTCGCGGCCAATGCCCGAGTTTGCTCCTGTCACCACGTGCACACGGCCACGCAAGTTCATGGACTGAAGATCTTTGCCTTGGACAGACCCAAACCACTTTATGACTGCCGAGAACACGTCTTCGGCAGTGGCCAGTGAATCAAGAAACCGAAGCTAAGACCCAGAAAATGAAACAAATAAATGATTCCCAATCCCAAGTATAGAAATGTATCAGCTGGTGGGTAAAAGTTGGAGCGTCCACTACAAAGGCTTACATAATCAAGTGCTAGCTGGCCATGCCCATATGCGGCAGAATGGGCTTGCCATCCAGTCTGTGTGAAGTGCTTCCGACCATGCATGTAGAATCCTCGGGCGGCTACAATGGTTAGGGTGATGATGGTGCACAGTAGCCAATTTGTACCCCGAAGATCCTTTGCACAAGTTGCAACAAGGGGGCGCCCTCCCATACCCTGCAGACAGAGGTAAACAGCACATCACACCCTTATGGCTCTTGAGATATTTTGAGCTGACAAATGCTTCAAGACAGTTTCCAGAGCAGAACATATGCTGCACAGAAACGGTAAGTCACAATGGCTTGCCCCAGGGCTTGCAGCAATGCTTGAGTGGGGGCAGGGGGATAAATGGACAATCAATAATCGCTGCAACTGTTCAAAGAGTGCTTGTTTCAAGATGTTTCAAGGGCAAAAGTCAGCGGATTATGTGGCTGCGCCTGCTTGCACATTGCTGCCTGTTCGTGCACATGTTTGTTTCTCTAATCTATTATAATATTATACATACAATTTTACACATGGGTTGCCATTCGCCTGAGCCGATTGGTCAGACAAAATCCGACAGAATCTGGAGAGTCCACCGCAAAATCTCTTCACTCAGTCCACTCTGTTCAGGTCGCAGTGGAGTCCTGAGGAAGACACCAACACCAGCTGCCACTGGTTTCCAGTCCTAACCAAGCAGCCATGAGGGTGGCAACAAATCAGCTGGCTGCTGCCTAGATCTGCCTGTGGGGTTGGGCTTAACACAGGACTCAAGCTGAAAACAGTGGCAAAGGTGGAACTCACTGAGAAGAATACGATGAGCTTGCTCAGCACCATACTTTGGCCCGGCAGATTGCAGTCAGGATATCATCGCGTTTCTTCGCCTAGCACTCGGTATGAGGATTGTGAGGGATGCAGCTGTGTATTCAAGAAAGGAACAATTCTGTTAAGGGTCTCCCGCTGAGGTCTTTATGTTGTTCCTTTCCACTTTTTACGCTGATGGTTGAAGCTGAGTAAAGCTAACAGATTCACGTTTCCAACTCAGAACTGACAGTCAATAGTCAAGATTTGCCAAATCTGCCAAAACACCTTGCCTCAGGGGTCATGGGCACGGTGAAATGAAACGTTTGCTGAAGGAAGGCATGACCTTATAGTCTTCCAGGGTCTATACTCTGACATTGCATGATCATGCTGCAGTCAAAAGATGTCAAAAGTATTCGGGAATATTGTGGCAGTTTCTCGAATATCCAACTAGCCCCAGCGAACAAGCGGCCCTCATACGACACCACAAAGCCCAGGCATGCTTCTGACAGGTCTCCAAACGCACACGGCTTAGCTGCCCTGGGTCCACATAGGTGAGGCAAAGCTCATCGCCCTGGTTAGAACGATGCTTTTCCTTTGGCCTCTCTATGATATGGTCCCTCGTTAGTGATTCCAGTCCGACTTAGCGCAGCAAGATCATCAAGCAGCGCATGCGCGGAGACATGGCTAGACATTCCGTGGGTTGCGTGTTCGCATAGCCTGCACGAGTTTGCCCCCCGAACAAGATCTTACGCCGTCGCTAAGACTATATCCATATACCTACATACAATTACATGACATTGCATTGCATCACATTACATTGCATTACGTACACATCTACGGAGACAGGCTCATGACAAACAATGAAGCCGTTGATAAGCCGTTGGATTGAGTCCTACTTGTTTAGTCAAGCCTGACCACATGTTGTGGCTGCAGGCCTTCCGCACAGCCCTGCAAGTTCGGATGACCAAATTTCGCCCCACAAAGCTCTGGAGGCAATTGGGCTCCTCCAGCCGACCACCAGAATCACGCAGCTTGCCTCTAGGCTTGTCAAATGTGGAGTTTCCATCTCAATGCCCCGCAGATTTTCCCCAATTGAATTGCCCTCGTGCTGAGAACTGCATTGGCATGTTAAAATTGTTCTGCGAAGTCAGGACATTGTCTGATGTGTGCAAGGCAGATTTTGAATTTAATGCATTTTTTCTTGATGATTTGTGGGGGGTAGTGTCTCAAATGTTACTTGCATGGTCGCCCAAAATGGCTCCTCTTCATGATTGAAGATAGCCTCAGAACATATCGGAAGAAAGCAAAACTGAATGGAAACATCTGCGCATGTGGATACACTGGCCATCCTTGACCACATCAAAATTGCCGCAGCCAAGCAGCACCTTGCAAGTAGAGCCCAAGTGCGATCTCCCTTTCCTCCTGCAAGGTTGAAATATCAGGCATCGTACCGAAGATGTGCCAAGATGATCCTTAAGATGTACCCCGGAGCGGCTCCCACCAAGTCACCAAGTTCGGATTCAGGTACCCTCTGGTAAACTAACATAGCTATTGAAAATGGCCATTTATGGTGGATTTACCCATTAAAAATAGTGATTTTCCATAGCTATGTTAGTTTACCAGAGGGTACCATCATTACTCAAAGGTAAATCCGCCCCAGAGCCTCATCTGTCACTGTCATGGAATTGACTTCTGTGGCTGCTAGGAGGCGTGCTACATCGCCTCAGCAGGCATGGGGCTGTCCACGGCATCTTGGGACTCGCCTTGCTTATGTCACCTTGCAGAACAAAGGGTAGGGCAGCTTGTCCGCCGGCACACTGCAAAGAAGTGAAACTACAGGGCATGATTCCCAAGTTTTTTTTCTGCCTAGATCAGCGCACAATCCAACAGCACATCGCAGCAATGGGAACCAAACTAACTACGTTTCATCGCGGCAACATGGTTAATTATACAGTATATGTCAGCAAAGCACAGTATGCAAAAAGATCTGAAGAGAAATCAAACACATGTGTCTTTGGCAGACATTGGCATTTACTGTACCATTTTTTAGCAATCGGCAGCTAGAACGCGGCGAGGTGGGAAGCATGAAGTGAACACGCACAAGGCATCATCAGCCTATAGTAAGAGGTTTTCTAACGTATTATTGTTAAACTATGCATATTGTCGTCTGTTCTCAGCTGTTATCCAACCCGGGCCGAATGGTTTCTGGACAATTCAATCAGTGCAACACATTACAACCACACAACCCATTTACCATCTGGTTATTTAACATAGCCATGGAACATGGCCCATTTATAGATGGTTTACCTATTGAAAATGGTGATTTTGCATGGCTATGTTAAATAACCAGATGGTACAACCAATCAAATCGGCCCTGACTTCACCCTGTGAGGTCGCACCCTGAAGACCCAGGGGTCCGGCTGAGGTTGGCTACAGCCTGGAAGGCTTGTTTCGCCTCCGTCATGGCACCATCACCGACCTGGCTGCAACATGCTGTAACCCCAGAGGACTTCTCTGGGACCAATGGTCACTTGATGGGCTCCAGTCCGGGATAGCATGGCATGAGAAAGGATGACCGATTTTGACGGATTTTGCCTGTGCCCGTCGATTCTGTATCCAACTTTTTCATATTCTCATCATATTTTTCTATATTTTTCGCTTAAGTTGTGTCTACTATGATCTGCTAATACATCCGCTCTCAAATCTTCGAAGCCAAGTGGCGTCCTCAGCGTTCTCTGCCAGAATACCCATGCCAGCAGCGAGCACATCCAAACCTAAGTAGCAGGATGCGTTTGTTGCAGGTGCAACTCCTGTGGCCCCTCAAGACTTAGCCACTCCCTCACCTGGTACTACCATGTACTACCTGTGATCAAGCAGCATGCATCCGCTCATAGCTTACCATAAGATCCATAAGTTTGAGATCTAGACCCTTCGGGCATCCCTTAGCTGGGCTTCCCAAGCAACGTGCGGCACTCGCCTGGAATGACTCCTGCTTGGAAGAAGGTAAGTCCTGGCGAAAATGAGTTGGTGGCAGGGAGGCCATTGGTGCCCATGTGGATCATGCGGTAGCAACGACTCATCCTGATGTCACTGGATTGGACACTACAGAGCTGTCGATGCTCTCGGTATTGTTAGAATTCCTGCATTGCCATTGGAACATGTGTGTCTTTGCTTCAACATTCCAGTACCGACAAGAATCAATATAAAACAAGTTAATTATCACAAACATGACCATAATGGTAATTCTAGTGATAATATTGATAATGATTTAGTAATTATTAGATATTATTAGTAATTCTCATCATCATCATCATCATCAGCATCATCAGCCCCTGGCTCCCTCACCTCCCAGTGGCTCTGCAGGCTGAGCCTGAAACATGAGTAGATTCAGCGCTCACGTGATATGTCTCGCACTGGACGTCGATGCTTGGTTCAACATCGTTGAGCTATTGGCCATGGCTGCGTTCCACTTCTCACCTGTCATGTGCATTGCTTGCTTGGTGGATGTTCAATTGGAGTAAGCCACACCAGCTCAGCATCATAAGAGCAACTATACAGCATGAAAACATTTGGCAAGCGATGGCAAACGAAAACAAACACAGTGGCGCTGTCAGGAAGCAGGAGCCCGATGCAATGTGTCTCCAACTGCAAGTCACCCTATGTAAGTTGAGGATTCGTGTTTAACTTTCTGTTGCCAGATTCAATGCCACCTTCATCCCTCGGAAGTTATTGGGCTGGTAAATGTCAGTTTTTGCGACTGTGTAGCATTGCACTGTCACCTAATTCAAGCCAGCAACACCCCTCGTTGAAGGGCCTTGGTTCAACGCTGGCCCAAGCGACATAAGCAGCAATGACAATGATTCTTGATTCTAGCTCAGAAAGCTGCACAGACTGCTAGAACAATGCAGCGCTTTTGTGCAGCCCAATAGTGGATACAGTATGTGTTGCTCGATGCCAACCGGGGCATCAGGACCGCATCCATTAGACGCTCAGAAACATCAAATTACCAACGCAGGCCAACCAAATCTGATTTTCGGAGTGGGAGATTGGGAGACGCACAATGTTCACTAATTTTCTTGATATCGCCCCAACCATACCCACCGCATTGGATGGGGCTGGGAAAGCGCACCCGAAATGCAAGGCGCAAATAACTGGCCCAGCTCCAGGGTGCGCCGCCTCGGCAAAGATGAACATGCCTGAAAGATCCACTTTTATAAGCACATCCAATAATTGAGTTTATATTTTCTGTGTGGGTGCATACGCAGGAAGAGAAAAAAATAATACAGGCCAATAACATTCAATACACAAACATACACAATATATACGTATACTTATGTATACATAATATATATATATATGTATATTTAATTTGTATATATATATATGTAATAAAATATATGTGTGTAATATATATAATCATATATGTTTAATATATCATAATATATCATATATATTATATAAATATATATATATATTAAATATATATATATTAAATAAATAAATAAATATATATATATATGTATATTGTATTATATTACATATTATATTATATCTTCTATTAAATATTATATTATATATTATATTATATTCTATTATGTACATATTATATTATATCTAAAAAAATCTATATTATACACATAATATAATCTATATGTTTAATATATTATATATAATGTATATTATATTTTCAATATATCATATATATATACTATATAATTATATAAATATACAATTAAATATCTATATATAATTAAATATCTATATATAATTACATATCTATCTATATATATATATATTATATGTATTATATATATATATTAAATATATTATATAAATATAAATAAATATATATAAATAAATATATATAAATATATATATATATATATAAATATAAATATATATATATGTATTATATTATATATTGTATATTATATCTTATGTATATTCTGTTCTATTACTATATTATATTTGTTGAATCATATTATATTATTTTTTATGTATTATATATAATATTTTATATATTGCATTATATATATTATATATTGTATGTTATATATCAAATATGTCACTATATATTGTATATTAATATTATATATTATATACATAATTAATATTTATCATATATTGTAGATTATATGTTATGTATATTCTGTTCTATTATATTATGTTAAACTATATTATAATAAATTATATATATATATTATATATTATATATATTATATATATATTATATATATTATATATTTATAATATTTTTTATATTACATTTTATATATTATATATTGTATGCTACATATCAAATATTTCATTACATATTATATTTAATATATTATATATAAATAATTAAATATAATATTTAATATATTATATATATATATTTATATTATATTATATTTATATATTATATATATACATATATATGCTGGGTTCCCCCCTGTAAACATATGTGTGAAGGAGGCTTCAGTTTTGATGCCACGGTGCTGCTCATTTCGCTTTGCTTCACGAGCGAAGTAGCTGGAGCTTTTCTCTTGGCAGCCTTGGTGGGGTCGGCGACCGAAGTCGATCCAGTTGCAGTGAGCTGCTCAGGTAGCCACTGCAACATCCAATTCAGCCTGGCCACAGCCCAACCCATGGATGAGTATGGATCATGCCAGTGAGTAGCTTGCAACTCCGTCAAATCCTGTATCTTTTCAATCATGACCCTTTGTCCAAAAACCAACAGGTCAATTGCAGCAAAGCTGTCCTCAACATTCAGAAGGATTGGCATAAAGCGCCTTGTAGTACAGATCAGCTGCGGCTTTCTGATATTCCTGGCAAGTGGTTTGTCGAAGCATCATTTGGCCCGCAAAGGGCTGAAGGGCTGGGTAGGTTTCATCCTCCAGAAGGCTAAGTAGGCTAAGTATGTATTTATATTATACAATAAACATATGGAAAATAATTATATGGAAAAAACACAAATACATGAAGTATCTCTGCTGTGGTCAGCAATTTGCATGACCTGTGGGTCCCCAACTGCCACCCATGCCTTTCCGGCAAAGCACAGACCAGTGGAGGGGCAACGCCTTGGTGAACGAATGCTGCGAGGGGTTGAAGCCATATCGTTGGTTCAACAAAACTTGAATGTTGAACAAATGTTGAATAATTAAATGTTGAATAAATGGAATAAATATAAATAAATTATTATGAGGCCTATTCAATAGAATATCTCTAGACTCAACGAGATCCAAATGAATCCTGCCAAGAACGGATGAGAAGAGTTGCCTGCCAAAGAAGGAAACCAGATCAATAATGACAAATAAGAATACGACAATTGCAAACACCTGACTCACTGCAGCCATTCTGTCCATCTTTCTTGACCAAGGGGCAGTAACTTCTCTGCACATTTTAGCGAGTAGTCACAACCTCAATGCTTGAAAATGCGTACAGCTTGCAATTCCCAAGGGTACGGGCTCTTGTTGGGCTCGGAAGATTCCACTGTTTGCAGAGGTCGGTTCTCAAATGATTTTTTTTGGTTTTCATGTGTTTTCTGTGTTTTCATGTTTCATGGTGCATACTATGTCATCATGTTTCATAGTGTTTCATACTGTGCCATTGTGTTTGCAGAGGATCCCGGCGCGACCCTTGCTGCTCGGGAAACAGAACAAGGGCCCAAGGCTCTTCCAACAGCACCACCTCGCTCGAAGAGGCGGTCAAGGTTTGCGCTACGCTGTTTGGGTGGAAGTTGTGCGCGTCAGTGAGAAGTTGTGCACGAAAGACCATGTTAGATTATTATTAGTGTTATTACTATTATTATTATTACTATTACTATTATTATTATTATGAGGAACTGGGTGGGATGGTGGGGGGTTGGGGTGGGGCATAGATTGATGCTATGCTGATGAGATCTTACTTGCATGTTGATGCTACCCTGATGAAATTTTACTTGCACGTTGATGCTACGCTGATGAGATTGCACTTGCACACTGACGTTACCCTGATGAGATCTTACTTGCACGTTGATGCTGCGCTGATGAGATCTTACTTACGCGATGAGGAGAGAAAAAAAGGCTCTAAAGTTAGTTTGCAAAACCCGTGTTCATCCATTTTCGAAATCCATGTGTGCAGAATATTTGGACCCTAGAATTCAATGATCAATGAACAATTTCCAATCGTAACGTGGGACAAAAGGACCATTCCAGTTTAAAGACAAAGCAAGAAAATCATGACACCGCCACAGTCTGAAGATGTCTGAAGCATATCTATGAATGATGCATGAAACCAAACACATCAAAAACCACGGGGCCGCTATTGGCGCCGGAACCAGGTTTGCACATGCTCAACATGTTTACATTAACTAAACTAATTAATCTAAATTATAAATGATGTATAATGATGTCATATGTGTCCCATGCCGTGTCAAACCTCCCCAGCTGGAAGGTCTTTGCTGGCCACAGCGCAGCGGCCCTTGCCTCGGATAGCTTCCTTTCACTGCTGTGATAAAAAAAATAAAAAATTACTTTACTTCGTATGATCCCCACCATGACATTTATACATTTTCTTACTGGCAAATCTTCTGGCATTCTATCTGACATATCTTCTGACATTCTATTTGGCATTCTATCTGGCATATCTTCTGGCATATGATCTGGCATATCTTCTGGATTCTATCTGGCAAATCTTCTGGCATTCTATCTGGCATATCTTCTGGCACTCTATCTGACATATCTTCTGGCATTCAATCTGGCATTCTATCTGGCATATCTTCTGCCATATATTCTGACATATCTTCTGGCATTCTATCTGACATATCTTCTGGCATATATTCTGACATATCTTCTGGCATATCTTCTGGCATATCTTCTGGCATATCTTCTGACATATCTATCTGGCATATCTTCTGGCATATTTTCTGGCATTCTATCTGGCAAATCTTCTGGCATTCTATCTGGCATTCTATCTGGCATATCTTCTGGCATATTATCTGGCATTCTATCTGGCATATCTTCTGGCATATCTTCTGGCATATCTTCTGACATTCTTTCTGACATTCTTTCTAACTTTCTTCTGCACATTCTTTGTCCCATATCTTCCTACATGAGGTCCGGCAGGGAACACTTGGCGTGGATACTCGCGGTTGAGGTCCGGCAGGGAACACTGGGCGTGGATGGTCGTGGTTGAGGTCCGGCAGGGAACACTGGGCGAGGATGGTCGTGGTTGAGGTCCGGCAGGGAACATTGGGCGTGGATGGTCGTGGTTGAGGTCCGGCAGGGAACACTGGGCGTGGATGGTCGTGGTTGAGGTCCGGCAGAGAACACTGTGGATCGCGGGTCGCAGTTGAGCAAGGACGACGAGGACGACGAGGACGACGAGGACGACGAGGACGACGAGGAGGACGGGAGGAGGAGGAGAGAGGACGAGGCAGGAGGAGGCGGAGGAGGAGGAGAAGGAGGAGGAGGAGGAGAAGGAGGAGGAGGCAACTGACATAAAATCTAACAACCCTCACCTGGCAGGTGGGGAAAAAACATCTCAACTCCAGTGACCTTGGGGATTGCCATACGACCTAGGCGTATTATGGCGTATTGGACTTCAGAAGCACCAGTTATATGAAAGCTGCAAGGGCGTCTTGCAGGTCATGAACCTGAGATTCCTGAGATCCTAGCCAGGCAGCTTTTGAGTAGTAAAGCTCGCCATGCCATCACCAAAACTCTGCACACAGCAGATCACAGCAACCTTCAGTAGGAACCTGCGGTTGCCTTGTTCATGTGCCTTGTCACGTTTGCGCGAGCTTCACTCCGAATTGTTCTGTACCTTTGCTGTACTGTAAATGTGCAGCACATGGCTAGGGGTTGTCCCAAACCATCCGCCCAATAATCTGTTACTTGCATAGGAAGCTTTGCAAGCCATTTCCGAGGGACAAGACCAGTGTAGCAAGTTGGAGATGAACATCTCTTCGAATAACCGGTTCTATATGTTCTATGATTCTACAGTAGAGGTACCCATCAAGTGTCATGCATGGCCGGTCGCTGCTGATTTTTTCTCATATTTTTTAATCCTCCACAAGCGGCTTCATTGTATGAACAATCGGCAACTCCGCAAGCTGTCTTCATTCCCGATGTGATATGGCATTCCTGGGCAGTCCGGGGGTTCGTTTGGTCTACCATCCCGGAACATGAATATCATCTGCTGAAGCCTTTTTGCTCGGACATCTTTGGATGCTGATCCTCTCCATGACTTGGCCATGGAGGAGAACATCAACTGCCCAAGGCGGGGATGGCTTGATGGCGGCTTCATGTCTTGTTTGTAAATAATGATTGCTTGATGTGCTTAATGTTGGTGCGCTGCAAATGGGTTCCTGCTGTTGACGTGTTGGATCTGTGTCAAAGAGGAATTGGGACTTCCTACAAATCCATGAAGTGTCTCCCTGCCATACCTTGCCATTGGATCACAACTCCACGGTTGCACTCGGCAACTCAGGATAGGGTGTGATCACCGCAATTCATATCGAAGCATGGTCGCAAGACCGGATAAGTCACTTTTTCGAAGCTAGAAGTATCAAGAACTGATCCGACATGATCCGAGACCGAGAGCATCCAATGAAAACCCTGTACCATCATGGACAGTACCATACGCTCCGAGGTTCATGGCTTGACTTCACTGTACTTCAATTTTGCGTGATCAAGAGCAACTTGCCCAACCCCATCTTGCACTCTGCAAGCATCTAAGTCTTAAGTCTTCTAAGTGCTCAGCCAATTGAGGTTCGTATCCCTCTCGCACTATCACTCCAACCTCTGCTTCACTGCTTCAAAGGGTGTTGAAAGGGGTGTTCCACCCAACGCTCAAAAAACCCGTTGCAAGTCCCGAGGCATTTGAAGCACTTTGCTGCGACAATGAAGCGTCTGAATCAAAACAAGCACCGCATGTGGTCCCACCAACTGGGACAACGTGCCAGGTGCGAGCTGTTGCCAGTGAGGCCCACCATTGTGGCACCTGGTGATGTCTCGCCAAAATGGACGCATTATGATATTCATGATGACCCCCTTACCGCGTGGCTCAAAAAGGAAAATGGGATGCCGTTTCAGCACTTAATGATACTTGTACTGATCTTAAATTTAATGGTACTTACACAATTATATATATATAATGTTCACAAGCGAATCATTCACAACTCATAGCCATGGCACGAGCCCCCCGAGGGGCTGTCCAATCATTGGGCCCCGCAGCTGGGCCTGATGGGAGGTTCGCGTCGAATTGAGCTAAAGTCTCACCTGGCTCGGCTCTGCGGTCAACTTGAGAAGCACCCGCAAGATCCTGCAAGACTTCACATGACATATCCAACTTGCATCATGATTAGAGTGGGCATATGGAAAATGATTACAATATATTACAACATGTCACCAATCACCAATCAATTCACACCATATAACATCAAGTCTCCTCCTTCCAAATTATGCGAACCCTCCAACAGGTTTTCCTGTATTTAGTTCCCTAACGTTACAAAAACCATCATGGACCACCTAGGCAGAAAAAGGATGCAAAGGGGCTGGCCATGGCTGGCCTGATTCCAGGCTGATGGCCATGACTTCCCGAGTTCGGAGCACCGCCCACAACACCGTGGCATCAAGGTGCAGGGCTGTGACCTGTCGGCGCAGCCAGCTGCCAGGCAAAGGATTGCTCGTTGTTACTTCATGAACTTCATGTTACAACTGTGTCAGGGCTCCCCAATGGCTGAGAGTTCATAAATTTAAGACTTACCCTAGTTTTAAAAAATAGTTATGAACTGTTATACAACAATGATTTGCAACTAGGCAGCCGTCACTTTGGATCGCATTGCTCACATTTGCTCACCAGCGATGCAGGAACTCAAACGGCAACAATGACAGCGTTCCAATCGGCCCTGATTTCCAACTGCCCTCATAGCACCTCCCCTGTCGTTGGAAGCTCCAGCAACACCTCCAGCTGCCCTGTGCGCATCAAGCGCTCCGCTAGGGCTGCGGTTAAGCCGATTCAGGGATGCTCTGGAGGCTATTCCTGTGTGGGTATTGTGAGCCAAAATTGTGCGACATTTGAACACATTTGATGCGTCAAGGTAATTGCCGCCTCTGGGAGTTACAATGTGTTGCAGCCCTCCCACACTGTGACGACTGGCAGCTGACCACAGCAAAAGGAAAAGTGGAGAGGTAGGGCAATCCGGGCTGTTGGAAAAGTGGCCTGGTGGTCCCAGGTTTTAGGCTCAGCCACCTACTACTGCAGATTGCCCCTATTGCCGGTTCAAGCCTGCAGGGGAAGCTGGACGTCTGCACAGTCGCAACCTGCAAAGACAAAAGTCTGGAAAAATGGCACCAGTAATTACAACCAAATGCCACCAAAAGGTCAAGCAACTTCCGGGATTTGCTACCCCCGAAGTTGGAATCTCCAATTGCTTTAGCCGCTTAGCCAGGTGTAAGTTGGTCCAAAGGTCATCCAAATCATTCTGCCAGTTCCACTGAAGTTCCACTGGGTCCCTGGCATCCTGTCAGAGCTTGCGAGAATCACTGCACCGCCCAAGGCACCAGCGGCAGAGAGGCGTTCGATGGAGGGCAGCCTGGGGACCAGCAACGTTTCCAGCAAAGCCGGGGTCACCATCGCCACCATGGCCACGAACAGTAACATCAATATTCTATAATTATAAAAAAAGCATATATTATATATATATATATAATTATCATCATTGTCATCAATAGTGAATCAGAACCATCATCATCATCGTCGTCGTCGTCGTCGTCCTCGTCCTCGTCCTCGTCCTCGTCCTCGTCCTCGTCCTCATCGTCATCGTCATCGTCATCGTCATCATCATCATCATCATCATCATCATCATCATCATCATCATCACCATCACCATCACCATCATCATCATCATCATCATCGTCATCTTCATCTTGAAATATAATGAGTCATAATAATCATGTCATATTGACAATGTCATGTCATGTCATATCGTGTCATGTCATATTCATGTCATCATGAAAACACGCGATCATCATCAACAACCGCAGCAAGTAAGTGGCCATCCATTCCTTCATTCCTCCCTTGGGGTCTCAAACGAGGCATTGGGAGCCGGCCAGCTCTGTGGCCCAGCATCAAGGATGCCTCAAATCAGCTGTGCATCGAAGTTGAATTCACTGGCGGCTTGGTTTCATCGGGATTCCCATAGTGGATTATGGAAATCCATGGAAGTCTCCAATATATCCCAATATATTGGGAGCAAACTCCTGACCGACTGCTATGATCATCAACCAAGGGGTTTTGAGATGTTTTGAGCATTGCTCAACTACCACCAGATGCCAAAATCTGATGCCTCTCACCTTTCATCTTTCCAGCACTGTCAGGTCCTGAGCTGGGCCCACCCAAAGCGCCAATGGATGTACTGGGCGAGGTGGAGCTTGTCCATGACCTCAGTGCTGATCGAGGTGGGTCTTCACTGCATCCCCTTCTGCCTTTGAGCAAACAACCTGGTTACAAAATGTTACAAGAAGAAAGTGCATTGTGCGATTTTCTGAGCTATGCATGAGTTATGTATGAGTTATGTATGGGGCTCCCTGGAAGTAAGCGCTCTGCGCATTCACTACCCTGACGTCAAAGTAGCCCTTCCAGTCCAACGGCGTATTTTCGGTTTGAGATGCAATGGGGTGGCCATGGAGATACCAGTACCCCAGGCCTCGTCACTGATTAGCGCTAGCTGTCCATCCACCAAGCTGAGGCCTGCTGAAAAGTGGGAAAAATATTGAAAAGTACTATAAAGTACTACTACTGTATATCTACTGTATATCTACTGTATATGTACTGTATATATTAAAAAGATTGATGCACTCATCCTGTTCATATGCGCTCTGATTCACTGATGCCTCTTGCTGTTCCGGGCACTGCCATGGCTTGTCCCACCTTGGCCATTTATCAGGAGCAGGATTCTTGGTCTTTAGTAGGATTTATATAACTGTTTTCCCTTCTCCCCTTGAATTCCAGCATTTTGTAGATTGGCTATTGACGGCGAACTGGATCGAGCCGCCACAATCCGCAAAAAAAAAACGCATCATCTTATAACTTATATATATATATCACGATAATATATCATATCCTTGACTGTAATCTGCACAACTATACTATACTATATCCTAGTCACCCTCAAGAACCTTTGCACTAGGAAAATTAGGATCTTGTCGGCCTGATTGCAACGTTTTTCACATCCGCCAGCCGAGGTCTGCACTGGCGCGAAGCTCTGCGTGGACCACTGGAATTTTTGCACCACACCATCTGTGGCCTCAAACAGCCGCCGCAGCCGCAACCGCCAACATCAATGGGGCAAGTCAGATTATATAAGTCACAGCATTTCAATGAAAGTGACCAATCCAAACTAATCAGCGAAAACATGCGAAAACAAGAAAATTCAGAACACGTTTTTGGCACACAAACGACAACAATGAACAGGTGTTTGCATGTTTTTGCTTCATCCAGGTCCTGCCTGGCCTGAAATGATGCGAGTGCCCAGCCAAACACACAACTGTTTATATACAGTACAAGATTTGACAACCACGTCCAATATTTTCCAATCATTTCCAGCCCATAATGGGAGCAGTGACTTCCATCCACCGTGGCGCACCACAAAGAGCTGGCCATCAGCAATCTCCACGGCAGTTGGTTGGAAGAAGGCTGGCCTTGGAGTTGTGCAAAGCCCTGCACGCTTCAGCGCCAACATTCCAAACTGCTTCCAAACTGCTTCCAAACTGCTTCCAAACTGCTTCCAAATGCCAAATGCTTCCAAAAATTCAGCTATCTCATTCCATTTCATTCCATTCCTGTTTGTATGTTTGGTGCAGGGTGCCACCGCCGAGCTGGACAGGGCTGACAGTCGCTTGATGTCGCTGAGCTGGGCTGGGTTAATGTATGTTAATGCCTAACAGGCCTATATAACCCTTCACTATTTGTTTATCAAGGGCTGCAACGACTACGACTTTGGCTCGTCTGCATTAAGGTCACTGCCACTCAGCCGGCATAATTATCCAGCCTCAGCACCCCTTACATGCACCCCGCTGTGCAGATTGTTTGTTTGATAGTGTCAGAGGGGGGGCCGGACTGAGACAAGACTGATGTCTTCCACTTTACCTCTGCTGCTCCATATGCGATTGAAACACCTTAAAATGGTTCATTCAAAATCTTCATCTTCTCCTGCCCACAAGTGCTACCCGTGGCCAAACGCTGCTGCCACACGCTGTCACTGCGTTTCTCTCCCTCTCTCTCTCCCTCCCTCCCTCCCTCTCTCTCTCTCTCTCTCTCTCTCTCCCTCACTCCCTCTCTCTCTCCCTCTCTCTCTCTCTATTTTTCTGCATCAGCTAAGGAGTTTGCTGATGGATGTCCAACGAGAAGTGCCTTGCCGCCAAAAAGCCGCAGATGAAGGGTCTGATGATAGTTTTTTTTTAATGATAAGTTGAGTATAGTTATGTGATGCAGTCCCAACAGAGTCTCTCCCCCAGCTTCCCATTCCACTGCGCACCTTCGGTGCCAGATCCCAACTCAAATCTCACCTGAAAGCGTGGGAAACGGTTCGCAGCAAGGTGCCATCAACACTGGGAGTTGGGAGGGGTGAGGTTTGAAACATACATTACTATCATGACATATCATGACTAATGCGTGGTTCGATCGATGGCTAATTAAAGCGGAATGACAGCCACTACTGCGCCCTTCAAGTGCCTTCAAGGCACGGTTCCCAAACAAAACTCACATGATAAAATGAACTTTCAGACCGTCAGTTGGCGACGTTGATCCGGGGATGTTTCTCAGGCTCCCACGATCACTGCCTCAGCGACAGCGAAATTTGGAAGCAATAATTGATGGAGTTTCAAGGATCAATGGCGACCAGCCTACTGTAGCCCTGCTGTTCTCACTTACGCAAGCCTACATTACAGCTTATCTCAAGATCCTTGCTGAGATGATGGAGAGCAAGAACAAGGTGTGCAGAACAGCCTTGGCAAATCTCACAGCATCTCAGCGCAAAGGCCCTTGATGAATGCATCAATTTTGCCTGACTGTTTCGTGGTTAAGACAAAAAACTCATTTCCACGTCCAACCCTGTTCGACTGGCTGTGCTCTACAGTTCGAACGATGGCTCGTATTTCATCAGAATCAAGGGTGCAGCCGTCCAGAACTGCAACGATCTAGGTCTCTCCTGCCATGAGGTGCTGCACGGGGATCACGTGGTCCAAGCTCTCCGAAGCGTCTTCAATACAGGCACGAGAAGACCAAGCCATGTCGGAGATCGGACCAAAGCGCTTGTGCTTGGTTTACAAAGGAAGCCTTAGCAACGTTGGCAAGTTGCCACTACCAAGTTCTTGTATGTTTTTGGCAGAGAGGAGATATTGCTTCAATCGCCAAAACATTCAAAAACCATCCAAAACCAGGCAAATATCGGGCTATGACATCAGTTCAGGTGCATGGGGTGAATTACTGGACGGGTTTGACTACAAGACCTATCGCACTGACGCGCACGGCTAGGCAAATGGTCAATGGCTATGGATGGCCTCTGGCTATCTCTGGCTGCCAAAAAAGAAGCCAAGGCCAGCTGCAGGCTGCTTGGTCTCCACACTCTGTATCTTACAGTTTCTGCACGAGTTGGGAGGTGACATTAAGATTCCATCACAAGGATCTGGGTTCAAAAGAATGTCAAAGCTTTCTCCGTGTAATCTGACTAAAACAAACAATAAAAACACCAGCAACGGCCATAGCCGCCCAGTCCTTTGACAGGGGCATGCAATTGCCTCGGGAGGCAGGTGTTGGGCCGTGTCGACCGTGTCGGCATTAGCCCTGCATGCAGCATCTGTGCCAAGCCCCGCACGGATCGCTCAACGACGATTTCTGAGAACACGGAAACACGTGTGGGCACAAAACAGATCAAAATAGCACAAAGGATGATGCACATTTCCCCTTTGCTACGGGCCTATGGCCATTATGGGGCACCGCCAAATCAGTTCAGTATTTCAATGTATTCTTTAGACGATTACTGTAATTGTGTTCTAGGTTATTCTAGTATCTCTTTGACTCTTTCTGGCCATTGAAGGGCTGAGGAGCAGACCCTCCTCCGATACACAGTCGGCTTCAGTGTCTCAGGCGGTACCTGGGCATCCGCTAAGACTGATGCAGGATCGCCTTAGCCACAGACCTCTCCGCCTTCTAAATGATGCGGCTGCTATGTGCTATTATATTATATCTATAGTATCTATAGGTGGAATGAAGGTAGGTAGATGATTCTATGTGCGCAATGCTTGCTAGGAAGGAGAGAAAAAACCATCAAGCACAGTCGCAAGTTTGGCAATTCCCGTGGGGCACCCGCCAAACCCTCTGGCAGCTGCTCGTCACTGCGTTGATCTGCCAAGAGGACAACTTTGCTCTGAGAGATGGTGACGGCGCACGAAAACCCGCCAAAATACGGTGTTCCTGTGACATCGTTGCTTTTTAACATCCACATGCCTATCTTTTGCAGTAGATCTGCAGTCTGTGGTCTGAAAGATTCCTAGCTGCGTTGGGGCTTCTCATGTGCCCAGGAGTCGCTGGCTGCGTGCCTTTTCACTACTTGCCCTCATCACATCTTTACAGAATACTGACCTGATGCAGAATCATGGAAGAGGTGACTGTGGGTGTTTTATAAAAATGCTTAGACAAGTTTCAATTCCATCCGCCCTTCCAGGGGGATGGGCATCCTTTTCCTTTCTGCTGCTAAGCTGTATCTCCTGCCTTTCTCTGCATCAAGTTTTGAGGAGCCAGCCCTGAGAAGCAGTCAAAGGCAACGGAAGACCTTGAGCCATCTTGGAAATGAGGAGTGCTGGGCGTGCTGGGCGTGCTGGGCGTGCTGGGCGTGCTGGGCGTGCTGGGCGTGCTGGGCGTGCTGGGCGTGCTGGTGTCTCTTGGTTTCATCACCCAGAGCCTGGACACTTCAATGCAAGGGCGGCAAAACCCATCCATTGAGCTCGAAACTCCACTTCAGCTCTTGCTGAAGGTTGGGAAGTGTCAACCTGTCAGACTGCAATAGTGTACATGTAGTCTGATAGTGTTCTTGACCAATCCCCAAATGGCTCTTTCCCAAAGGAGGCACCCTCCAATGCCCAGCCTCTTCCTCGCCATCATCCTGCTGTTCACCTTGGTCCGTCGACCATCTTCGCATTTATTCGCCATCCAGCGGCTGTTTGGAGGTTTACCATACCAGTTACATCCAAATGGATCCAAATGGTTGTTGCAAGCAAAAAGTGCAACCAAGATTTTGTAGTCTGAGCCCTGCACCGAGGCGAAAGGCATCCATATCTGCCTCAGGTCGTCTGCAAGGAAGGCTCTAGTAGAAAGGATATCGGATACCACTTCTTACCAAACCTTGGCAACCTGTGGCGCACTGGTGTATGCAAATGTAAACATAATACATATGCATATGCATGTATATATATATATACATGTGCGTGTACACAGTATAACTATAAGGATAAAATGTTCATGTGTTTATCTGTTTATCTTTGTAGTTCTTGATTTTATTACAGTGCCTTATATAACTATAGATGTATTAGTTATCGATCAATCTATTTGTCATTATTTTCATACATTCTTATGAAAGTCAGGCAAGGCGAAATGTCCTATCCAGCCATCCAAGAAAATCGCTCCGAGCCACCTTTTGCGATGTCTAGAGGATCAAAACCCTGGTGCCTTCATGAACACCAAGTCAGCAGCTACGAATGTAGATAAATGGATGGTCTGGTTCCATTCGTTATCCGCAACAACCGTCTCATGGCTACCCCTCCCATCCCCAACATCCAGCCCTGAGCGTTGCCCACCAACCGCTGTGCCAAGTCTGAGGAGTAGTTGTTCTCCTCATCCAACTCGTCTGACAGCTCATCAGAACCCACGTTGGACTCCTGGAGACAGTTGTTGATTGTTTGGTTGTGTGAGGATATTTCAGGTATTGGTGGGATGTGTTGGGACATGTTAGGATATCTTATTTCAGGCCAGGCCCCACAACCTCACAATTTGATACAACTTCGCGGGCTGCGGATTGGTGGCATGATATCAGAAGCTCTGGTCATTGAGGGACTGAAGGTTGCAAATCGGACTTGCTTACCATGCTTACCATCCACCCCAGCCTTTCGACGCAAGCCGTCTGCTTGGGTTGACATGGTGCGCCGGAACTGGTTCAGAAAGGACGGTTTTGGTTCCTTGGGAGCGTGGTAAAAGCCATCGCGCGATGTTCAAACAAAACAACCTGTTGTATCCAAGCTTTGTGACAGTCTCTGAGTGCAGGTCGTGGGCATGGTCGACACTGTTGATTGAGTGGATGGCCTGCGAAGGTAAATATTAAATATCTGGTGAACAGCCTTCGGAATGTCCTATGGACTCATGAAATACCAGTTGCAGGGGCACTGCCAGACTTTTTGCTGTGCTTGTGTGGAACTAAAGGCAATCCATGTCCTGTGGTTGGAATTAATACTCAAGACTCAAGACCGTACTTTCAAAGAGTGGAGAAACAAGAAAACTGCCTGAGAGACGACTCCACTTAGTCCTTCCACCGGCATCAGGTTCAACAACACCTGCAAGGCTGCAAACAAACCCTCATGCGACTGCACCTAGAGTCCTCTGCTTCTCATGGCTTCAAGCTTGACTTTTGCTTGTTCAAAAAGACATGATCCAAACCAAAATTATTGGAACAACCGGCGGGCTATATCCTCATGCCGCGCATGTGCTTGCACATGCAGACATGTCCAAAATCGATCGAAATCATGCAGACTGTAGCCAAAAAAACACCATTCAGTTCTTGCACACTAGCAGCTCCAATGATTACAGCACATGATCCCTGCAAAGGCCGAACACATCTCGCATCTACGTTGGAAATGTATACACATGTAATGTATCCGATGAACTCAGTCGGAAAAAAGCATAACCGTATATATATATCTCTCTCTCATATTACAGTAATGCATATTGTAGCATAACACCAAGCTGAACCCGCCCATCTTCATCTTGGGGCTCTAGGGGTCAAACGCATCCCGGCAGCAAAGCTAGAAGGCCCAGCAAGACTTCAAACCTCTGTGGTGACTGCGGTTCCAAAATCACCAAACAATGTGTGGAGCCCTGCTCCAGTGCTCCAGGCATCTCCAGATTCTGAGTGCTCGGCGCCCACCAACCATGCGCATTGTTGATGTTGTACATCCTTGCTGCGACCAGGAGGAAAGTGGCCACCTGCAGACAAGCGTCAACGAAAAGCGACCACGGTACTCACAGCATCCTTTTCAAGACATTATTGTGACATTATATAACCAAGTGTAAACATGCTATCTCCAGGTTCTGGATAGGTGAAACATGGTGAAACATGGTGAGTAAGATCGGGTAAGATCGAGCAAGATGTTTTCTCAGGAAAGCGCCAGAAGACAAATAATCCCTGTAGCCAGGTAGTTTTCTGCCTGGACCAAAGCAGTTGCAGTGAGTTTCAATGAGTTTCACTGTATCTGGCATCGTAGACTGAGGAATTCTTGAGCTCAGGGCATACCTCCTTACGGGCAGCATCCTTGGGTGGATTTTAAAACATCCCGCTGACAGCAAGGGAGTCTTTTGCTGTTGCGACTTTACAAAATATTGATAGATATTGATAGATATTGATAGATATTGATAGATATTGATAGATTGCGATAGATGTTGATCATTCATCAAGTGGGTGGAGATGCGCTCCTGGCATTGCATCATGCCAGCGGTCTGAAGTCTCGGTTTCCGGCTTTTTGACTTCAGAGTTGAACTCCGCGAGTGGAAAGTCCTGTGCCAACGCTTTGCAAACGAAGGGTTTTACATGTGCTGCAAGAAGTCAAAATGCAAAATGGTTAAGCTAGTGGTTGCAGGATACACACTGGTATCTTTTGACGTCAGTAACTGAATCTCTTCCAGCCGCGTTTTTTTCCATTTCCATCCATTTCCCCCAAATCGGTTCTCACCTCTTCCTTGCAATGCACATGCCCTCGCCGTAGCACCACAGTGAGGGCCTGGCTCCACCAAACTTGGCATATGCAGTGCCTGCAAGTGCCTCGTAACAGCTAAACTGCAATACATAAAACGCTGGGGCTGGTTGTAAGCAGAATGCCAAAGCTCTGACCTCTAAAGCCTCGTCATGATTTGTCTTCAGCCCCTATGCCCCATCCTGGCCACTACATGCCACCACTGTCTGTGTGTGTGTGGTCCGCCCATGCCTCGCATGCTGTTTTGAAGTTCCACTGCACCACCACCTTCAAGGAAGCCAAGCAAAGCTGTTGCACTTGGGACACCGGTTGTTGGAACAAAAGGCTTACCAACCAAGGACAACGATCATGACAAGCTGCCATCCCCCTGCCATCAACCAGCCACTGAGTTCAGCCCATTGGCAGCTGAGCGGCATCGATGTGATCGACCCAAAGTCGCTAGGGCTCGCCAGGACGATCTTGTACAGCGGCAATTCCTGGGACACTTCCGAGATGTTCCGGGGGACTTTTTTGCAGAACAATTCTGCGACGCACAAGTCTCCCAACTGCATCATGGTGCAGAGGACATCCTCTTGTCGGAGATCAATATGAGAGATCAAGTATGCAAGATTTCTGGAGAAGGACTGGGTCATGCAGCGTATGGATACAGCTCTCGCAACTCCTCGATAATTCTCAGGGTGGTGTGAGCTCGCGATTGTTGTCTGCAATGTGTTTTCTCTACATTGTGCATCGAAGCTCAATAGCCAATAGCTACCATGACTATCCTACAAGCAAATTGATTAAATCAGGCTAAATACACGGTTCAAGGCATGAGCTGCTCACCACGATGTCTGCGATGTGGGTGATCAATGATTGCATTGACTGCACCACAGAGACTCGAGCCAGCCCAGTCTAGAAACCCTAGTAGCCCTAGTAGCCCTGATATCTCTGAAACCCATATCAACGGACACGAAATCAGAAAGCGTCCGTGACTTGCTTCAGAGTTTTCCAAAGCTCAGTTGTGAAGTGCGGATTGATCTTGATGTCCATATGGTTTGCCTCTTTACACTCCACAATACGGCAACCAGCAGGGTGTTCTGTCCACTCCTGCCAACCCTCATAGGTCCATTCAGGAAAATGCCCGTGAAAGATTTTGTCCTCCTTTTCCTTCATGTATGCGCCTATCAGGGAGCAAACTTTCCCATCCTAGCCTACGGAGCACAAACAAGCTGACGAAACTTCTGTCCTCATCAACCAAAGGCCAGTCATTTTACTTCCCCCAATCGGATGCTGCATTGTCTCAAATTTTCTCTGCATGTACTATGATCGCTCTTGGTCGTCGAAGAGTCATTGCCGGTCATTGCCGGTCATTGCCGTGATTTCTGATGCAATTATTTCATCAGTAAAGGAATCAGAAAAAAAGGGAAACAGGAAGGAAATGTGGCAACAACGTCGGAGACAATATGGTAGCATAGCTACACCATGCGGCGCTTGGTTGAGGACCAAGTGATGTGAGTTGATGCAGTGAGGCTTTAAGGCGTAAGCTACGTAAGGCATGTGTTTGTCTAGTCACCCATTTTTAGAATCAGAAAGCATGTGAAAGATGATGAAAGATGTACTCATGTATCGTAGAACATGTGACCCCCCCAAAAAGTAAAGCAAACATGCACTGTGCCATCCCCTGCCTATGGTCGCCTTTGTCTTGATCCATTCTTTCACCTCTGGAGTGGCCTCATCCAGCTTCACCCAGGTCCGCCAGGACAACTCAGCCCCAACGGCCAGCATGGGACACTTGAAGCGATGGTAACCCACTTCGATGGCATCTTGGTCCATGATCTGATCCGTTGCCCACATTTTCAGGGTGCGAGCGCCTACTTCGCCAGCACCTAGGGATGAAGAACAGTAGGCCCATGGCCAAACCTTGCGGAGAACATCGTAATATTCATATATGTTCATGTGTGTATATACATATATATATATATTTTTTTGTCAAGGCTTCGCGAAGGATTTGCCCTACCAATTGGTTTGCATCCTTGTGCAGCAAAGTATTGATCATGTCGAGTCACTGTGGAATACGTGAGAATTATGAATCAAAAGGATGAACTACTGGAATTATATATATACAGTATATATCTTTGCGCAAGTGACCGAACTTTTTTCTCGAGCATCTGGCGAACACGCATCTTGTTTCTCCCAAATGACCGTAGTTCAGATTGACGAACCAGTTCATGTTGCACAAAATGGCAGCAATCCCTGTTAAGAACTTGCGGTCTTACGTCCCCTGATTCCTCTCCCATCACTCCTTTCAACCCAACTCGCTCAACACCCAGAAAGATGATGAAAGATGTGAGTTTGAATAATACACACACACACGCCCACGCACACACACACACATATTTATATACCAGTAGTACTGCACAAGGCGGTGGCGGAAGTTTCAGAATGGGAAACCTATAGGAGACGTTGGTTGTTGTGAATCACGGATGGCAGAGCGAATCCACTGATTGACCGAAAGGTGGTTGGAGTTGTGTTTGCTGGAGTGGTTGCAATGGTTGCAGTGGTCACCTCACCCACAACTGCTGGATGTAGTGTGATGTACCGCAACTGTAGTTGTAGTTGTAGCGTAGTGGAGTTGTAGTTGTGGTGTAATGTAATTAGTGTAGTGTAGTTGCAGTCATATAGTTGTAGCTGTAGTTGTTTTGTAGTTGTAGTTGTAGTTGTTGTAGTTGTAGTTGTTGTTGTTGTAGTTGTAGCTGTAGTTGTTGTGTGGTTGTAGTTGTTGTGTAGTGTAGTTGTAGTAGTTGTTGTAGTTGTAGTTGTTGTTGTTGTTGTTGCTGTTGTTGTAGTTGTTGTTGTTGTTGTTGTTGTTTTTGTCGTTGTTGTTGTTGTAGCTGTAGTTGTTGTAGTTGTAGTTCTAGTTGTAGTTGTAGTTGTTGTTGTTGCTGTTATTGTTGTTGTTGTTGTTGTAGCTGTAGTTGTTGTAGTTGTAGTTCTAGTTGTAGTTGTTGTGTAGTTGTAGTTGTAGTTGTAGTTGTAGTTGTTGTTGTTGCTGTTGTTGTTGTTGCTGTTGCTGTTGTTGTTGTTGTAGTTGTTGTAGTTCTAGTTGTAGTTGTAGTTGTAGTTGTTGTGTCGTTGTAGTTGTAGTTGTAGTAGTTGTAGTTGTTGTGGTTGTGGTTGTGGTTGTTGTTGTTGTTGTTGCTGTTGTTGTAGTTGTTGTTGTTGTTGTTGTTTTTGTCGTTGTTGTTGTTGTAGCTGTAGTTGTTGTAGTTGTAGTTCTAGTTGTAGTTGTAGTTGTTGTTGTTGCTGTTATTGTTGTTGTTGTTGTAGCTGTAGTTGTTGTAGTTGTAGTTCTAGTTGTAGTTGTTGTGTAGTTGTAGTTGTAGTTGTAGTTGTAGTTGTTGTTGTTGCTGTTGTTGTTGTTGTTGCTGTTGCTGTTGTTGTTGTTGTAGTTGTTGTAGTTCTAGTTGTAGTTGTAGTTGTAGTTGTTGTGTCGTTGTAGTTGTAGTTGTAGTAGTTGTAGTTGTTGTGGTTGTGGTTGTTGTTGTTGTTGTTGCTGTTGCTGTTGTCGTCGAAGTTAGGGTAGTTAAGTTAGTGAAGTTAGTTAAGTTAGTCAAGTTAGTCAACTTAATCAGTGTCTACTTTTTCGACATCTTAACGTCAAAAAAGGCTCAAAACCCTCAGTTTTTTCCCGAGAGCGTCTGAGCGCAGGGTTCTTCCAATAGTGGGGGTCTGTAAAACATCTTCTCATCTTCACATCTCATCTTCACATTCTCTCATCTTCACATCTTCTCATCATCTTCACATCTTTTCATCTTCACATCCTCTCATCTTCACATCCTCTCATCTTCACATCCTCTCATCTTCACATCTCATCTTCACATCCTCTCATCTTCACATCTTTTCATCTTTACATCCTCTCATCTTCACATCTTTTCATCTTTACATCCTCTCATCTTCACATCCTCTCATCTTCACATCTTTTCATCTTTACATCCTCTCATCTTCACATCCTCTCATCTTCACATCTTTTCATCTTTACATCCTCTCATCTTCACATCCTCTCATCTTCACATCTTTTCATCTTTACATCCTCTCATTTTCACATCCTCTCATCTTCACATCTGCTCATCTTCACATCCTCTCATCTTCACATCCTCTCATCTTCACATCTGCTCATCTTCACACCTTCCCATCTTCACATATGCTCATCTTCACACCTTCCCATCTTCACATCTTCTCATCTTCACATCTGCTCATCTTCACATCTGCTCATGTTCACATCTGCTCATCTTCACATCTGCTCATCTTCACATCTTCTTATCTTCACACCTGCTCACCTTCTCTCTCACGCCTTCTTTTTATCTTTCTCTCTTAAGGCCGAGGGTGGTGCCGGCGGCGAGTCACGAAACGTCAACCCTTTCGCACGAAACGAGGGTCGATCGGCAAAAACTGAGGTAAAATTGCGATTTGACTTGTGCCGGAGCAACCCTTTCGCACGAAATGAAGTTCGATCGGCAAAAACTGAGGTAAAATTGCGATTTGACTTGTGCCGGAGCAACCCTTTCGCACGAAATGAAGGTCGATCGGCAAAAACTAAGGTAAAATTGCGATTTGACTTGCCCCGGAGCAACCCTTTCGCACGAAATGAAGGTCGATCGGCAAAAACTGCGGTAAAATTGCGATTTTACTTGCCCCGGAGCAACCCTTTCGCACGAAATGAGGGTCGATCGGCAAAAACTGAAGTAAAATTGCGATTTTTCCTGTGCCGGAGCAACCCTTTCGCACGAAATGAGGGTCGATCGGTAGAAACTGAGGTAAAATTGCGATTTTTCCTGTGCCGGAGCAACCCTTTCGTCTGTGTGTAAAAGCGTCTGTGTGTAAAAGCGTCTGTGTGTAAAAGCGTCTGTGTGTAAAAGCGTCTGTGTGTAAAAGCGCCTGTGTGTAAAAGCTTCTGTGTGTAAAAGCGCCTGTGTGTAAAAGCTTCTGTGTGTAAAAGCCTCTGTGTGTGAAAGTGTTGTGTGTAAAAGTGTCTGTGTGTAAAAGCGTCTGTGTGTAAAAGCGTCTGTGTGTAAAAGCGTTTGTGTGTAAAAGCCTCTGTGTGTAAAAGCGTCTGTGTGTAAAAGGGTCTGTGTGAAAAAGCGTCTGTGTGTAAAAGCGTCTGTGTGTAAAAGCGTCTGTGTGTAAAAGCGTCTGTGTGTAAAAGCGTCTGTGTGTAAAAGCGTCTGTGTGTAAAAGCGTCTGTGTGTAAAAGCGTCTGTGTGTAAAAGCTTCTGTGTGTAAAAGCGTCTCTGTGTGTAAAAGTCTCTGTGTGTAAAAGCGTTTGTGTGTAAAAGCGTCTGTGTGTAAAAGTGTTTGTGTGTAAAAGTGTTTGTGTAAAAGCGTTTGTGTGTAAAAGCCTCTGTGTGTAAATGTGTTTGTGTGTCAAAGCGTCTGTGTGTAAAAAGCGTCTGTGTGTAAAAGTGTTTGCGATGCAAACTATTGTCTTGCACTTCTCACTATTTTGTCTTGATACTCCTCTTCTCGACTGCCTATAACACAGCTTTCATATATCGTTTGTAATATTGCGTCTCCATACTAACAAGAGAAGACCCTGCCCCCCCCGAACTGTCCGAGCAAACATGACTGTAAGCATTTCCAGAGCTTCTTTTGGTGGCTGTGGTGCTTGTCTTTGGAGATTTTGGAGGCCTGCTGCATGTTGTCACCAGTGTGTGGCAGTCATTCGATGTTTTGCAGCTAGCTTTTGGTAAAACCACATGATTTTGCGAGTTGCAACTGCAAGCTTGTGTTCCGTTTGTTCGTCAAAGCATGAAGCTGGTCGGCGCAGCTTTTGGTTCGAGATTTGTATCGCGCTTGGCCTCTATAAGTTGTTACTCTGGGTTCGCTTCAACCGGATAGGTCCGAGAAGCTCCGAGAGTTGCAACAAGGCTTGACAGAGGGAGGAGTTGATCCCTTCCGGCGCCAGGTGCGCAAACTTGGGATCAATGCATTGAAGGCTTTAGCTTCTGAGCTGGGGATGTCAGTGTGTGGCAGTCATTCGATGTTTTGCAGCTAGCTTTTGGTAAAACCGCATGATTTTGCGAGTTGCAACTGCAAGCTTGTGTTCCGTTTGTTCGTCAAAGCATGAAGCTGGTCGGCGCAGCTTTTGGTTCGAGATTCGTATCGCGCTTGGCCTCTATAAGTTGTTACTCTGGGTTCGCTTCAACCGGGTATGTCCGAGAAGCTCCGAGAGTTGCAACAAGGCTTGACAGAGGGAGGAGTTGATCCCTTCCGGCGCCAGGTGCGCAAACTTGGGATCAATGCATTGAAGGCTTTAGCTTCTGAGCTGGGGATGTCAGTGTGTGGCAGTCATTCGATGTTTTGCAGCTAGCTTTTGGTAAAACCGCATGATTTTTGCGAGTTTCAACTGCAAGCTTGTGTTCCGTTTGTTCGTCAAAGCATGAAGCTGGTCGGCGCAGCTGTTGGTTCGAGATTCGTATCGTGCTTGGCCTCTATAAGTTGTTACTCTGGGTTCGCTTCAACCGGATATGTCCGAGAAGCTCCGAGAGTTGCAACAAGGCTTGACAGAGGGAGGAGTTGATCCCTTCCGGCGCCAGGTGCGCAAACTTGGGATCAATGCATTGAAGGCTTTAGCTTCTGAGCGCGCTTTGGTTCAGCTGCTGCAAGCAGTGATGGCTTCAAGCTTTTGCAGGACAATATCGGGACGGACAAAAGTTTTAGTTAGGCTCGCCATGACATTACACACTTGGTCACGTATTGTGATGAGGTGCACATCGTCGAGTCGTCATCTTGCATCTTTACAATATTTAGATTAACAGCCTTAGGCCTTAGCTTCAGACTTTGCTAATAGGTATATAATTATGGCCTGCTCCTATAAGACTTTGAGGGGATAGGATGGTTCCCCCACCCTGGCGGGGGGCCAGGTCGATTCTTTGTCTTCTCAACACCCTTGTGAGCAGCTTAGTTATTTGATGTTTAACTTTGATTCTTGTATTGCAACCAGAACTGTCTGAGCAATACAAAGTACAAATGCATGGTACGAACTTCACCCCTCCGTCGAAATGCTGAGGTGGCCAGCAATGTCCGCCGCCTGCCAGAACCACCCTGGTTGGGGGGCCCCAAAGCACACCGCCCTCATGAGACAGGATACGAATTTGGCAGATAGAGGCAGTGGTAGCACCTGTTCATATTATATAGCATGGTAGTTGGATTTTACCCTTCTATTTTCTGCCCTTCCACCCAAACCTCTTTGCATAATGCGACCTATGTCTTTTCAAGGAATGTCTTATGTCCTCTGATGGTGTCAGCTATGTGACCGTGATTACAGGCGCGCGGATGAATGGAGCAGAGGACTTGAAAGGTCGTTGATTAAATGAAAGGCATAGTTTTACGTTCGTCGAGACTAGGATCCCAACCGGCAGTAGTCGGGGTATCTTCAACACCACTTGTGATGCAATGTGGAAGATCTTGCTGCGTTCACAGAGATGCTGGACCTAAGGTCGTGTCCGTGGAGGTGCCCAGATAAAGATCAACCGAGGTAGCCACTGATGTCAATTGAATTCGAAAATGAAGTGCATCAGCATGAGTCAACCAGAACTGTCTGAGACTTGCTGATGCACGCATCTTTGCTTGAGACATTCAGTTTCACCATAGTGCATCCTGTCTCACCACAGTGCATCGGCATGCGTCAAGCAGAACGGGCTGAGACTCCATCGAAGATGAATAAAGCTGCCGATTCCTTTTGCGCAGATAGTTGTTGGTCTGTGCAGCTAGGTTTGCATGGAGTCAGGGCCCCGGGATGGGATGGATTACATGGATAGGAAGGCTGCTACCACAAAGAGACAAATCGATACATTTTATATTGAGATAGGAATAGCAATATGAATTAGAGATGGATGTATGAGTGTTAATATATAGAGATGGATGTATGAGTGTTAAGATAAGAGTTTCAATTCCAGTCATGACCAACTTATATCATATTGTCATACTGTGTGTGTCCCAGCCCAGAAACGTTCGCCACCTGCCAGGTCCGCCCGTTTATACTTTTTTTCAGGAGATGGCAAACCACCTTGGTTGGGGGGCCCCAAAGCACATAGCCCTCATGACATGTTTATAGATGCTGGTTTCGAGTCACATGGAAATAGGACTTCGCCGCACCACCCCGTCGGATTGCTCAGGTGTCCACGACAACGATGACTTCGCTGTGAGTACCGTCTGTGTGTAAAAGCGTCTGTGTGTAAAAGTGTTTCTGCGTAAAAGTCTTTGTATGTAAAACCGTCTGTGTGTAAAAGTGTTTGTGTGTAGAAGCTTCTGTGTGTAAAAGCGTCTGCGTGTAAAAGCGTCTGTGTGTAAAAGTGTTTGTGTGTAACAGTGTTTCTGTGTAAAAGTGCCTGTGTGTAAAAGCGTCTATGTGTAAAAGCTTCTGTGTGTACAAGCGTTTGTGTGTAAAAGCAGCTCCTGTGTGTAAAAGGGTCTGTGTGTAAAAGTGGCTGTGTGTAAACGTGTCTGTGTGTAAAAGTGTCTGTGTAGAAGCGTCTGTGTGTAAAAGCTTCTGTATGTAAAAGCTTCTGTATGTAAAAGCTTCTGTCTGTAAAAACTTCTGTGTGTAAAAACTTCTGTGGGTAAAAACTTTGTGTGTAAAAGCGTCTGTGTAAAAGCGTCTGTGTGTAAAAGTGTTTGCGATGCAAACTATTGTCTTGCACTTCTCACTATTTTGTCTTGATACTCCTCTTCTCGACTGCCTATAACACAGCTTTCATATACCGTTTCTAAAATTGCGTCTCCATACTAACAAGAGAAGACCCTGCTCCTCTACGCTCTCGGGCCATCCGTCGTCTAGTTACACTTTTGACTTCGAAATGTGCTTCGCGCCACAACGGCGTGCACTTTTTCGACACTTTTTCGACATCTGAACCTCCAAAAGTGGTCCGAACATGGTGTGTTTTGTACATTTTGACTTGGAAATGTGCTTCGCGCCACAACGGCGTGCACTTTTTCGACATCGGAACTTCCAAAAGTGGTCCGAGAATGGTGTGCTTTGTACATTTTGACTTCAAAATGTGCTTCGCGCCACAACGGCGTGCACTGTTTCGACATCGGAACTTCCAAAAGTGGTCCGATCCTCTAGTGTTTTGTCCATTTTGACTTGGAAATGTGCTTCGCGCCACAACGGCGTGCACTTTGTCATGTCTCATCTGGCCAGCTGGCTCCGCACCCGCCGCTTTAGCGAGCCGACTTTTTGACCCTCCGGAGCCACAAATCATTGGAAAAACACAGTGAATCGCGACTTTCCTATCTTTTCGCGCATCTACCTCTTCTTTCTTCTGATCTTTTCTCTTCTGACTCTTTTCACCTCTGCTTTTCAACTGTCCATATTGTCGGAAGTTTCACTTCTAAACTTCCTTCGATAAATATAAATAAATAAATATATACATAAAACATCATAAAACATCATACATTGAAAAAAATATGTGAGCTTTCCAGCCGCCAGCACTCTTGTAGAGCTTGAAGATCGTGGGGTTCCAAACCTCAAAGAACGTCACAGGGTCATCTCTCAGCCACTGAGCACCAGAGTCTGTGAAGAGCGGATGCTGTGCAGCACCCCGTTCCAACATCACCACGAGGACGGGCTCAACGCCCAACTCGGCGCGTGCTCGCTTGGCCACCTTGATGGCCATTAAGGCACCAATGGAGTGGCCCAGAAATGCAAAGGCACCTCAGAACAGTTGCACTGGTAAAAAAAATGTCAAGGCCATATACTATATTTGTCATATAAATTTGCTACCGTTTTAAGATCTTGTCATCTTACATCATCTTGTTTTTTTTCATCGTTTTCCGCGCTGCATTCACACCTCGAGAGACTCACGCACATATAGCAACAACAAAGAAATCATTCTGAATCACAGTTTTGCTATATTCTTCATCACTGTTTCCCTCTTTGGGGTTAACCTCGTCAATGGGCCTTGGTGTTCAAAGCAGGTTTTCGGATTGATTGAATTATCGTTTGTGTTATCGTTTTGTTTCCGTTTTGCTGTCACCTCCATCAACACACAGAGCAATGCAAAACATATGTCTTGCGTGCATAAATCCCATGCCAGTAGGGCATCAGTAACATGATGTTAACATACATATACACACCATCATTAATATATATATATATTGCGGTTATCTTTTTTTCGTTTTTCCCTTCCTTATCATCGTCGTTTTACAGTGAATGGGCCATATCCAGCAGCACGACAGGGTGCCTGCTTAGCTAAACAGAAGATATTCAGGAATTATTTCAAACAGAAGATGCTTTTTGGGGGTGCGGCCAAACGCGTTTCAAATAGAAGATATTGCAGAGTGCAAAAGTAGTTCAAATGACCAAAAATCCAAGAATAAACCCCTCAACATTGGGATGATCTTTGGAATATCTTCTATTTGAAAATCTTTTGTCCCACTGCCATTTTTTGTGTTTTTTGCAGGGAAATTATCTAAAATCAATAGAACATTGACGCCCGGACCTGGGTGACCCCCCGAAGAGGAGAGTGCCAAAGTACCTCCCGAAGTGGGACCCGGCCGGAGGTACTTTGGCACTCTCGCCTTCGGGGGGGGGGTCGGTGAAAAACTGTTCAAAAACCATGGTTTTTTTTAGCTTTTTTGATTGAGGGATGGTGATTCAAACCACTTTTCAAATAGAAGATAATCTGTAATGCAATTTATTTTTCAAATAGAAGATATTCGAGGAGTACTGAAACACACTTTTCAAATAGAAGATAATATTTCATGAGGGAACCCAGAGAGTTCCACAAAATGGTTTTCAAATAGAAGATATTCATTTGCAACCCCATGAGTTCGACAGATCCCAAATGCATGAAAAACAGTTTTCAAATAGAAGATATTGCAAAGATCATCCCAATGTTGAAGGGGTTACTGTTGGATTGTTGGTCTTTTGAACTACTTTTGCACTTTGCAACCATCAACATTGGGATGATGTTTGCAATATCGTCTATTTGTAAATCTTTTGTCCCACTGTAATTTTTTGTGATTTTTTGCAGGATTTTTTTTAAATAAAATCAATAGAACATTGACGCCCAGACCCGGGTGACCCCCCGAAGAGGGGAGTGCAAAAGTACCTCCGGCCGGGTCCCGCTTCTATCCCGTTTTCAAATAGAAGATATTGGCATTATTTTCCAGAGGTTCCCATCACAAGCCCAAAAAAAGGAAAATCCCGTTTGCAAATAGAAGATATTGGCATTATTTTCCAGAAAAGCCCAAAAAGACACGGAAATCCCGTCCGTTTTCAAATGAGGTTCCCATCACAAGCCCAAAAAAAACACGGAAATTCCGTTGTCAAATAGACAATATTGGCATTATTTTCCAGAGGTTGCCATCACAAGCCAAATAGAACAACGGAAATCCCGTTTTCAAATAGAAGATATTGGCATTATTTTCCAGAGGTTCCCATCACAAGCCCAAAAAAAGGGAAATCCCGTTTTCAAATAGAAGATATTGGCATTATTTTCCAGAAAAGCCCATAAAGACACGGAAATCCCGTTTTCAAATGAGGTTCCCATCACAGGCCCAGAAAAAAAACACGGAAAATCCGTTTTCAAATAGAAGATATTGGCATTATTTTCCAGAGGTTCCATCACAAGCCCAAAAAAAGGGAAATCCCGTTTTCAAATAGAAGATATTGGCATTATTTTCCAGAAAAGCCCAAAAAGACACGGAAATCCCGTTTTCAAATGAGGTTCCCATCACAAGCCCAGAAAAAAACACGGAAAACGCCGTTTTCAAATAGAAGATATTGATATTATTTTCCAGAGGTTTCATCACAAGCCCAAAAAAAAGGAAATCCCGTTTTCAAATAGAAGATATTGGCATTATTTTCCAGAAAAGCCCAAAAAGACACGGAAATCCCGTTTTCAAATGAGGTTCCCATCACACGCCCAGAAAAAACACGGAAATTCCGCTTTAAAATAGAAGATATTGGCATTATTTTCCAGAGGTTGCCATCACAAGCCAAATAAAACAACGGAAATCCCGTTTTCAAATATAAATAGAAGATATTAGCATTATTTTCCAGGGGTTCCCATCACAAGCCCAAAAAAAGGGAAATCTCGTTTTCAAATAGAAGATATTGGCATTATTTTCCAGAAAAGCCCAAAAAGACACGGAAATCCCGTTTTCAAATAGAAGATATTGGCATTATTTTCCAGAAAAGCCCAAAAAGACACGGAAATCCCGTTTTCAAATGAGGTTCCCATCGCAAGTCCAGAAAAAACACGGAAAATCCGATTTCAAATAGAAGATATTGATATTATTTTCCAGAGGTTGCCATCACAAGCCAAAAAAAACAACGGAAATCCCGTTTTCAAATAGAAGCTATTGGCATTATTTTCCAGAGGTTCCCATCACAAGCCCAAAAAAAGGGAAATCCCGTTTTCAAATAGAAGATATTGGCATTATTTTCCAGGAAAGCCCAAAAAGACACGGAAATCCCGTTTTCAAATAGAAGATATCGGCATTATTTTCTAGAGGTTCCCATCACAAGCCCGTTTTCAAATAGAAGATATCGGCATTATTTTCTAGAGGTTCCCATCACAAGCCCAAAAAAAGGAAAATCCCGTTTTCAAATGAGGTTCCCATCACAATCCCAGAAAAAAACACGGAAATTCCGTTTTCAAATAGAAGATATTGGCATTATTTTCCAGATGTTCCCATCACAAGCCCAAAAAAAAGGAAAATCCCGTTTTCAAATAGAAGATATTGGCATTATTTTCCAGAAAAGCCCAAAAAGACACGGAAATCCCGTTTTAAAATAGAAGATATTGGCATTATTTTCCAGAGGTTGCCATCACAAGCCAAATAAAACAACGGAAATCCCGTTTTTAAATAGAAGATAGTGGCATTGTTTTCCAGGGGTTCCCATCACAAGCCCAAAAAAAGGGAAATCCCGTTTTCAAATAGAAGATATTGGCATTATTTTCCAGAAAAGCCCAAAAAGACACGGAAATCCCGTTTTCAAATGAGGTTCCCATCACAAGCCCAGAAAAAACACGGAAATTCCGTTTTCAAATAGAAGATATTGGCATTATTTTCCAGAGGTTCCCATCACAAGCCCAAAAAAAGGGAAATCCCGTTTTCAAATAGAAGATATTGGCATTATTTTCCAGAAAAGCCCAAAAAGACACGGAAATCCCGTTTTCAAATGAGGTTCCCATCACAAGCCCAGAAAAAACACGGAAATTCCGTTTTCAAATAGAAGATATTGATATTATTTTCCAGAGGTTGCCATCACAAGCCAAAAACAACAACAGAAATCCCGTTTTCAAATAGAAGATATTGGCATTATTTTCCAGAGGTTCCCATCACAAGCCTAAAAAAGGGAAATCCCGTTTTCAAATAGAAGATATTGGCATTATTTTCCAGAGGTTCCCATCACAAGCCCAAAAAAGGGAAAATCCCGTTTTCAAATAGAAGATATTGGCATTATTTTCCAGAGGTTCCCATCACAAGCCCAAAAAAGGGGAAATCCCGTTTTCAAATAGAAGATATTGGCATTATTTTCCAGAGGTTCCCATCACAAGCCCAAAAAAAAAAGGGAAATTCCGTTTTCAAATAGAAGATATTGATATTATTTTCCAGAGGTTGCCATCACAAGCCAAAAAAACAACGGAAATCCCGTTTTCAAATAGAAGATATTGGCATTATTTTCCAGAGGTTCCCATCACAAGCCCAAAAAACAGGGAAATCCCGTTTTCAAATAGAAGATATTGGCATTATTTTCCAGAGGTTGCCATCACAAGCCAAAAACAACAACGGAAATCCCGTTTTCAAATAGAAGATATGGGCATTATTTTCCAGGGGTTCCCATCACAAGCCCAAAAAAAGGGAAATCCCGTTTTCAAATAGAAGATATTGGCATTATTTTCCAGAAAAGCCCAAAAAGACACGGAAATCCCGTTTTCAAATGAGGTTCCCATCACAAGCCCAGAAAAAACACGGAAATTCCGTTTTCAAATAGAGATATTGATATTATTTTCCAGAGGTTGCCATCACAAGCCAAAAAAACAACGGAAATCCCGTTTTCAAATAGAAGATATTGGCATTATTTTCCAGAAAAGCCCAAAAGACACGGAAATCCCGTTTTCAAATGAGGTTCCCATCACAAGCCCAGAAAAAACACGGAAATTCGTTTTCAAATAGAAGATATTGATCCGTTTCAAATAGAAGTATTGGCATTAGAGAAAAGCCCAAGAAGACACGGAAATCCCGTTTTCAAATTGAGGTTCCCATCACAGCCCGAAAAAACCGGAAATTCCGTTTTAAAATAGAAGATATTGATATTATTTTCCAGAGGTTGCCATCACAAGCCAAAATAAACAACGGAAATCCCGTTTTCAAATAGAAGCTATTGGCATTATTTTCCAGAGGTTCCCATCACAAGCCCAAAAAAAGGGAAATCGCGTTTTCAAATAGAAGATATTGGCATTATTTTCCAGAGGTTCCCATCACAAGCCCAAAAAAAGGGAAATCCCGTTTTCAAATGAGGTTCCCATCACAAGCCCAGAAAAAACACGGAAATTCCGTTTTCAAATAGAAGATATTGGCATTATTTTCCAGATGTTCCCATCACAAGCCCAAAAAAAGGAAAATCCCGTTTTCAAATACAAGATATTGGCATTATTTTCCAGAAAAGCCCAAAAAGACACGGAAATCCCGTTTTCAAATGAGATTCCCATCACAAGCCCAGAAAAAACACGGAAATTCCGTTTTCAAATAGAAGATATTGGCATTATTTTCCAGAGGTTGCCATCACAAGCCCAAAAAAAGGGAAATCCCGTTTTCAAATAGAAGATATTGGCATTATTTTCCAGAAAAGCCCAAAAAGACACGGAAATCCCGTTTTCAAATGAGGTTCCCGTCACAAGCCCAGAAAAACACGGAAATTCCGTTTTCAAATAGAAGATATTGGCATTATTTTCCAGAGGTTGCCATCACAAGCCCAAAAAAAACAACGGAAATCCCGTTTTCAAATAAAAGATATTGGCATTATTTTCTAGAGGTTCCCATCACAAGCCCAAAAAAAGGGAAATCCCGTTTTCAAATAGAAAATATTGGCATTATTTTCCAGAGGTTCCCATCACAAGCCCAAAAAAAGGGAAATCCCGTTTTCAAATAGAAGATATTGGCATTATTTTCCAGAGGTTCCCATCACAAGCCAAAAAAAAGGGAAATCCCGTTTTCAAATAGAAGATACTGGCATTATTTTCCAGAGGTTCCCATCACAAGCCAAAAAAAAGGGAAATCCCGTTTTCAAATAGAAGATACTGGCATTATTTTCCAGAAAAGCCCAAAAAGACACGGAAATCCCGTTTTCAAATGAGGTTCCCATCACAAGCCCAGAAAAAACACGGAAATTCCGTTTTCAAATAGAAGATATTGATATTATTTTCCAGAGGTTGCCATCACAAGCCAAAAAAAAACAACTGAAATCCCGTTTTCAAAGAGAAGATATTGGCATTATTTTCCAGAGGTTGCCATCACAAGCCCAAAAAAAGGAAATCCCGTTTTCAAATAGAAGATAGCATTATTATCCCAAATTCTCAAAACAAGATTGGCCGACACCATTTTCAAATAGAAGAGATTGTCAAACAACCAATGGGGAAGCGGAAAAGACCATTTCAAATAGAAGATATTCATTATACCAACCCCAAATTTTCAGAACAAGATTGTGCGACAAACCATTTTTTAAATAGAAGATATTCGGTTGGATGATCCACCAAGTTTGTGCTTTTGGTGTTGGTCTAAATGGTTTTTAAATAGAAGATATTAGTTTGGACCCTCCCGGGGCCATGGTTGCGGAGAGTGCCAAAGTAGCTCCAACATCCCGGATGTTCTACCATTTTGGGTCATTGAATTAATTTATCTTCTATTTGAAATAGATTTTTCCGCGCGTCCAACCCCGTTTCAAATAGAAGATCGGTTTTCCGATAATTCCTGAATATCTTCTATAATAACGGTATGTACATGTATGTACTATAAATGACGGAGGTTTTTCCCGAATGCGTAGCAAGGGTTCCCGTTTCACTCTGGGGGTCTGGGGGCTGAGGGTGTGTTCGCTCGACGTTGCGTTTACGTCCGCAACCGTTCGCAACCGTTCGCAACCGTTCGCAACCGTTCGCGCGATCCCTGTATGGCCGTGCCTATGGTAAGTTCTGCAGAAGGGGTCATTTTTGGAGGTTCCAAACGTCTCGTTGCTTCGTTTCGCATGGCAGGCGTGGCACTTCGTGACATGCAGACGTGTTTTGTAACACGTCGAAAGTCGCTTTGTGTGGCAGGCGCAATACTTTTGCGACGTTTTCCGAAGATGCGTTGCAGTTTTCGTGGCAGGCGCAGCACTTTGGACGTGTCCATCGTCATTTTGCGTGGCAGGCGCAGCACTTTAGACGTGTCGTGTTGCGTGTTTTTTGCAAATCGCATTGGCAGGGCTGCGTCAAGTGGCGACAAGGTGCAGATTCCGTGGCAGGCGTGGCATTTTATGAGATGTGATGAAAATTGACGGAAGCCTCGCACGAAACATCGATTTTGAGGTAGCAAATTTGTTCCTAAGAAAACTCGTAGGAAAACGTCGATTTTGAAGCTACAAAGTGCCAAAATTGGAGGAAATCTCGCACGAAATGCTCGTTTTGCTGCGCCAACGTGTCTCGTCTCGAGTCTCTGGTTTTTGTGTGGCGTCGCCGTGTCTATGAGGGAAGCTGCAAAACCTCTCCTTTTCGAAGGTTTCCAAGCAGGTTGTCATGCCGTTTTGCGTGGCAGGCGTGGCGCTTTGTGACATTCCAACCTTTTTTATACAATGTCGAAAAGTCTTTTGTGTGGCTGACGCAGCAATGCACTCCACGCTTTACACTCTACACTTTACACTCCACACTCTACACTCCACACTCTACACTCCACACTCTACACTTTCCACTCCACACTCCACAATTTACACTTTAGACTCCTCACTCCACACTCTACACTTTATACTCCACACTTTACACTTTGCGCTCCACACTTTACACTCTACACTTCACACTCCACACTCTACACTCCACCATACACTACATTTTACACACTCCGCACTCCTCACTCCACACTTTACACACTCCTCACTTTACACTCCACACTCGACACTCCACCCTACACTGTCCACTCCACACTCCACACTCTACACTTTACACTCCACACTCCACACTCCACAATTTCTACACTTTACACTCCACACTTTACACTTTGCACTTTACACTCCTCACTCCACACTCCACACTCTACACTCTACACTCCACACCTTACACTTTACACTCCTCATTCTACACTTTACCCTCCAAACTTTACACTCCCCACTCCACACTTGACACTCCACACTCCACACTGTACACTTCACACTCTACACTTTACACTCTACACTTTAAACTCTACCCTCTACACTCCACACTTTGCACTTTACACTCCACACTTTACACTCCACACTCCACACATTACACTCCACACTCCGCGCCTTACACTCCACACAACTTACTTTACACTCCACCCTCCACACTCTACACTTTCCACTCCACACTCCACACTCTACACTTTACACTCTACACTCCACACTCTACAGTACACTTTACATTTTCCACTCCTCACTCCACACTTTACATTTTACACTCCTCACTCCACACTTTAGACTCCACGCTCCACACTTCCCACTTTACACTCGACACTCTACGCTCTACTTTACACTCTACACTTTACACTCCACACTTCACTGTACACTGTGCACTCCTCACTCCTCACTCCACACTTTACACTCCACACTCCACTCCACACTCCACACTCTACACTTTACACTCCACACTCCACACTCTACTCTTTACACTCTACACTTTACACTCCACACTCCACACTCTACACGTTACACTCTACACTTTACACTCCACACTTTACACTCTACACTCCACACTTTACACTCTACACTCCACACTTTACATTTTACACTCCACACTTTACACTTTACACTTTACACACTCCTCACTCCACACTTTACACTCCACACTCTACACTTTACACTCCACACTCCACACTCTAGACTCTACACTTTACACTCTACACTTTACACTCCGCACTCCACACTCTACTCTTTTCACACTCCACACTCCACACTTTACACTCCTCACTTTATACTCTACACTCCACACTCCACACTTTCCACTCCACACTCTACACTTTACACTCTACACTTTACACTCCACTCCACACTCTACTCTTTACACACTCCACACTCTACACTTTACACTCCTCACTTTACACTCTACACTCCACACTCTACACTTTCCACTCCACACTTTAGACTGGCAACAGGGGAAACATGTACAAGACTGTTCAAATAAACTATTGCGGAAAAGTGTTCCGCGTGACTGCAATCCATGTGTTTCGACATCTGTACCATTAACATACGTGTGAGCATTCGGGTTTGTGGGCTGCATCTTGTTTTTTACTTCCTCGCTTCACATCTAGGCACTTGCAGAACAAGATCGAGAAAATGATGAAAATGCAAAACAACGATACTATGCAAGATGGCAACCTGTGTTCATCGCATCCTTGAAGGCATCGAAACAATCATCCACCAGGTCATCCAGTGTTGTCAGAAAGTCCTCCGTGTCTCTATGACCATGTCCTGGAAATTCGTGCATAGCTACCTCCACATTGGGAGGAGCCTCGTTCTCCAAGACACACCAGTCTGCAGCATAGCTATCAGCCGCACCGTGGATGCAAAGAAGTCGCAGCACGGGCTCCCTGGGAGGGACACTTTGTCCATTGTATGGTGGCAAGGCCTTCTTCTTGGCCGCTGGCAAACGGCTGAAGTCAGGCAACTTTAGGGAACGCGTCATCAACGGCAACGTGGTGCCCTTCACGGGTTGCAGGTTCTCAATCACCTTGCAGGCGACTTCCTCGCCTGCTTCCACGCGTTTTTCAATCTCTTCATCCAAATCATCAAAATCCATGGCAAAAGATGGTCAATTGGATGCAAATGGGTGAAAACAATGGGGCTGCTAGTGGGTGTCTGGCACCCGGGAAAAACCAGCCAAAAGGTGTCTACAAAGACGCAGCCTATGCCACATATGCCACTCTATCAGATCATATTGGATCGAATCATCAGTAACCAACCTCATGGAATTCCATTGATGACCCCCCTCCCTTGGTGGCGAGAAGTGATTCCAAAATTTCCAACCGCCACTGGGTTACCGGGCCATAGCTCTCTCCATATCCACAAAAATGGAAAAACCTTCCACGCGCCGAAATTCGCCGTAGCCACTCTCCCCTGGTGCGTGTTCGGCATGCATCTCGATGGAAAGTTATGAGGCACGATAACAAACTGATTTCAGCCCTTGTTCACCATCTTGACCCACAACAATCTAGAAGATCGTCATACACTTGACACTTGAGGCTTTGAGGCTTGAAGGGGCTATATACCAGCTGCACCCCGGACAACTTCATGCGGATTTAGCAACAGGTTGTTGTCAGGAAGCTGCACAACTAAGCAGAACCCACCTCGCCACTTTTCATTGAAGCCTGTCCGAACCTGGTTGGTGCGAAGGTGCGCGAAGCGTGACAGAGTGGCGGAGTTGCAAACGACAGTATGGCCCTTTGCCCGAAGAGTTCCAGAAAAATCTGCCTAAAAATCGCCAGAATCGCTCTCTTTCCTCTTGACTTTGGCAACTCTCAGTATTTCTCAGTCCTTTCCAGGGCTCCATGCCAGTGGTAGCTCATCGCCGGGCCACGCCGGAACGCTGCTCTCGAGGCGCAGTGCCTTTCTGACGCCAGCAGCCTAGCGCATCGGAAGTGCAGCCATAGCTGTGAGCCAAGATCAGGAACCAAGCAGAATCACCTACAGAGCGTACTGATTGCTTGCAGCTTCAGTCACATCTTCCATCTATGTTCATTTAATTTCTATAACCTCCCCAGATTCTTGTTTGAACATGTTTGAACCATGTTACTTCATCTGACCATGCAGCACCATGCAGTTTGATCCTTGGGCCCTTGCACTCACCGGACTGGACGGTGAGGAGCCACCCACTGAGCCCGACTTCGCTACCGGTGCGTCGCCTGCACGGCGCCACGGCTGGGAGGGTACGACTTGGGGGCCCCGCAGCGGAGCCTGGGACACACTGAGCTGAAACCTGGGCACCAGGAAGGAGATGGAAGGAGATGGAAGGAGATGGAAGAAAGACATCAGATGACTTAAGTCACATATGTCACAACAAAATATACGAAAATTATGCATATGGAATAAGCATGATGAACATATTAAATAAGGTGCTTAGGATGAGAGATGAGTTGACATGCCTGTAACTACTCGAAAAGAGAGAGCATGCCAATCCCAAAATTGAAAAGGCTCTGATGGCCAGCAATCAATTTCATCACAGGAGGTCACCTGCCATAATCTGAAACATGCAGCAGGTGCCATGGTTTGGTTGAAGGCAAGTCTGGGCCAGGCAATGGTAGAACGAATGCTATAGAATGTTAGTTTATGTCTGTGTATCACATGTGTAATGAATTTAATGCATGTGTGTGTGCATGAGGTGTGGGTACACACTGCAAGATCTGTAAGCCGTAAGCCGTAAACCACATGACTGACAGCATACTGGCAGCATTCTACTTCTTTGTGCTGCATTGAGATTCCAGCGTACAGGGTGGCATCCCCAAACCTCTGCAGAGTGAGGCAAGAATCGCAAACTTTTCTGGGAAGGATGGGATCGATTGCTAACACTATCTAACACTGATCGACAAAGTGCCACTTTCACTGAGACCTGTCCTGAACCCAGTTGCCACCTGTAAGGACTGGACACTCGAATCTTCAAGGAAGGCCCATCAGCTTGCAGCACCCAAGGCTGCCGCCTCCGGTGGCTGTTGGAGCATCTTGGAGCCATGTTCAAAAAGGAGAGTCTTGAGATATGCCCCTATGAAACAAGATGAAACTAGATGAAACAAGTATATACATCCATATACATCCTATTCCATCTTCTTATCACATTAGCAAAGGGCAGCTGAGGAAGCGGCAAGCAGGTCTCACCCAGGAGGAAGTACGGCACGTCTAGAGTCTTGTGTTGCGAGTAGCCCTTGGTGAAACTGCAAGTAAAATCAAACACCATGCCTCTTAGCAACTGCAACAGAATTAAAACACATGGTCACATGATCATAAACAGTAGCTGAAACTTCAGGTCGTGTACATTGTCATTTTTCCATATTTTCAGCACTATCAAAACCGTCTTAGCCTCGCCAGACTCATGAAGCCAGGCGTGAAGACCTTTCCGCAAAGGCCTCTGCATGGCAAGATATGGCAAGGCAAAACGCCTTCATAGCTTGAGATTGCAAAGTCACAACATGTCACAACATGTCACAACATGTCACAACATGTCACAACATGTCACAACATGTCACAACATGTCACAACATGTCACAACATGTCACAACATGTCACAACCTCATACCAATCGAATCATATCGAATCCAATCCTTTCCCGTGTTTCAGCCTTCAAACATCTTGAAATCAGAATATCCCAGAATATCACAGAATATCCCAGAATGATCAAGTCCTGTGATATCCTGGGTACCTGGCTCCGTGTCAAGGATCTCATCGTCCAAAGTTTCCACCTCGATGCAGGCGCCTTCGCTGGGCAGTTCTGGCCATTGATAACTCTAAGATGGCCACTGGCACCCGCAAAGGCCGCGCTCCCTGCCTTGGCATGGGCAACGTCTGGAGCTTTGTGGAGCGAAAGCTTGTGCAACTCTAATCGCGATCATGTGTATTGATATGCTATCATATCCATATATAATAACTTACATAACTTGTGATGGTTCTATTTTGAAGATTCTACAGGAGAAAAAAAAACTAGGCCCTAAATTCGGGTGATACGGAAATTCACGGAAAACCATGCGCCGAGAGGAATTCAAAGCCTTGTTGTTGCCTCTTTAGAAACCCAACCCAAGACAAAAAGGAACTTCAAAGCTCACAGAGAGGTTGCACTAGCAAAAATAAAGACTTGCAATTGCATGACAGCACAGAAGTAGGATCTTTCAAGATGCTCGGAAATAGCAACAAAGAAGGACTCAGAACCAAGCTTGAAATCATTCTAAGCTCTGAGCTTCAAAAAGATCGGCTCGCATTTCTGCTGGAGGGTCTCCTCGCTCTGATGATGGACCCTTTATAGTTGCTGATGCTGGGAGTGTGGCACAGCCAGACCCTGAAGGTTTTAAAAAGCTTCCGGACGTAAATCAACAACTCACAATAGGTTACAAGCGTGCAAGACCTATTCCCCTAAAACTTCCTCTAAAGTCCAAAGCATCCTTGAAATATCTGAAAGCTTTACTAGGAATCTACTATCTACCGGAAAAAAAAAAACCTGAAAAAAACACACATGGCATGGCCTCATCGGTTTGCGCTGAGGTCATATCTTCCATGGTGGTGAGCACCTCCACGGATGCCGTGATTTGGTCAACCCTTTGGACATCTTTGGACAACCATTCAGGGCTGTCGAGAGTGGCACCCAATTGTGAAAGTCCGCCATCTGATCGACCAGGTTCTCCCCTCCCATCCTGAAAAACTCAACACATTAAAACACTACATCACTACATGTCCTGTCGACAATTCCATCTTTCAAACAATGTCTGGAGCTTCGCCCTATTTGCTCCAAACAAGACTCTGCCTCTCACTAATTCTGCTAAACTGTTATATGGCAATTGTGTCTACATGTCACCACATGTCACCACCAATCTCAAGGTGTTTCAGCCAACATGCCACGCTGAGGTTTCAGCTTGCCAACAACCAGGTCATCGGGCACCATGAAGCGATGACGCCTGAAGAGTCGCTCACCAAAAGAAGTATCACATCACATTGTACATCATTGCAATACCATATATAAATATACATATCATATATCATATATACATATTAATATATATATGCATATAATATATCATATATACATAATTTTACATACACACACATACACACACACACTTATAATATATATATATCATATCCATATATACACAATATATTATCTATATAATGGGTCATGGCAGTTTGGCTATGTTTGGCCCATGAGTTGCGTAGCCGCTGGTTTAATGACTTGCCTGACAACCACACCGCAACAGGTGTAGTAGCAGTCCAAGCCCCGGCCTCAGCAAGCGCTCACGAGCGCTGCCCGATATCTTCATCTGGAAGCGAAGTGCCAGCCACAGTGCCACAAAAGTGAACCTGTCATCCAGTGCGTGGTCTGCAACTAGAGATCCACCAGCTTTAAAGACTGTAAAGTGGCATGCTGTCAGCCAAATTCAGCCTTGAAGATGTCCAGATACACATATCCAGCAAGGGTCAGTCAAGCGAGTGTCACTGGCCACAACATGTCACAGGCACGTAGCAGCCCAGGATGTGAATAGCAGCCAAAGGGTGTCTAGCAATCGCTCCTGCACGCGAAAAGTCTCATTCCTTGTTGCCAGAGCTGAGGGAACCAGGATCAAACTCCATGTTTCAAAATACTGCATTCGTTCTTCATGACGCCTCAACAAAGCAAGAGACTTCGACAAAACAAAGGGGCGCACAGATTCTGATTTGCCTTCTACAGCGCACTTTAGTGCACTTTTGATAGCGCGATCTTCAGAAGCCCAAAGTCCCAAGGAGATCCAAGGAGGAGATGCGATGAAATGTGATGAGATGTGCAGGTTCAACCCCCCCACAGCTGTCCGTCTGGACACCGGAGTAGCCCTCGATGGACATGCTGAAGCACACAGCCAAGATGATGCTTCCCATGAGGACGTGTGTCTGCACCTTCGGCAAGGCAAAACCCCACAGATAGGGTATGCTACGGCTCTTATTTGTCAGCCATCAAGACAAAAAGGCGGAAGGCTAGAGCTGTTTGATGCTTCCAATGGCTGAGTTCTGGGCACTTTCCATCCTTGGAATGATAAAACGATGGCATATGATGGCATAATGATGATAATAAGAAAAAACAACCGGGACAAGGTGGTGTTAGTTAGCCATAGGTCCCATGTGAAAACCAGAAGCAGGATTAGCAAAAACCAGTGGCACCAACACAAACCTCAAATAAATATTTCAAAACAAGGCAGGAAAGGAAAGGTTGCTGGGCGATCTTTACAGATTTGGAGGGCTTGCCCTCAGACCGGAGACAGCAAAATAACACACACCACACCGTACCAGACTACAATAGGTGCCGACAAAAAGATTAAAAAAAAAAACGTCAAACCCTAACAGCAAGAAAGCATAAGAGAAAGCACCAAAGCAAATGCAAAACCCCGGCTGAGAATGCGAGTCACTGGCCACCAGCTGCTGTGATTGCTTCCAAACCAATCAGAACATATCAGAACAAAGCAAATGATGGATTTGCAGCATCGAACTAGCCGAGTAACATGCAGCTCTCGTATCGGACCTTCTCAAGCAAGAATATTGAACTTTTCTGCAGAAAGCAGTAGCGGTCTTGTGACCTGATTGGTCAGTTCCTTTGTTCCCCTCAGTGCCCTGATGCAGGCCCCACCTCTTGTCGAAAGAGGTCCTGAGAAATGCAAAGAAATGCCACAGATGCAAAGATTCAGATGATTTCACCGTGTTATCTTACCTTCGAAGTCAGCCAAATATGGAAAGCCACTGATACTATTATAACATCTTGCAGCGCGCCTGAGCAACCTTTGCTTGGTGAGCATCACCGCTGACTGCAACCTCAAGGTCACTAATCGCGCACATGAAAGTATCATGAAATCAAAGAAACATTATCCAAGCATTATCAAGCATTTCAGTTCGTTGCCAGAGCTGGCACACACGCTGGCCATGACATTTCTGTTTGCATGTGATTTCTCATTGCTTCTCATGTGAAAATGAGATATATCGGTCCAAGCAGTTACAATGTCCATGTCCTCCCGGACTTTGAGGCCCCGGCAAAGGACCTCGCAAAACAAAGTGGGTCCAAAACAGTTGCGCAAGACAATGCACGCTGGCTGAGGCTATGCGTAAATTCTCGAAACGGCCAACTTCTATTCCCAGAAAAAAGATTTTAAATAGTGAAATCTAAAAACTCTCAGGCCAGCGATGATTCGCCAGATGCCTTTCGTCATTTTTGTCCTACCGCTAAGGCTCCGGACGACAAGAAGTCGTTGCCCAAGAAAAATGCCTGGCAGGTTGCACAGCCCAAAGGTCAGTGTCTGACATTGGGTGAGGCTTTCCGCAAACTCTTCTATGCTCTAATGCCCTAGGGTTTCACTTCTGGTTTCCTGCTTCGACCAATGGCCGGCCACTCAAATAGATTCAAAATGATTCAAATATTTCAAATAGGTTTCAATGGATAGTGGCGAGCAGCAACTCGACATAGTGGCACTGGAGCGTCAAGGCTCCACAGGCCGGCTGAACATCAGTACCTCTAGCCCATGCCAGACCTGAGATGCCAGGTCATAAGCAGTGACGGCGTTTTCTCATGTCATGTTTTGTCTTCATCTGCTATTGGCCAGATTACCCAGTATTCCCGTATACCCAGTGCTCACTGCAAGTTAACACCAACACTTGATCGGTACTTACGTAGGTCCCTCACTCGTACTGACGATTCATTCGTGTGGAAGTGCCCGCCAGTCTTAGGTCCATAATGTTGTCCATGCTGCACTCCTCAAGCCTTGCCATCTTTGACCCTCAGATCCTTACTCCTACGGACACCTGCTGTGAGTCACAGCTTCCAAGCACAACAAAAACTGCAGCAGCTTCCAACTCTGAGTCTCCGACCTGCCAGGCCGCTCAACAAGGAATCCATGCCAAGGACCCCAGGGAAAGCTAAAAATGCATAACCATGCTGATTGTTAAGTGATGACTCCTGCATCTTTGGGCCTCCTACAGCCTTGTTTTCAACATATTTGCCCATGTTTTTTTAAAGTTGGAAACAAATTGGGTTGCTGTTCCGCTATTACTGCCTTCAATTCTGTCGCTTACTTAAGCTTTGCAGGCTAAAGGAGTGCAATCCTTTGGATCCTACACCTCTCGGTGAAACAAGCTCCACCGTGAGAGTTTTTGGAAAGGGCCCTCTTCCAAAGGTGCAACGACAGCATCAAGATCGCCCTTTCTTCAAATAATCCATAAATGCCGTGAATATGTCGTGAATATTCATAAGAATCATAAATATATCGGCGAGTGATCACCCATAATCATCAACAAAATCATCCATTAACATCAGATGATCTGCGAGTTGCTTGGGCCCTTCCCTACTCCAAAAGCCTTCCACCCCAGGCAGTATGCCACAGGGCGGTCAGTGATTCCTACGAGGCCAGTGCTCTGCAGCCACGGCGTTCACGTCCGGTGCCTTGGCACAGTCAGAAAGGAGAGGCCGGCAACCCGGAAACACCGGAAAAGAATGGAAAACTAATAAGTTATATATAGTTATATATAGTTATATAATGTTATATACAGTATATAACATTATATAACTATATATAACTTATATAACGTACACTTCAGAAAATCCTATCAAAAAACATCCAAAAACTCTTCGGACTCTTCGGACTCACCAGCTTTTGCTGCTTGGTTGGCTCCCATGAGCATCTGGGGCACAAAGAAACAAAAAAAAAAAAACAGAAAAAAACAGAAAAAATGCAAAGATATACTAAAGTTATCACAAAAGAGAAGGAAAACGGTGGGAAATTCCGGACCCTAAAGTGATGGTACTGTACCCTTTAAGACTTTAAGCCCATATTTTGTGGGGTGATATTCCTACACAGCCCTTACTTACATAGTACATAGGCCTCATTAGGATTCATTCTATAGGTGCCTCCAATTTAGGTTCCTGAAATTGCAATTTTAACATGATCAAAAATGACCATACATGACCTTGCTACGTCCTGCTACAAGTACATCATTTTACATCCTGCTACTGTTCTTCATGCTGTTGATGTAGCAATGTAGCAGACATTCTCAGACTGTATCAGCTTGATACGAGATTCCTCATGTTGCCATACTACAGTTACTACAGCCCCGAGGGCCCGTATCCAAGTAGCTGCAGCCATTGCCTCAGCCATTGCCTCAGCCCATCTCAGCCCCGTAGCTCGGCAGCGCACTTCCGAGCTTCGCGCGCAACGGGCCGAAATGGCAAAAACGACACCGGTTGAACCGTCACTGGCCGTTCGATGTCTCATGACCCAACCCATGATCTCAGCATTGATGCACAACATTGCACAACTCAGTCAGTGGAACATAATGGAACATCATTGCTATAAATGATCGTATTATAAATTCAATCATATTAACCATGGAGCTTCATGAGCACATGTGCTATCTATCCTCCATCCCAATGCCACGGTGCCACTCCCTCAAGAACAGTCAGCAGATTATGCAGGGCACTGTGACACTCTGTGGTGTCTCGTTTTGCAAATGCAATGTGGCTAACGTCTGCTAGCCTGCCTAATTCATCGGCTAATTTTGGCCTGAATTAGCTGATGCTCTGCCCATCTTGGAAGGGTTTCGTTATTTACCGTTATTTGTGGACACCTTGCCAGGCAAAGGGTAAGTCCGTTCCATTGCATTCCGCATTGCCCTATTCGAACAAACCTATCCACTTTTGTGAGGAAGAGAGCAATTCAGATAACAGTTGTGCAGCTTCATGGAGACATTTTGCATCATTTTGCACTCTAGCTGAGTCAAATGTACTCAAATGTGATAGTTCGAGATGGTCCGAGCAGCAGTTAGCAAGACGCATTCATTATGTTAGAAGTCATTGGCATGTGACAAGTGCCAAGTGCTACGCTGAGCCTTTCCAATCTTTCCCAATCAGCATTTCACCATGACATACCACAACAATGCTTTGCAAATCATGCTATCACTCAAGGAACGAGCACAATAGCTTAGCAAGGGAGGGCACTTGTTGCAGCAAGCTGCAGAACAGCAAGGGCTGTTCAAACCGGTGCTGCTGCCGGTGTCATGGGCCATTGGCCCAAATGCAATGGCCTCGGCAGGAATCCAATTGTGCCAGTGTTACAGGGTGCATTGTCATCGTTACTATGTTATCCTTGGATGACCAAATACATCAAAACACCACCTGGGACTGATATGCAACAAATTGCCTGCAACTCCATGTACGTTGCCAAATCTGGTCTGCGCATGTGGAGGCTGCATATCCATGCAATGTCTTGGATGGATGGGAAAAGGGTTGGCGTTGGAATCGTTTGATGTTGCTCCCCTAGCTCAGCTAGGGCTCAAACACTGGCTGCGGTATCACCAAGCCTCGGATCCATGTCGCAACAGCTGAGATTGCTGTTCTCGCAGGAGACTACCAATGACTCGGCGGGTGGAAGGTGAGTTTATGAAGGTCAATGCATGGACCTTCAATAACGTGTATGCAGCTGTGGGAGACAAGGATGGACAAGGATGGACAAGGATGGACAAGGATGGACAAGGATGGACAAGGATGGACAAGGATGGATGGCTGCTGAACTCTTAGTAAGTGTTACTCTGGTACTATGCCTGGGAGTTGGTGTGGAGATGTGTGGAGTGTGGGCAAAAAAGTCAGCCCTTAGACACACAAGTCATGTCCTTGTTACAGCCACCAAGGTTCCCGACCTGTGGGCGGTCTTAAAGCTGGATGTACCTTAGTGATAGTGGAAAGAGGTGGAACCTGCTGTGTCCCACAAGCCTTTTGCTTCTTGCAATGGCTTATCGATATTTATCAATATATATATATATAACCATTTGCGAGTGTACTTTGCTGACTATTCGAGGTGCGCGCAGCCATCGCACCAGCAGCAGAAGCATCAGCAGCATGGCACTGTCAGTTGAAGACAGCCCTTCACATCTTGTCATTTGTCTACGCGCTCATACGTGTCTCTATATATATATAACCATTTGCGAGTGTACTTTGCTGACTATTCGAGGTGCGCGCAGCCATCGCACCAGCAGCAGAAGCATCAGCAGCATGGCACTGTCAGTTGAAGACTTCACATCTTGGGCCCCTGATGTCTCTTTGACTTCCATTCAGGGCAGGGCCCCTGAGGAAATGAAAGGCCAAACAGACCAGTGACACGGCACGAAGCAATCTCTTGTCGTCAAGTTGCCCGAACCGTCTGAGGAGGTTGGTTGATGACCTGCAAAGCCATGCACTTCCCAGCCCATTCTACCAAGCCCTACGACACGGAACATTCCAGCCTAGGCCGAAGGGATGCAAATGCGAAGACCAACGATGCACCCTGCCTGCTGCTGCGGTGGGAAGTGCATCGTCATGCGCTGCATGAAGCATGCCCCTGGACTTGCGAGACCTGTCACCACCAAGTTGCGCAAGTTGGCTGATTCGGATTGATTCAGTAGGTTGTTCGGACTGTTTGGAGTTGCACCGGGTTGATGACGACTGGTAGTCGAGGGATGCTCCAGTGCAATGACTGCAAGCTCTCCCAAACCAAATCCAATGGAATTTCATGGAATTTCCATAACGCAACTGGACCCATCACCACCTGCTCGAGTCTGCGGAAACGGTGAATAAGTGGCGGCTGCAATGGGTGCCTCCGAGTTGGCGTAAGCTCACCGCACCCAAAATGGAAGAAACCCAGAAACACAAAACAAGGGATGTGCAGAACAAAGTCCAAACATGTGAACAAACAACATAAACAACTCTCTAAACTATGCAAGAATCGGGAAATACCGGGAACCGGGACAGGTTGACAGCTTGGATGCAAACTATCCATAACGATCTACGATCCCACCATGGCCCCACCATGGCCCCGGCTGGAAGCTGTTTTCGAGGGGATGGTGGAGCCACTGCCAAGGCTGTGACATCGGTCTGGGCGACAAATGACGATAGGATTGGACTTGCTTGAAATACCTGCTAAAATCTGCTGAAGTCCCACGCTACAATCTCATGCACATGTGTGAAGCGAGCATGATCATCATGATGCATCACTTTTGCAGCTCTTGAAGCTGACAAAGTGAACTTTCGTGTACAGTATCATGCAGTACTCAAAAAAGCACACACAAATCAAAGCATTTGACCTACATACACATTGTAATCCTACCCTGGGTCAATCGACCGCCCATTTTCACTTTCTGCATCCTCCTCAGGGGCTGGGTTGCAGAACACTGTGGCCCGAGCCCCACTTCAAATCTGGTACAGCTCAGCTGTACCCGCTGGCTGCTTACCAAACATGCTGTTGCTTCACCAGGCTGACTTCAGTCCCGCAATTAAACATGGAAAAGCAAATGGGAAAGTAGTTCAACGTAAGTTCAACAGATCACAAAATAAATCACAATAGTAATGGTATCCCTTGAGAAGCGCAGTGAACATGGAGCCCTTCTGGATATCCCACAGTGATACAGCACTTTCAAATGATGGTGTGGGGCGATCACTACCATCCGTACTTGGCATGGGTCTGCGCCTCCGAAAAGCATCGTGTCAAAGGGCGCATTGCACATGGTATCTTACCGACCGTTGATACATCACAACATATCACAACCAATCCATGCAGCCGGTGACTTGATGGGTTTAAGATGGTTCATGGTTCAAGTACGCTTAAACACAGTTGATCTCAATATGGCCATGATGGCTCCAATGAATCCTGCCTTGGACATGATCTTTTGAGAGCCGCGTTCCAACATTTCGGCTTCCTTCTCCATGGCCTCTGTGGCGAGCCTCAAAGCCATTCGCATGATGGATTATATTGAATCATTCGGCTACAAATGGCCTGCCATCCCTCAGCTGTTTCAATTTACTTCTACGAATCCGGGGAGAGGAATCAAGGAGCTTCGGAGAAGAGGGTGCCCCAATAATTAATATAATTAATTAATACAGAAGTGGTGGCAAAAAGAGTGCCAAGTCCAGGGGAGCTTGCCGTCGCTTGCCACATACTGCAGCCAAGCAGCCAATTGATTTGGTGCTTGCGCTTTTGAACGCGGCTGGGGTTGGCATGTGTCGTCTGCTTCCAGCCTTGGCCATCGTACCTGTTGAGCATGGGGCATTCCTCACGACCCCTTGAAGCAGGGTTGGCAGGTTGACCTGTTGAAGCAATTTTGACTTCGATGTACGGCATCCTCTCCATCACTTCATATCACTTCATCCTGCTACAGCCTGTCCCCAGCGTTTCTAGACTTCCACCCGTCCCCAGGGCGTACATGGAGATATCGTCAGAGACGCGCTTCTTGGTGAGGTATCCTGGGCCTCCAGAGATCTGATTGTTCAGGTACCAGTCCGGATCCTGTGCACCGCCACGTAGCAAGACTCAGGCGCTTGTTTTCAGAGGTCAAACCAACTACTGAGAACTCAGGGGAAACAAGATTGACGATCTTGAGATCATCTCTTCAGCCACATACACTTCTCCAACCATTTCGGTTTTTGGGAAAGAGTTGCTTGTTAAGTTCTTTGGGAAGGAACCCATTAGAAAGCAACTTGCGAAGCAAACCTTTTCGCAATATTTTCGTAAATCATGTCAGGAAATCATGCGGACAATATACTGCTGGACCTCCTGCAGGAATTGATACCATCAAAATCCATCAAACCTCAGGGATGAAACAAGGCCTTCATGTCTTCTGCATTGACCTCAACAAACTGTCGAGGCTTGCGCCTGAGCTGCACAGTGTGAATTACTTGACAGCTCAAAATCCATAGTAGGAATCTGCGCTAGTATGAATTTGCACTATACAATGAGTCTGAGTCTTGTTAAGTAGTCAACTTCAGCCCTCCTCCCAGTTCTGGTGCCCGCCGCACCATCATGGGTTAACTAGGACCACTAGGACACTAATTGGCAGAAGAAACAATACTGAGAGACAAGAGCAAAAACACGCGTTTGAACGGACAGTGGCGGTGTCTCCAATCAACTGCTTCAGAATCATGTTCCGTTTCGGGTTCATGTCATCGCATGTTGATGGGTGATGGGTGATGGTCACGATGGATGAACGGGGTCAATTGTCGAGATGGGCTCTTTGATCACAACAGACTTCAGCAACGCAACAACTACAGTTTTTATCACACATTACGCGTTGAATCATGTTGAATCTTCATGCGCTTCATCTCGTGTTGCCAGTTAAAGATGTTAAAGAAGATTCGGTACCTTCAATGTAGGTACTCAAATTTCAGAATGCAGGGGTGATTCCGCTAAAAAATGCTGCTGCAGGTGCAACTCCACAAGGTCTTCCGCTGATGGACCATCAGGTTGAACCCTTGGTGCAGTGGTTGGAGTGGCAATGGACGAATGGGAGTCCAACATCCAATTCGAAAAAATCAAATTTTCGGAGCGATACATGAAACAGGCGCGTCACCGTACGCGTAAGAAATCACAGGCCAATGCACACCCGTTGGTCTGGCCAATCTGTCTATCCAAACTCTCTGCCTCTGTCTATGTGTCTGTCCACCAATCCATCTAGTTGTGAGCGTGCTAAGCCTCCTCGGGTCCAAGTCACGCATGTGTGGAAAACATTGGATGGTTCAAGACGTTGGCAGGTACCTCTGCTGCCTGTCGTCCAAACACAGCCAGCCGGAGGGAAAACAATCAGCGTGCCCATGACCAAACAATAGCATCAACAGCCAAACTACTAAATGTACTAAGGACAATGTATCTATTCTGATCCTTTTCTGATATCCTTTGCACCAAACAGAAAGCGTGTCCGCTCCATGCTCTGCGATGCCTCCTCGTCTGGGTCAGCAAAGTTGTCTGGGCGCAGTAGTCCCTCAACAGGCACTTTGCTCTTCTCCCTGCGATCATGGGAGATCACATCACCGAGGCGCAAAGGCCCACGATCATTCGGGAATATCATGGGATACAAATGAATATATTGGAATATTGGAACAAAAAATCGTATGCATGTATATGTATATGTATATTTATATGTATGTGTAAATGTATATGTATATGTATAAATATATATATGTATATGCAAATGTATATGTAAATGTGTATGTATGTATGTATGTATGTAATGTAATGTAATGTAATGTAATGTAATGTAATGTAATGTAATGTAATGTAATGTGTGTATGTGTGTATGTGTGTATGCGTGTATGCGTGTATGTGTGTATGTGTGTATGTGTGTATGTATGTATGCATGCATGCATGCATGCATGCATGCATGCATGGATGCATGCATGGATGCATGGATGCATGGATGCATGGATGCATGGATGCATGGATGCATGTATGTATGTATGTATGTATGTATGTATGTATGTATGTATGTATGTATGTATGTATGTATGTATGTATGTATGTATGTATGTATGTAGTATGTATGTATGTATGTATGTATGTATGTATGTATGTATGTATGTATGTATGTATGTATGTATGTATGTATGTATGTATGTATGTATGTATGTATGTATGTATGTATGTATGTATGTATGTATGTATGTATATTTGTGTATGCGTGTATATATGTATGTTGTAGATATATATATATATAGATGTGGATAGATAGAACAAGAAATCGCAGAATCCCAATGTTGAGGGAGCTGGTTATACGAAACATTCTGTAGTTCAGCATCTGGCTGTAAACGGGCCAAGGACAGCCCGCTTTTTTATAGTATATGCATGATAAGTTGTCACAGAAGATCTCTCCGTATCTCCCTAGTTTTGTTCCATTGGAAGGCCCCCAGGCTCAAAATGTAGCAGCTAAAAATTGCATTCACCTGCCAGCATCTCCCCACGGAGCTGTCGCTGACCTTGGAGGTTTGATCACCTCAGCCAGTGATGTCACACTTCATCATACTTCAGCTATACATACGGGTGGAACATTCATTTGGTATCCCAAAAGAAATTGGACTGCCTGTTTCTCTCTCGAGAGAAGTCATGGTCCAAATTTTGAAGAGGAGTTGTGCCAAGCCACGTCAGAGAGATCAAGCCTGATGGAGTTGGACGAAGTTTCTTTGCCCAAAGTGACCTGCAACAACTTCGGCTGGGGCTTCACCCCTCTATCAACCGGGTCAACTTCGACTTTCTTGGCACAAAAGATCTCTGCCCTTGCAAGGGGACAGCAATGTGAAGGAATCCAGATGCATTTGGAAGTACTTTGAATTTTGAAGGATCCCAATCCAAGAAGCAGTATAGATCCAACATGAACCCATATAATATGTTAATTTTGCCCCCATCTCCAGCCCAAACCCTGTGGAACCTTGGGCGGTGGCAGTGCGGCCAGCAGGCTTTGCCCCACTGGGTTGGCCGCTAGCTGTGCTGCCTAAGGCCGGAACATGGCAGTTTCTTATTCCAGCTGCATACCATTGTCCTTCCCCTTGTGCTGCTTGCGCTTTCAGAATGGCAACATCCAGCAACCTGTTTTGCCCATGTCTGCAGAGAAACCAGGGCAGCCAGGGTCTTCTCGGATCTTTCCCAGATTTTTTTTCTATCGACAGCTGTTTCACCTGCTCCAGCTGCACTGGGACAGGCACTTTTTTCAGCGGTGCTTCAACCTCTTCCGCGACTTTGGGCGTCTCCAGATTCAGCGGCCTCACCCGCATGGAAACTGCGAATAGCATCATGTTTCGTGATATTTGTTGTTAAGTCCTCATCTAAGTCCTCAGACGTCCTATATGCCATTGACTGCTGGTATTATATATGTGATGTGTGTGGAAATCATCGGAAATCAGCGTCCAACTCACCGTCCCACCCGGCGCCTGGAAGTTGGAAGCTTTGAGTAGTCGATCTGGGGGTGTCAGGTGATAGGATCAGCTTCTGTTTCCGCACTTTTGCACTGATCCCTGACCACCACTACTGTCCAAACTTTTCCAAACTATTCCAAGACTTCCCAGGTGCAATGGCAGGCCCCTCCACGTTGCATCAGCTTCCTACTTACCAGAGATGAGATGATAAGTTTACAAGTGGTACCCGGGCAGCTTATAGCCTATAGAGCGGAGCAAAGGATTCAAAGGACGTGCCTATAGTTGACAGGCAAGCCTCCTGTGCAGCGTAGCAACAAGCTCCTGACTTGTCAATCTGATGCCATGCCTTTCGAATGTTGAATCTTTCCTCATTTCATCTGATCTCATCGCGTCGCAGCTTCTCTTGGAAATTGCTCAGCGCATCCCTCTGTCACCGCAGTCTGTGTCATCCCATCTCTTCTCAACTCATCTCATGTCTTCTAAGTTTGTTTCACCTCATCTCATCTCATCCCATCTCATATCTTCAGTCCCTTTCTCAGCTCAGCTGATCACAACTGTTCTCATCTCTTCTCATGTCACCTGAGCTTTTCTCATCTCTTCTCATCTCATCTCAGCTTCTCTCAGCTTTTCAGATTTCACATGATTTCACAGCTTTTCTCAACCCTTCTCAACTTTCCGCAGCTCATGTAGGCTCATCTTATGTGTTCTCATCTCTTCTCTCCTCTTCTCACATCTTCTGAGCTCTTCTCCCATCTACTCAGCTGATCTCACCTCTTGTCAGCTCGTCTCACCTCATCTCAGCTCTTCTCAGCGCACTTTCCAATCATCTCACTTAGTCTCTGGCCCAAAACCTGCTCCAAAAACGGATCTCGGCGCCAAAGCAAGCAAGCCCTACGCTTTCCACAGAGAAGCTTTTACACACAGCAAGCTTTTGCACAGAGAAGCTTGTACACGCAGCAGCTTTTACACGCAGAAGCTTTTACACAGAGTTAGGGGAGCTTTTATTCACAGCAAGCTTTTACACAAAGCAAGCTTTTACACAAAGATACACAAAGCAAGCTTTTACCCAGTACGACGTCCAGCTGCGAAAGATAATAGTATTACACGCGCAGCCGCGGCGCCAAGCAACCTTGACGCAGCCATTACAATGCGATTTGCCATGCTAAACACAATAGAACTACGCGCAAACGCGTCAGAAATTCCAGCTCCAAAACCGGATGGGTCTCGACGCCAAAGCAAAAAAAGACGATATTGAAGCACTTTTTAAAAGGAATTTTAAAAGGAAAATCATCAGCGCCAAAATTGAGAAATTCTGCTGACAAATCACGATCGCCAACTTGATGCAGCCACACCAAATGTGATTTACGATGTCCAGCTGCAAAAGACAATAGTATTACGCACGCAGCCTCCGCGCCAGGCAACCTTGACGCAGCCATTACAATGCGATTTGCAAAGGCTGAGTTGCAAAACACAATAGAAGTACGGCAAGAATGTTAGCAAAACGACACCTGAACTGTCAGTTCCAGCGCGCGGCCGATCCGAGCATGATCCCGATTGAAACGAACGTGTTCCGCACCTGCCAGCCGGACAAGTTTCCCCATCCATCTTCTGGGACACGTTTTCTCCAGCAAAACACAGCATTTCGTGCACCCGCGAACTTTCAAAAACACATTTCGTGCGAGACCTTCCTCAAAAAGTGAACGTGGAAGATGTGAAAACGAAGCTTTCGTGCGAAACTTCCCTCAAAAAGTGAAAGTGGAAGATATGAAAACGGAGCTCTCGTGCGAGACTTCCCTCAAAAAGTGAAAGTGCAAGATGTGAGAACGAAACTGTCGTGCGAGACGTCCCTCAAAAAGTGAAAGTGGAAGATATGAAAATGGAGCTCTCGTGCGAGACGTCCCTCAAAAAGTGAAAGTGCAAGATGTGAGAACGAAACTGTCGTGCGAGACGTCCCTCAAAAAGTGAAAGTGGAAGATGTGAGAACGAAGCTGTCGTGCGAGACTTCTCTCAAAAAGAAGTGAAAGTGCAAGATGTGACAACGAAGCTTTCGTGCGAGACTTCCCTGAAAAAGTGAAAGTTGAATGAAGATGTGAAATCGAAGCTTTCGTGCGAGACTTCCTTCGTTCATTCATTCACTCATTCATTCAATCAACCAATCCAATTAATTAATTAATTAAATAATTAGTTAATTCAATGAATGAATTAATTAATTATATAATTAATTAATCAATTCATTCATTCATTCATTCATTCATTCATTCGTTCTGTTCAAATTTCAATTTCAATTCAATTCACATTCATTCAATTCAATTTATTCATTAATTCCTTCATTCGATTCAATTAATTCATTCCATTTCATTCCATTCCATTCCATTTCATTTCATTTCATTTCATTTCATTCATTCCATTCATTCAATCATTCATTCATTCCTTTCTTTCATTCATTCATTCATTCATACATTCATTCATTCATTCATTCATTTCCTTCATTTATTCATTCATTCATTCCTTCATTCATTCATTCATGCAGTTACTCATTCATTAATTCATTCATTTCTTTCTTTCTTTCATTCTTTCATTCATTCATTCATTCATTTCTTTCATTCATTCATTCATTCATTTATTTATTTATTTATTTCATTTCGTTTCGTTTCGTTTCATTTCATTTCATTTCATTCATTCATTCATTTCATTCATTCATTCATTCATTCATTTCATGTCATTTCATTTCATTTCTTTTCATTTCATCTCATTCATCCATTCATCCATCCATCCATCCATGCATTCATTCATTCATTCATGCATTCATTCATTCATTCCATTCATTCATTCATTCATTCATTCATTCGTTCATTCGTTCATTCGTTCATTCGTTCATTCGTTCATTCGTTCATTCATTCATTCATTCATTCATTCATTTCATTCATTCATCCATTCATTCATTCATTCATGCATGCATGCATTCATTCATTCATTCATTCATTCATGCATTCATTCATTCATGCATTCATGCATTCATGCATTCATGCATTCATTCATTCATTCATTTCATTTCATTTCATTCCATTCCATTTCATTTCATGTCATTTCATTTCATTTCATTTCATTTCATTCATCCATTCATCCATCCATCCATCCATGCATTCATTCATTCATTCATTTATTCATTATTTCATTTCGTTTCATTTCAATTCAATTCAATTCAACTAAATTTATTCATTCATGCATTCATTCATTCATATCCGTAACACGGAAGTTCTCTCAAATTCTTTCAAACTTCTTTTGACAAATAGAGTTCAAACCTATCTACAGTCCATAGCATATTCACGTGAATCTCATAGGCTTTGTTTCAAGTGTTGTTCTCCTCATTCGATCTTGGCTTCTTGCCTTAGATGGTCCCAACATGCTCATCCATATTTATCACTTATCCATCCAAGTATCATGTTCTTTTGCATGCTTCAACACTCCTCCCGCACTCGTTTGCGAACACTTGTCGCCTTCCGCTTCTTGAGCAGGGCCAAATCTGATGGGTCGCCACCTTGCAGACGCGCGGGGGAAACTGGCAGCAACTTGGTCTGTCTTTGTGCTGGGGAAACTTGAGAAGTATGGGGTGGGTCTTTGCCGAGTAAAGAAGTCCGAAGTGTAAGTAGTGGTCGAACACGGTCGCAAACCCCTTTTAGCCATTCCTGGGAGAACTTGGTTTCTGCCCACTGTGGCTGACTGTGCGTAATAAGGTGTTGAATTCTCCTTAACCCCCCCACCTCATTCAAAGCTCTGAGCTTCAAACCATCTCCAGAGGTAGGGGATGCGTCACTGACAAGAGCATCGGCAGCCGCAGAGGTAGGAGATGCGTCACTGACAAGAGCATCCGGAGCCTCGCTGCTGCCGATCAAAAACTGAACATCACAATGGCCACAGCGTGCTGGCATATTCAATCGCACCTGTTGTCCTTCTTCACCACTCTCGTCTCCACTGTCGTAGCCCGCCCCCAAGAGGCTCATGGCTCAGGACACTTGAGAAGTCTTGTCTTGAACTATTCTCAGTCTGGTCCAAATCCATCAAGTCCAGAACAATCAAACGAGTGTAGATAAACTTTCATGGCCAGGTCGTCCAAATATCTGACTCTAAGGGTGCTGCCCACCTATCTTTCATGTGAAAATTTGTAAGGTGGTGATGAAGCGTTTGCAAACTGCTCGCATTTATTCAGCATTGCCCTGCGCAGCTTGTCTGAACAATTGAGGGCAAAAAGCTCCGCTGGGAATTGCCCGAGTACTGACCCTTATTGCATCCCTGTGTTTTCAGAGGGATTCTCCACCACATCCTTGGTTTCCTGAGTTTCATGTGCATGCTACAGGCTCTTCAGTCAGGAAATCGACAGCAACATCTCAAAGCATTCTGCGCCTTGTCGAACGCAGTTGGGTCTGCTGACAGTGCGGCCTTCACGCCAAATTACATCAGATTACATCTTCAAAGAGGATATCATTTGGGCAAAAGCTCGGGAATTCATCGGACAAAGGCCATGCCTGGCCACCTGTTGTCGGCTCACTCGGAAGCCTTGGCAAGGCTGGAGAATTTTCACGAGGGGGACTTGATGGCCCACAGTTCTGATAGCTACTTGGAAGTCACGGCCTTTCACTGGACATGAGCAGTCATGTCAGGTTCCTGAGGGTACCACCCAACATTTTCCTTTTTGCTTGGCATCATAGGGCTCGCCATCACAGGGTGACATGCACGGACGGGCCTCAGCAGGAACCCCCTGCTCAATGGATTGCAGTCCGTCCCACTGTCACTCAACAGTGGATAGTTGATGGTTTACGCAAGCGTCCTACACGCCTGGCATCATGTTGCCTGCATTGCGTGTTGAAGCAGGAAAAGATTAAGTCAGGCAAATTTGTCCTCAAGGACTTATGCATCACCTGCGAGATTGCCTGAACACTGTACTGTAAAGATCTTCCGAAACTGCCAAGAGATATTCTCAGAAAAATATAGGAAAATTAGTGTGCATATATATATATATATGTATACGTATTTATTTATTTAATACTATAGAATACTAATTTAATAACTAATTTTGCAGTGTATAATATGTATATATATATATATATTATATATATATATATATTAGTATTGCGGCAAGACCCTATGGTTTGCCCGCAAGGTTAGAATGGAGTTTAAATATTATCCTTCGACATGCTCAAAAACCTGCGCATGGCCAGCGTTTTGGTATTTACCAGCCGACGAACCCTAAACCCTAAAATCCTAAAGCCTAAAACATCCTAAAACCCTAAAGCCCTAAACCCTGAAACCTTGAAAACTCTGAATCCGAAAGCAGAAAACACTGCATATACGCAGTATTTTCTGCAATTTCTCTTCTCATGTTCGACGACAGGGAATCCTCAATGTTGCAGTCCGGGCAAACCACGGGGTCTGTGCGTAGTGTTATTGTAGTAATTCTTAGTAACTAATATATTTTTTATATATTTTTAATTTATTTTTATATATAATATGATCATAGTATAGTAGGATCTTCTGCGGAAGGGCTTAGAGATGCTTAGAGATGCTTAGAGTATTGAAAGTTGGGGCGCCAAGCTGTGCAATCTTCGTCTCCCCAGGCTTCTCCGTGAAGCGCGAGACTGCTATGCGAACCTCCCAAGTAACATTGGCATCAGGAATCTAACCTGGCAATGCTGTTTTATTCATGTTTATTCCCAATTCTGAAATTCTATTATTGTCACCATGTTACACCATGCTACACCCATTTAACAGTTGCCGCACTTAATCCATTGATCAGTCTATTCATGTGTTTGTTCCATTGCTAGCTTTGATCACAATGGGGAATTCCATCATGATCCAGCCTCTTTCAGCTCGGTCCGAACATCCAGCAGCTCTGATTCAACCTTGAAATTTCAGTGTTAGTAAAAACTGTACACAAATGTGGCTCACTCATTTACATTCATTTACCAACATTTGTCGGTGATTGTATCTGATGGATAATAATCTTGACAAATATATGGGGGGCTGCTCGGGTGTAGAAGTATGACTCATTTGACCACAGCTGGCATAAGTTCAGAAACAAAACTTGCAGGGGGCGGGACTTAACTTCAATCTCAAAAGCAGTTGCCAGAGGCTCACATCACACTTGGAAACACTTGGCGCCAGGCAGTTTGCATGCGGCCTCTTAGCTTCAACCCCTGCCATAATTTCAGTCACAGATCTTTCCAGATCTTTCCACCCAGCTCAGGGCGCTAAGGTTTCAGTCGTTGTCGTAGATTTTGAAAGCCACCGGATGGCAACTGGGAGTGGGTACCAAGCATCCACTCGCTCCTTCGGCAGTCGATTACTACTGCCACTGAAATTCACTGAAACGATTGGCCTCCGAGCTGCTGGCAGGTTGCCCAAGCTTCAGTGCCTGGCCAGTGCCCAGGAGTGCCTGACCCCTCGAAATCGACGTACGGAAAAGAACCAGAAAATGGAAATACCAATAGAACTGCGATTCTATAATGATTAAGATGAAGTGTGATGAAGTTGTGGGCAGCACCCTGCTGGTGCTTTCTCAGCCTTACATGCTTGCAGATATACTACTGTAACTAATTACATCATCTACTTACATCCACTTACAGTATATACCCCCAGAAAAGCGTATAAAAACGGTATCCAGAGCAGCACATACCTTTTAGTGCTGACAGGTTTTGAATGATACACAATTATACCAAACATTACCAAACAAGAGAAGCACGGCTCTTCAAAGGGGGTCGCTGCTGCACCTGCTCCACTTGCGACAAACGGTGTTTGAGCTCTGTCAAATCCTGGCGAGTCCAGCTGAGTGAGGCTCAGCACTTTGGATTGGAGGCTGGTCATGGCTTGGCAACAGGAGTGGCATGTCATCATATTGTACGATGGAACATCGTGTGCCGCTTCATTCCCCGGGCCTCGCGCTGCAAGTTGGTAATATCAGGCAGGACCTGGGCTCCGCTCACAGGTGTTACTATGTTTTCGGAAGGATCCAAAACAAGATGCATGAAAGATCATGAAAGTATATGTAATATGAAGATACTAAAGTTTGCAGGTGACTGGCGCACAAACCCACCATCTTTTTCACACCTTTGCCTCTATGACTTGCATTGACTTGGCAACGTCTTACCGTGCCTTGCTGATGAACCCGCCTTGCTGACGAACCAGTTGAGCGGATCAACAGTAAGTAACAACAAATCAAGGCCCCGTTGGTCATCTTGGTCTTCCTCCATCATCTGACTTCCACACAACTGGCAAGCCAATTCCCTTCTCGGTCCTCTTTCAATGTGTTCAACACCCCAAAGCACCAGGGCTTCAGCTGCTCGAGCGTTGCCAGGGCTGAACTTCATCATGCTTTGCAGCCCGTCACCTGTTGATCGCGACTCCCTAAGAAAATGAACAAATACCCCTTGCATGTGTTGCATGGTTCTACAACATGCTTTTGGGCTTTATATACGTAGGATACAGACTCCCAACGAAACAAATGACAACTGAGGGATGCACCTCGATTGCATGGCCTTGGCTTGCACACTGCACAGAGCTGCCTGGTCCTGTCTGTGACAGGCACCCAAGCATTAAGATGCATTTAGTCATTTAGTATTTAGATGTATTTAGATGTGTTTAGATGTATTTAATTGTATTTAGATGTATTTAGATGTATTTAGATGTATTTAGATGTATTTAGATGTATTTAGTATCTTCTAGATATTTTAGCTGGGCACTTGGGCAAGAAGTAAGTGGTCACTGTTCCTTTCCTTCTGGATTGGAGATGAAACCTCGCAAGCAGGGCAACCGCACGTACATGGAGATGCCAAAGGCGGTGACACCTGGAGAGCGCGGAGCGAGGACTCCAATGGATCAAAAAACTTTCTACGTGTCAATGTATCTAGGGCGCTTGGAGGCAGTCTCCAACCAACTATCATCAACTATCGTCAATTAAAATTCAACTACTGGGAGACGGTCAAAGACTACTTGGCGTCCACAAGAGAAAAACCCTCAGCCATTGGAACCTTGATGCACGGACTCGAGCGCGCGCTGGGCGGCCGAGAGCCTTGGTAAAGCCACAAATCAACAGCTTGGTAACGCTCGCTACGAGCCACACCGAGCGTCGAGATTCCCCTGAGCATCCTACAAGCTCCATCAAAGCTCAAGGCCTTGGCTCAATGCAGAGATGGTTTGGGATGTTGAAAGATGTTGAAAGATGTTGAAAGATGTTGAAAGATGTTGAAAGGGTTTACAATAATTTGAAAGGTACAAGGCTTTAGGGTCTGAGATGGTTTGGGCAGTGCCGCCAACGATGCAGTCCCACCCAGGTGCCCGACTGCGCCCATCTGCCGCACCAAGCTTTGCGCCTGCCATCAGCAAACGGCTCACCATGACACCAGCGCCTGTGTGGGAATGATTGGGGAATGCCTTCTGGCATAGGAACTCCACTTGCTCGCTGCCCCGTGGAGACCTCACATGGCATCGAAGTGATGGACGCGGTATGATGCGGTGAACCGTGGCGCTAAATCGAGGCACCATACGTCACCCATATGTCACCCTATTGAGTCGTGGACACCTCCAAATCCTCGGTTTCCACCTCAGTGAAGCGAACAGGCTCATAACAAGTGCTTGTGACCAATAGAGCCACCCGCAGGTTCAAACTTGAAGGCACATAGCCCTCCTTTGTTGGAAGGTCGGAAGTGTGGCGGCCCAGTCTGAGAGTCTCAGAGCAGCACCGGTGGCAGGGGGCCACCCTGCGACAGCCCCTGAGGCAAAGACAATGCGCCCCATCTGTGGTATTGTTTGATTCTCAATGTGTTCAAATGTGAGTTTATGACTGCAATCACAAAATATCACAAAACCATACAATACATGATCACTGGCCTAAACTTGTGGGTCTGAACAGACCACATCAACGGCCCAAAGTTGTCGAGCCTGAAAGTCTTCACTGCCCGTGGTACTGATCGGAACTGAACTTCGTGGATGACCTAGTGCAGGTCATCTCTGGCATTTGAAAGCTA